ATTTCTGAGTTGGTTTTATTTAGACGAGCTAAGACTAACAACAGGATTTCCATGTCCTTATTCACATGCAGTGGCTTCTGCTTCTCCATGGGATATTGGTGCACCTTCTCCTGTTCCAATCCGGGCTTCTGGGTCCTCTATCAGATCCTCAAACTCTAGGTATGGTGGAAGATCCAGTGGAAGATCCAGTCAACTTGCATACGCTAGAGAAGATGATCTGACAAAGGAGGTACGCGTGTTTTAAGAAGTCCTTTTCAGGCTTGCTTGAAGAATGTTGATGAGAATCTATGGTTCTCTTGCATTAAGAAAATCGTTTGGTTTTATTAATACGTGTGCCACATGTTGCTATGTCTTTTATAGGGGCAGTCAGATGAGGATAGATCGCAAGGAGCTGAAGAATATAACAATGAGATCACAGAAACAATGCGTTTGGAGATGGAGCATCAGGAGTATCAGGCGGATCGTGCATGGTAAGTATTTAATTTCCTTAAGAGACAGGAAATTAAGCATTGGAAATGCAATGATGTTTTAGTCTCACTCTTCATGTTAATTGTCAAACCATTTCCAGATTTTATAAGACCTGTATGAACTAGATTGTTGTTTTTCACAGGTATGATACAGACGAAGGGAACTCACTGTTTGATGCAGATAGTGCGTCGTTTCTCCTGGGAGATGAAGCTTCTCTACAGAAGAAGGAAGCTGAGCTGGCAAAAAGACTGGTATTTTTCTTTACCAACTACTTGACCTATTTTTTTTATTATCTCAGTTTAGATTCTACGTGTTGAAACTGCAATATCGCATGAGGCTCTTTATTCAAGTCACTAAAGCTTCTTTTCTTGGTATGCTGACGTTTTTCTGCTTAAAAACGTAGTATGCTCCATATATTAAATGCTTTATAATATTTGCAATGCAGGTTAGAAGGGACGGTAGCAAAATGTCACTTGCTCAGAGTAAAAAATACTCGCAACTTAATGCAGATAATGCTCAGTGGGAAGACCGTCAGCTTCTCAGATCTGGAGCTGTTAGAGGCACAGAAGTGCAGACTGTGTTTGATAGTGAAGAAGAACGGAAAGCAATTCTTCTTGTGCATGGTATGTAGACTACTATAATAGCTCAAAGTTATCCACTAAGCGACAAAGTAGTATCTCTGTATATGTAACATAGCAAGTAATGTTCTTTTCGTTGGTATTTGCAGATACAAAACCTCCTTTCCTTGATGGAAGAGTTGTTTTCACAAAGCAAGCGGAGCCAGTAATGCCTGTAAAGGATCCCACATCAGACATGGCTATTATTTCACGAAAAGGATCGGGTCTTGTCAGAGAAATTCGGGAGAAACAAAGCAAGAATAAGTCTCGACAGCGATTTTGGGAGCTTGCAGGTTCTAACCTTGGTAATATCCTTGGTGTTGAAAAATCAGCTGAGCAGGTAACACACCTCATGGCTTTTGTTTTTCTTTCACTTTGTTGGTATTGTGGTTGTTGGACTTATTGTGACTCTGTGATCTTCTTGTAGATTGATGCCGATACTGCTGAAGTTGGGGACGATGGTGAAGTAGACTTTAAAGGCGAGGCTAAGTTTGCACAACATATGAAGAAGGGAGAAGCTGTTAGTGAATTTGCCATGTCAAAGACCCTGGCAGAGCAACGACAGTACCTCCCCATATTTTCTGTTAGAGACGATCTATTACAGGTTGGTAGTCTTTCATTTTGAGGGCCTTGAGAGTTGGGTCATAATACACCTTATTATTAGGAAATTAATAAGGCGGCTCCTTTTTAAAAAAAATATCATCATTTTCTCCAGCGAGTAATTTTCAACTCATATGCTTTTAAATGTGCTCTTTAGGTAATCAGAGAAAACCAGGTGATAGTGGTAGTTGGCGAAACTGGCTCGGGAAAGACGACTCAACTTACACAGGTTGCTCCCTTACTCTGGTTTTTCAGGGAATTCCATGTTTGAATACATATTTATGTAACAATTAAAAACAATATACTTAAAATTTGTTTCTTTTTTTTAGTATCTTCACGAGGATGGGTACACTATAAACGGTATAGTAGGTTGCACCCAACCAAGGCGTGTAGCAGCCATGAGTGTTGCAAAGAGAGTTAGTGAAGAGATGGAAACAGAGTTGGGCGATAAAGTGGGGTATGCGATTCGTTTCGAAGATGTAACTAGTCCAAACACTGTTATCAAGGTAAGGTGTCTTCAAGTAGTGAATTGCTCTTTGCGTATTTGTGATGTTTCTAGTTTAGTTGGCCATGTAAAGCTTAGCTTGTCATGCTTTTAGCATCTGCACTTCATTAAAACACGGAAACATCTTCTGAAACTCTATATTTCCCTTTGAAATTTCAGTACATGACTGATGGAGTGCTACTGAGAGAGACACTCAAAGATGCAGACCTAGACAAGTATCGGTATGTATGCATCAACTTTACCTCTGATAGATAGTTGAAGTAGATGATGTGCTAACTCCTATTGTGGACTTTATAGTGTGGTGGTGATGGATGAAGCGCACGAAAGGTCACTCAACACCGATGTTCTCTTTGGAATACTGAAAAAAGTTGTGGCTCGGCGTCGTGATTTCAAGCTGATAGTTACATCAGCAACCCTTAATGCTCAAAAGTTTTCTAATTTCTTTGGGAGGTAAGTTTACATCAGCCATCCTTCACATAAACCACTTTTGATTTTGAATCTGTAAGATTGAATTCTTATGTCGGTTTTTTTTTTTTGGTAATGCAGTGTTCCCATATTCGACATTCCTGGAAGGACTTTCCCTGTCAATAAGCTCTACTCTAAAAGTCCATGTGAAGACTATGTTGAAGCCGCTGTTAAACAGGCAATGACGATTCACATAACAAGCCCACCTGGGGACATACTTATATTTATGACCGGGCAAGATGAGATTGAAGCAGCATGCTTTTCACTTCAGGAGAGAATGGAACAGCTAGTTGCATCTTCCACCAGAGAGATCACCAATCTACTGATTCTGCCAATATACTCTCAGTTACCTGCTGACTTGCAAGCAAAAATATTCGAGAAACCAGAAGATGGAGCCCGTAAATGTATTGTGGCCACCAATATTGCTGAAACATCATTGACAGTCGATGGAATATATTATGTGATTGACACTGGGTATGGAAAGATGAAGGTTTTCAATCCTAGAATGGGTATGGATGCTCTTCAGGTTTTCCCCATAAGTCGTGCCGCCGCTGATCAGCGTGCAGGAAGAGCTGGAAGGACAGGGCCGGGAACATGTTACAGGCTGTACACTGAGAGTGCTTATTTGAATGAGATGCTTCCAAATCCCGTGCCAGAGATTCAGCGGACAAATCTGGGTAACGTTGTGTTGTTGTTGAAGTCGCTGAAAGTAGACAACTTGTTAGATTTTGACTTTATGGATCCACCTCCACAAGAGAACATCCTCAACTCAATGTACCAGCTTTGGGTGTTGGGTGCTCTTAGCAATGTTGGAGGATTGACCGATCTCGGGTGGAAGATGGTGGAGTTCCCATTGGATCCTACTCTTGCAAAGATGCTCTTGATGGGTGAACGGCTTGATTGCATAAACGAGGTCTTGACGATCGTGTCCATGCTCTCAGTGCCTTCGGTGTTCTTCAGACCAAAAGAGAGAGCAGAAGAGAGCGACGCCGCAAGGGAGAAGTTTTTTGTGCCGGAATCCGATCATCTAACGCTACTAAATGTGTATCAGCAGTGGAAAGAGCATGACTATAGAGGAGACTGGTGCGCTGACCATTACCTGCAAGTGAAAGGTCTTCGAAAAGCTAGAGAAGTAAGATCCCAGCTTCTGGATATCCTCAAGCAATTGAAGATACCACTCAAGTCGTGTGGACCGGATTGGGATATTGTGAGAAAGGCGATATGCTCAGCGTATTTCCACAACTCGGCTAGATTAAAAGGTGTCGGGGAGTATGTGAACTGTAGAAGCGGGATGCCTTGCCATTTACACCCGAGCAGTGCACTGTACGGCCTGGGATACACACCGGACTATGTGGTGTACCATGAGCTGATCTTGACGACGAAGGAGTACATGCAGTGTGCTACATCGGTTGAGCCGCATTGGCTGGCTGAGCTAGGTCCTATGTTCTTCTCTGTGAAGGACTCGGATACGTCCATGTTGGAGCATAAGAAGAAGCAGAAGGAAGAGAAAACAGCAATGGAGGAAGAGATGGAGAAACTGAGAAGAGATCAGGCGGAGTCGGAGGTGAGAAGCAAAGAGAAAGAGAAACAGAAAAGAGCCAAGCAGCAGCAACAGATCTCAGGTCCTGGCTTGAAAAAAGGCGCCACTTACCTCAGGCCTAAGAAGTTTGGACTTTGAACCTTTTTTTTAATGTTCAAATACGTTAAACCCCAAGAAATGTCGAGACATGATTTTTTGTAATGTAAAAACAACTTTACCCGCAGGAAAAAAAAAAGACACAGTAAAATTTGTAATCACCTTGCGTCTGTGTTCTGTTGTTTGATTGTTTCTTAAAGACAAGATTCTTAACTTTTTCTTCATTAAATTCTAAATTCTTTCTCGCTATGTAGTTAATTGAAATGCTCTTGAGTTCTAAAATAACCAAGCTATGGTCGAACTTTGAAATTTGTAAGTTGTGATACTACCCTACAACTCTAATATAACAAGGTCGAGCTGGCTAACTAATAAATTTTTAGTTCTTTCTACTATATTTTGGAGTTGAGTTTTGGCCTTTTGGGTTGTTCATCATCATTCGGTCTCTGCAACATTCTACATTTATAAGAAGTCTAATGGATTTTACAATGCTGAAGGCCCTAATTTCCAAATCCAGTTATCGGAGTTATGTGACACACAAAAGGTCATTAAATCTTCTTCCTAAACAAAATACAGTTTGCCATCGATACAAGTTTCGAAAATCTCCCCCCCACATCAATTCACATTGCCACCACCATCTACACCTTCTTCTAGCCAGTGCAATGCTCCAACTCCATCATCTGTGAACCTGAGGAGAGTTGAAACGGCCCTATCAAATATTTCCACTTTCTCCGTCTGATATTTCTTCAAGCTTTGCGATTGCATCCATAAGAGCTTGTTCATGTTCCTGTCATTACCAAAAATAAACTACAGTGAGCTTCTCGTTTCATGCATAATACAGTGAAGGACATTCAAGTACAATTCATGAATATGTTCTTACTCTTAGCACTCTCTTTGCCTTCTCTACCTCTGCTGGGTTGGGGTTTACCGACCCAAAAACTTTTTCTACCTGTTACAAACATTCATAAAGTAAACACTCAGACAGATATAACAACTGTAAACATTCATTCCACAAATCCAAAACTTTGATGATACCTCTTTTATTAGTGTATCAGTGTGGAGTATTTCAATGTCGCCTAAAGCTTTCTTCCCGATGCCGTTCTGTGCCTTGGGTTGCTGTGTCTTCAAGCTTCCCCTACCTCTACCCCCCGGGATACTTGCGGGACCACCACGAGCCATGGCCTTTGGAGCTCCACGGCCTTGTCCAGGATGTCCTCCTTTACGAGAAACCCCAGGATCCTCACCTTCCCATCTGATATCTCCCGGGGATATCTATCAATATACAAAAGGAACATTCAGAATCATATATATAACCAAGTACCTACGAATGAGATGAGCTCTTTAAGACAACAATACATGGTCTCTCCAAATTATACGACGCATTGCAGCATCATCCTCTGCACTACTTTGAAAGGTAAAAAAGACTGAGATCATTATTACCTCTTTAAGATTTACCCATTCCCAAGTTTCATTCGCAGTGTTTATATCATACACTAAAGCATGCCGCCCCTTTATCAATGTTGATAAAAAGGAGGGAAAATAATATCAGAAAACGGAGATTTGGCAGTAAAACAGTAATACTATATATATCAGTGAAAAGTAAGATACCTCAGCAGGTCTGTAGTCGGTTATAACAGCTTCATAGAAATGGTTGTCCTCAGGCCACTTTGTCCATACCTTCCGTCCAATCAACGGGTCATACGATCCTGATTCACCTGGCTCATTTGTTAAGCCACCAGCCTGAGGCCTTCCAGCAATGCCTGTAGCTGGGTACTGCAATGACTTCATAGAGCACAGATAATGAATTTACTTCCATCCCTTAGTCAATGAAGAACATAAGAACAAGAGTCATGGTAACAAAAATTATGACTTACTGTCTTTGGCTTCTTGGTCTTGGGACCTGGTGGAGGACCTCCCCTTCTTAGAGCAGAGGAAGATGGTTGCATCGAAGGGTGCAGAGCAGGAGATGGAGGTCCCATCGCTAACGAGGCGATTGACTGTGATGTCTTTTGCTTCTTACGTGATCCTGATACAGCTGGACTCGGAGCAGGATCATGAACCATCTGAGGAACACTGGACTGTAGGTTGTTCCCTTTTCTCCATTCCCTGACATGATTTTAAAGGTAACCTCGTCAGCTAGAAAGTTGCTTCTGAGTAGTATATTAGCAATTGATTACATATAAAACAGACCTTATTCGCCTGATCATTTCATCAGCATTAACTCTTGATAACAGCTCTCTATGTTCCTCATCAGACACCCGGAGTTCTTTTCTGAGTTCAGTGATCAAACTTTCTTTCTCCTGAATAAGAAGAAAGGAAGAAGAATAAGTTTATCATAGATGGTGAAGTTTTACATAAAACTAATGAATGAAGAAGACAAGCAAAAGAAGTAAGTACCCAGGTAATAGCATCAGATTGGGCTTTAAAAGCACGGAGGATTGAGCTATACGCTTCTTGCTCAATGAGATGGATTTGAGTTTCCATCTCATTGTGCACCCTTGACAAAGGAGCAGTATTGAGCACTGAAGGCCTGCCATTACCGGCAGGTCTGCCGCCGCTTCTTTGATATCTATTTTGATGCGCATGTGCTGGAGGTAGGTCATCATCTGTACCTGAGTTCCGCAGATAACAACATATTACGAAAAACAGACAGCAACAAATACAATGATAAAAAATCAAAACAAAACTAAGCATCAAGTAGTTAGATAAGACTCACCACTACTATCAGAAGGTCGGTAATCCATTGAGTCCTTTCCTGATGATTCTTCTTCACAGAGGACCTAAGATATCAAAACGTGGTACTTGATGCACACAAGCACGAGCTGCAAAACCAAGTAAACAACTTTCAACAGAGGAAAAAGTCACAACTTGGAACCCTAAGAGCACGAAAAGTATTGACTTTCCTAGAAAAAAGCTGATCTTGAAATCTTATTACACTATCATAGAACAATCTAGTTTGTAAACTCGAGCTCAATCACCAAACATGTCCCCTTCCTCAGATTGATGAGCTGAGCTTCGAACAACAGAAGTTCCCGAGAACAATAAAATTTGTTTTTAAGCAACCATTGTCATTGAAGAAATCGAGTTTCTGCTAAATTTCTGAAAAAAATTTCCCAATTTGAGAGCTACAATTTTCTAAACCCTAATTGCCGACGGAAGCAAGCACACCAACAATGGCTCTCAAGATGAACAAAGCTCAAATTGCGCAAGAAGAATGTAAGATCAAAAACCAAATACCTTTTCGCGACTGTTCTTAGGATCTATTCTCGAAAAAAATCGATCAGCCAAAATTTTCCATCGCAAAAATTACTCCCAAAAGATCATAGATTTGAGCGAAATTTAGACGACAAATCTACAAATCAGAAGATCGGAACAAGGGAGATTATAGGAGGAAATTTCGTGACACCCAGCTCAATTTCAGAAAACGATAGATCTCCAGGAAGCTCAAAGTACGCCGCGGAATTCAGAATTACTGGACAAACCGTCAAGGATTTTCCGAGGGATCTATGAGTCGCGGACGTGAAACGACAATATTCTGCCCTAGTTTTTTCCCAGTTGATTGGTTGGTTTGAGTTACACGAACGACGGCAAAATCTGTCGTTTCAATCTCACTTCGTATCTCTTTTGGTTCTGTCTTAAACCCGATTTTTATTTAATTTCGGTACGCTTCCATACCAACATTTTGTATAAGTTTCATTTTACAGAATGAAAAAGAACACAAAACCATCAATTTTTTGAAGCATGTCTGGTCCGAAAGGGACCGAACCAAGGAAGACGGTTCGGTCCAAAACTGAAATTAACAAAACTTGTAATAGAAAAATGTGAAGAGGGGAAAAATAAGGAGAAATGTTGTTGCGTGTGTGTCCGTCGTCTTTCTTCTACCTCCGACCGCTTCATCTCTTCAGTTCCTCTGCAAAAATCCCTTTTTGTCCCTCTCTTCGCCGTGAATTTCGGTTAAGCCCTTCCCGATCTTCTTCTTCCTTCCGTCGGATGGAGTCTTCTCCAGCCTCGTCTTCGTCTCCGACGCCGGTAACCGCTTCAGCCGCCGATTCCTTAGCGAAAGATCTGCATAATCAAACTCTGGGAGCCGTTGATGAAGGTGCTAAGATCAAACGCAGGCTTGAAGACTTTAACTGGGATCACTCCTTTGTTAAGGAATTGCCTGGTGATCCCAGAAGCGATGTTATCTCGCGTGAGGTATAAAATTTTCTGCTTTTATCCAAAAAAAAAAAAAGAAAGTATAAATTTTTGTGTCTTGAGCGGAGATAATAGGAGGAATCTTAGTTTGATTTCTTGTTTCTCTGTCAATACTTTGTTTTATGTGGTTTTTTTTTTTTGAACGACTTTGTTTTATGTGGTTTAATCTTCCGATTAGATCGTAAAATGTTCTGTTTTTACATCTGAAATCATGAAGTTACTATTTGTACTTCATACACGAATTTGGCTGAAAAAAAAATAGGAATTTTTATGTGAATGTGTCTGCTCATTATTATTTCCTTACTCTGTCATCTAGAATTTGATTACTTATTTGTTGTATTGTTCAGGTATTACATGCTTGCTATACAAAAGTTTCCCCATCCGTAGCAGTAGATGATCCTCAGCTTGTAGCTTGGTCTGACTCTGTTGCAGAGATTTTGGATTTAGATCCTAAAGAGTGAGTATGGTCAGACTAGTTTTCGAATGTTTTTTTGTTGTTCTCTTTCTACTTGTGACTTCTTTTTAACTCTTGGAAACATTCTGTTCCACTTTCAGATTTGAAAGGCCAGATTTTTCTCTCATACTCTCTGGTGCTAAACCTTTCCCAGGATCGTACGTATTCCTTACCCAAAAACCTGATTTTTGTCTCAACTTTCTTCAATCCAAAGTTTCTAATCTGATACTCTTTGTCTAAGCAGAATGCCTTACGCTCAGTGCTACGGAGGACACCAGTTTGGCATGTGGGCCGGACAACTAGGAGATGGCCGCGCCATAACTCTCGGAGAAGTTTTGAACTCCAAAGGTGAAAGATGGGAGCTACAGCTTAAAGGTGCAGGCAGGACTCCTTACAGCCGTTTCGCCGATGGGCTTGCGGTGCTCCGTAGTAGCATCAGAGAGTTCCTTTGCAGTGAGTCTATGCATTATCTCGGAATCCCTACCACACGTGCCCTTTGTCTTCTCACAACAGGAAAAGATGTCACCCGCGACATGTTTTATGAGTATGTCCAAAAACCTCCCAAAACCCTTTGTCTAACTAGTCGGTTGAGTCATGACTACTCATATCGTTCTGTGTTGTGCGTTTTGCAGTGGGAATCCGAAGGAAGAACCAGGCGCAATAGTCTGTAGGGTGTCTCAGTCGTTTCTCCGGTTCGGCTCATACCAAATCCATGCTTCTAGAGGGAAAGAGGATCTTGAGATCGTTCGGAAGTTGGCAGACTATGCCATCAGACATCATTTCCCACATATAGAGAGCATGAACAGAAGCGATAGCTTGTCTTTCAAAACCGGTGATGAAGGTGATTCGGTTGTGGACCTAACATCCAACAAGTATGCAGGTAATGAAGTATTCATCAAAATGCTGTTGAAACTTAGTTATATTAGTGGCGAATTTTGAACTAACTTGTCTGCATTTTTTTGTAATTATATAAAGCATGGATTGTTGAGATTGCGGAGCGTACAGCTACTTTAGTTGCAAGATGGCAAGGAGTAGGTTTCACACATGGTGTGCTCAACACTGACAATATGAGCATTTTGGGACAAACTATTGACTATGGCCCGTTTGGGTTCTTGGATGCTTTTGATCCGAGTTACACCCCAAACACCACAGATCTCCCCGGAAGAAGATACTGTTTTGCTAATCAGCCTGACATTGGCTTGTGGAATATTGCTCAGTTTTCCAAGACTTTGGCAGTTGCTCAGCTGATAGATCAAAAGGAGGCCAATTACGCCATGGAGAGGTAACTTTGTTTTTCTCACTGTTGATTCTTGATTCTATGTTAGAAAGTACTAAGTAGTTTGAGGGACTTGTGATTGATTTAGGTACGGTGATAAGTTCATGGATGAGTATCAAGCCATAATGTCAAAGAAGCTTGGTCTCTCCAAGTATAACAAGGAGATCATTAGCAAACTTCTGAACAATATGGCTGTTGATAAAGTCGATTACACAAACTTCTTCCGCCTTCTTTCGAATGTAAAAGCAAACCCTGACACACCCGAAGATGAGCTACTGAAACCCTTGAAGGCTGCGCTCTTGGACATTGGAAAGGAAAGAAAAGAAGCATGGATCAAATGGGTGCGAGGCTATATACAAGAGGTATCAACTTCTTTCCTTAACTTTCTTTTCTCAACATCTAATGTTACTTTCCACTGTTTATCCCTGCATCTTCTTCCTGGCTAATGCAACTCCTGATTTGTGTGTGGGGATTGCAGGTGGGTGGTAGTGAGATATCAGATGAGGAAAGAAAAGCAGGAATGGATTCAGTGAATCCAAAGTACATTCTGAGGAACTATCTGTGCCAGAGCGCAATAGATGCAGCTGAGCAAGGAGATTTCTCAGAGGTCAACAACTTGATCCGTCTAATGAAACGGCCTTACGAGGATCAGCCTGGTATGGAGAAGTATGCTCGGTTGCCTCCAGCATGGGCTTACAGGCCAGGCGTCTGCATGCTTTCTTGTTCCTCCTAGTTCCTCCTTTTTTGCTTTCGTTTTGACAGTATAGAAAGGAAGAAGGAAAATTGTTAAACACTCTTGTGTATGTATTAAAATGACAAGAAACACTTTGTTATATCCACTATTTTGTTTCCATGTTGAAATAAAGGGTTTTAGTGCATGTAAATGTCCAGTGAGAATCATCTTCATGTTACCATTGGCGATTGCTTTTAGTGTAATTTATAGTTTATACAAGCTTGTTAGATGAGAGACTATTAAACAAGAACCTTGGATTAAACAATTCTGTTATCTCATCATTCAAGAACAAGACTCGAATTAGAGTTGAAAGTAAATTTTTTAAGAAGCAGATGCTGAACTAGCAAAATCCAGACTGCACCCCTTCAAGCAGCAACCAACAAAGTGATCCGAGAGTTTCATACTTTCATCCCAAACACCAAGCTCCATAGCTCACATTCTAAAGACATAGAGAATCACACAAAATAAGTCAAAGCATAAACAGAATATCTCAAGAGGAAGCAAAAAAAAAAACATTTTTTGTGTCATACCTCTCTATAGCACGAGGGCTAATGGGAACCACACCAGAAGGTGTCACAAGGGCATCGATCAGAACATCATTCGGTGTTAATGGAATACTTCCGTCCTCAAGAATCTGAGGCGAGTACGACAATGCAACTGCAAATTGCAAAAACAAGAAAAATCAGTGATTTAGCTTATGATTCTACTGAAAATACTCTCTAGTATCAGTTTGATTGAGATATATACCCATAAGTGGATGACTCCAATCCTTCTCCTTTGCACGGTCCTGGTATCTCTTCAAGAAAGTGTCGTAGTAGCTTTAACAAGTAGATGGAGTTATATTAGCACTTGAAAAAACAGATGAAGCATTTCTTACTGCAAGTATAAAACTACACTCTTCAGTGATAAAAAGATTTTGTGCTGTCACAAAAGGCCAGGGAAGATTATAAGTGAAAACTTAGGTGTTGCAAACTTGGGTGTTTCAAACTTACCCACCCCCACGACCTAAACGTCTTCCACATCTGTCAAACGCAAGCCCTGGCCACAAGGATTTGTACAGAAAAGTTGATTAGATACAGAGAGATAAGAAGAAGAAAATATGGAAATGAAACGGTTTCTCTGTACCTGGCAAGATTAATAGATCGATGGGTTCATCTGCTTGCATCACTGTCCACAGAAAAACAAAGTTTCATTTAAGATAATACTGATTCTGTGTAGCTTCTAGTGGTGGGAAGATTGATAGAAAAAAATGGACAAGTACCATCTTCACGCTCATTTCCTAGGGAATCAACTGAAGCTGGCTCCAAAATGTTCATCGAGTTTGCAATGAGGTCATCCATATGAGATATGTGAAGCATACGCATGTTACTGTTCTTATCCTCCACACGAGGGACATATAGCTTCTTCTGTGTATTTGGATCTAAAATAAGAGAGAAAAATGCAGAGGAAATTCCTTTAAAACACCGCAAGACGAAAATATTTAAACCAGTCACTGAAGTGCAAAAGTGTTTCCTTTTTTTCAGTTCCGAGTGGTATAAATGAGAGCTCAAAAAAATCTTATCAATGGCATAAGTATGAAAATGAAATCCTAAATAGCTCTGATTTGGGGATTAAAGAGTGGTAAGTACCAGGGTGTTGCAGAATTTGAGATAGGATCTTAGAAGTGTCGACTTCATTGAGAGACTTGCAGCTAATGTAAGCACACAAACCCCGACATGATTTGAACCAAGGAGCTTCAAGAACAGTGTTTTGAATGGCGTCATCTAAGAATCAATCAAATGTAACCAGAATATTAGTATCTGTTTCGGGAGAGAAACAGAGGAATGAGAAAAGAAAAAAGAAAATTGAACCTTGCTGGATTCGGAGGGAAGGGTCCATGGCTTTGAGGGATTTGCGGACAGTGGAACGCACGACCTTTTTCTGCTTGAAAATGGAATCGAGTTCCTCTTGGTTTTTGCTGCCGGTGGTGGTGGTGGTGCTGCTGCTCATGGTGATGATGGATCTAATTGCGGGTGATGATATTCTGGAAACGGGTCGGGTCGGGATCTTGGGGAGGAAGAAGATAGATGATGATCTTTGTAGTGATGTCGTGATACAAAAGACGCGAGCTCCAATCATTACTACTAGCTTCGCTGGAAAACTGTTTGAAAAAGAAAAGAATAAAATCACTGCCAGAATTAAAAAATTGGTAACACGGAACGAAATCTAGTAAATGTGTCTCTTGCTATAGTACAGTCTTGTCCATTTTCTAAGTTTTAGTTATGTAAATGCGATATCATAGAGAATCGTGAACATACAAACTTGTCCAGCAAATTCAAATCATCTTCTCCGTCGATAAACAAGAGTAAAATACTACTCCCAAGATTTTTCTAGGTGTAAACGGCACAGATTTGAAGTCCGTATTGATTCTCAATTCACAATTCACAATTCACAATCAACCCTTAGGATCAAGTACATCAATTATCAAATCAAGTCTGTCGAACAGCAAGTTAAAATCGATCACACTCCAACTTTTATTTCAGATTATCAAATGCTTAAGATATTGTTTGCACAACAAAATATATTGAGAAACAAACTTTGCAACCTGGTGATGATGTTCGTACGGGTCACCATTATATAAAAAGATGCTGTGCTGGGCCGATTTCAAAGAATAGCCCAAAACGAGAAGTTTTATTTTTGGAAAGTAAGGCCCAACCCGTTTAGCAGTATTAGTTGTAAATGGTCAAAGAACGAAAAAGGAAACAAAATAACGCCAAATCGAAAAAATGCATTTCCCTCCAGAGGGAAACATTTTTGGCTCCAAACTCAAAACCATTTTTTCACAAAAGACCGCCTGCAAGCTTGGTATTATAACCAAAAGGATCTCTCCACTTCAATGAAAATATCCAAATCCTTCAAAATCCTCCGCTCAAATTCGCCGTTACATCTTCTTCTCAGTCGTCCTCCTCCAGTGATCTCAAATCACCCGCCGATGGAGAGCCACCCGAAGCGCCAGCGAACAACACGCCTCGTCGGGAAAAACTTGAAACGAAAGCTTACCGTGGAGTCGGATATGGTGCCAATCGTCAGGCAGTCTATCGAGGTCGAAGATGAACAGTTAGATCTCGTCGTCGCGATCCGCCACCACGTCGAGGTTCTAAACTCCAGCTTCTCAGATGCAGAATCTGATCGCGAAGATGTCAAAGAAACTGCTGCTGCTATCTCCGCCTTGGCTAAAATCGGTACTGTAATCCTCAATTTCGCATCTATTCGACGGTTATATTAATTTGGTAGCTAATCCTTAAAGTTTTGAAACGTTTTTCGGCCGTTGAATTGCTCAATCGTGCGTTACAACTATTTGAATCAATTCAGATTCTGGATTCTACTTAGCAATTGGTTTGTTTTAGCTCATAGTTGGCGAGACCTAGAAGTTTTTTTCTGGGCTTAATTTGATTTTTCTTACCTGTTTATGTAGACGAAAATGTGGAAATGCTCGTGGAAAATGGAGCTATCCCTGCTTTGGTTAGATATTTGGAATCCCCGTGGTCTTCGGCAATCGGCGGAAATTTCCCCAAATCTTGCGATCATAAACTGGAGAAGGATTGTGCAGTTGCTCTTGGACTTATTGCTGCTATTCAGGTAACCCAGTCTTCAATTGTTTTTGATGAAAATTTGTAGATGGCTAGTTGTGAATTTCACAATTCCTGTTAGGAGTTGTGCTAATATTAGCTTTCTCTTTTGGAATAGCCTGATTACCAGCAGCTGATTGTGGATGCTGGGGCTATAGTCCCCACCGTGAAGTTGTTGAAGAGACGAGGGATTTGCTGTGGGTGCATGGAGGCTAATGCTGTTATCAGGAGAGCAGCTGATATGGTCACTAATATTGCTCATGACAATCCTAGGATTAAAACAAATATAAGGTACGAGGATCTGATTCTTTTTTCTTAAGGTTTTTGTTATGGCATTGGCTATGCTATTTCATTTGTGACACCTTTTAATAATTACTATTCAGGGTTGAAGGTGGCATTCCACCACTTGTTGAGCTTTTGAATTTTCCGGATGTGAAAGTACATAGAGCTGCTGCGGGGGCCTTGCGAACGGTTTCTTTTAGAAATGATGAGAACAAGAATCAAGTATGTTTTGGCTATGGTGATGCTTTGTTTTATTTTTGGCTTATAAGCGACGTGTTTCTCACATAATTGGAAACTGTTTACTGTGTAGATTGTGGAGTTGAATGCTTTGCCAACGCTTGTATTGATGCTTCAATCAGAAGATTCTTCTGTGCATGGCGAAGCGGTTGGTTCATTATCTTGCTTTAGATTGTTGTAATTCGTTTGCTTTGTTCACTTGTTTCTGATATGCGGTGGAACTTTCAGATTGGGGCAATTGGAAATCTTGTTCACTCATCTCCTGACATCAAGAAAGAGGTTATCCGCGCTGGTGCCTTACAACCAGTAATCGGTCTACTTAGGTATGCTTATTGTTCTTTATTCTTCTGAAATAGATGTTTACTCTTGAAATTCTGAAACATGTTTTGAAACCGATCGCTATGATATCTGCAACAGCTCCACTTGTTTGGAGACACAGAGAGAAGCAGCTTTATTAATAGGTCAATTTGCTGCGCCAGATTCAGATTGCAAGGTATGAGTTTATCTCTTTCTTGACATGATGAGCACATGCTCTTTGGCGATATAAAAGAATGTATTCAAACTAGAGAGCATAATAACATATCTGGCAACATGTGCATGCAGGTGCACATTGCCCAGAGAGGTGCCATTACACCATTAATTCAGATGCTTCAATCATCAGATGAGCAGGTCATGGAAATGTCAGCGTTTGCTCTTGGCCGTTTGGCTCAGGTAGTTATGTTTTTGAATTAGCATTTGAATGTTTTTGTTGCTTCTGGAATCTATGTTTTATATCTAAACACTTAAATCCTCAATGTTTGAATGTTGCAGGACACACACAATCAAGCTGGCATTGGACAAAGAGGAGGCATAGTCGCTCTACTAAATCTTCTTGATGTGAAAACCGGATCTGTTCAACACAATGCTGCCTTTGCTTTGTATGGCCTTGCAGATAACGAGGTAAACCAAACTCTAAAATGAATAGTTTTATATACAGCTATACCCCTAGCTCACTTTACAAACCATGAGTACTTAATTTAATTTATCCGTAAATAGGAAAACGTAGCAGATTTCATAAAGGCTGGAGGAATTCAAAAGCTTCAAGATGACAACTTCACCGTTCAAGTATGCATTTGACTGCTTATGTTTACCAAACCACTCTACATGATTTCCAAATTCTAATCGCAATTCTTCTATCTGCAGCCGACTAGGGACTGTGTTGTGAGGACATTGAAAAGGCTAGAGAACAAGATTCGTGGACCTGTAAGTACCTCTTTCTGTTAGACCTTCTGATTATTAGCTTAAGTATGACCTTGGTTTTAGTCCCCTGATGTGTCACCCTTCTCGCAGGTACTAAGCCAATTATTATATCTAATGAGAACCACAGAGAAGGCTATACAAATGCGAATTGCTCTGTCTCTTGCACATCTCTGTGACCCTAAGGATGGAAAATTAATCTTCATAGATAACAATGGTAATCATCTCATTTGAGAATTTTATTAAGTAGGACTTGTTTTGTTGAATGATTGCTCCTAATCAATCGACGTATTATTACTAATGCAGGAGTAGAGTTTTTGTTGGAGCTTCTATACTTCTCAAGCATGAAGCAGCAGAGATATAGTTCAAGCGCTTTATTCGAATTAGCTAGAAAAGCAACATCCGTTGCACCAGAGGATTCAGCTCCTTCCTCACCACCCCAACGGGTAAAGAAACTTCCATTTCTTATTTCAATTGTAAAAGGTTATATCTGATTTGAGGTCCTGACTTGTTATTGATTGTAAAACTGAAGGCATTCTCGGGTGAGGAATTCGTGAACAACTCTACTTTGTCCGATGTCACCTTCCTAATCGATGGTATAACATTAAATCCTGTTTATGTTTCTAGTAAATCTACCTGTGATAACACTTTTTAAATGAGAATTTACATGGCATTTCATTAGGTCAACAATTCTATGCTCACAAGATTTGCTTGGTAGCTTCCTCTGAAATATTTCGTGCAATGTTTGATGGCCTTTACAAGGTAAGCTTCTAAATTTTAAATTGTGGTATCCATTTCATCATACATATAATACATAAGTATCAATCAACTTACTTGATGATTGGTTTTAGGAACGCAATGCCCAAAATGTAGAGATCCCAAATATAAGATGGGAAGTGTTTGAGCTTATGATGAGGTAAAGCTCTATAAATTCAAACATTTCAACATTAGAATATTACCATAGTGAACTAAGAGTCTTGAGCACACAAAAAAACACAATGTGCAGATTCATCTACACTGGAAGTGTTAACATCCCCAAAGACTTGGCTGAAGATCTGCTTGTAGCAGCTGATCAATATCTTCTCGAAGGTCTCAAACGCCTTTGTGAGTACACAATCGCTCAGGTAAAAACTCAAAATCCGAGGTCATAACTTTTTCTCGACAGACTTATCTCTGTGTGCATGGACTTACTTAATGTTGCTGCAGGACATCTGTGTGGGAAACATACCATCCATGTATGACTTAGCAGATACATACAATGCTTCAGCCTTAAGACGAGCTTGCACTCTCTTTGTTCTTGAGCATTACACTAAGCTCAGCTCTGAATTATGGTATGCAACAACAAAAACAACATTATTACTTCACTATAAAGTTTTGGAAATTTGACTTCACTTTTACTCACTCAGGTTAAATTTATACTGATGTACGCAGGTTTCCCATGTTTATAAGGAAAGCTATACCTGAAATCCGGAGTTACATCACTGATATTCTCACACGGCCAGTCCAAGCTAGCCCAACCATCGTATAAAACATTTAATTTTGATTCTTTTTTTTGGTTAAACAACCGGTCTGTATTTTGGTACAGCTATGTGATTGTTCTTCCCTTTTGAGTATTTTGCTGAAATCGTGAAATGCCTCTATTCTATTTACTCATACCTGCGAGGAGCAGTTTATAAGAATCCTCATAAAGCCAAAAAGGAAAACTGTGCAACTGACTCTAAATGTATATGTTCTGTGTTCTTTTGTCGTTTGTCTTTAGATTGTAAATGGTAGATCTGAGCAGTGTGGGGTAGGGGTGTTCAATTTGGTAAAACCGAACCGACCCGAACCGAACCGAAATAAGTCATATGGTTTGGATTTGGATACACTGTATAAACCGTATGGATGCAATTTTATATAAACCGTGGATATTGATATGGTTTGGATATTAACCGACCGAACCGCAAAAACCGCAAAAAACCGAATAACTTTATATATATTAAATTACTCATATAATAATATAAGTTTAGAGTAATAAATCATTAATTAACTAAAATTTAACAATTAAGAAACACTAAAAAAAAACCTAGATAAAGCGATCTTCCTCTTCTCATACAACAATATTATTATAGCAATTGTCTTCTTCTTCGTTAATCTTTTCTCTTACCCTAGACGTGAACTAAAGGTATCGTATGCCTTAAACAAGTTTTCTCCGTTTGTTCTACTTTTTTGTTTCATAAGTTAACTGATTTTCTTTTAATACTTATTCACTTGTAGATGAGCAAAAGGAATAAGACATGAGTTTGCATTTTTTATTTGAATTTGATCATTTTGATTATGAGAAAAATCGAAAACCCTAATTAATAAAATAATCATAAAACAAAAAATACAAATTAACCGAAAACCGAGATTATTCGACCCGAAAATATCCAAACCGCAAAAACCGAATCCAAACCGAACCAAACCGAAGTAAGTATGGATCTACTATGGTAGCTATTTTTTATTAACCGAAAAACCAAATACCGAAAAAACCGAACCGAAACCGAACCGATATCCGGCACCCCTAGTGTGGGGGAATACAAACCAAACTGATCCGAAACGGAAACAAAATGTATTGACAATCAGCTTGTTAGGCAAAAAGAAAACGAAATCAAATAAATTGAAATTCATCAATTTTTGATATTTTTATATATCAGAACTTTATCAAACCCAAATAACTGTAGAAATTATTTTCTTTACTAAATGAGAGCAAATTACTGAAAAAGTCAAAACCCAAAGCATTGAATGAACGGAACGGACTATCTGGACAGGGCTTTGAAAAGGCCCAAAGTTGAGTCGCCTACGAGACAGGGCCAAACCATCGTGTAGGAACTAAACATAATTAAGCTGCACAAGTCTCTTGTCTCCACACACCGCCATTGCTTCTGCTTCCTTCCTCTATTCCCTCTCGTCACGTCCTCCATTTTTGGGTCATATTTTTCTACGCTCACCAAGATCTTGATTTCTCGGTACCTCTCGCTAAGGTATTTCTCTCTTTCCAATCTCTCAATTTTCCTTCCAATCGATTAGCAATCGAGTCAACTGTGTAAGTACGTTTCTTTCTTCATTTGTTTCCTGCAATTCTATTAGCCCAGTCCCAGAAAACTGCCATTGTTGTTCTGCTCAAAATTGCGCTTTGGTATTTAGATTTGTAGGCGATGTTGACGGATTTTAGCCGAATTTCAGTGAATTCGATGGTTTTGTTTGCGGAAATCAATGCTTAAATTCGCCAAAGTCTTCATCTTTGTTTGTTGAAATTCAGTTATCCTCGTAATCATAGCTCAAATCAACTTTTTGTAAATCGAATTGTTTGGTTGGATCTAGATGCATCTACGTTACCTCTTTGTTATCTAGCTCACTATAAAGTACAATCCTTTTATTTGTTCTTAATAAAAATCTCTCCTTCATGTATTCAGATTCGGTATTCCGTTCTGTTATCAGCTACATCATCGTGTTTTGTTACATCAATTACATTCAAGCTTGTACGGTGTATACAAAAGCATTCATGATTTGGATTTGAATTAGTTTTTGATTGATCTATGTTTGGTTATTCAGATTCTTAGATGGTAAAAGCATACAGACAAGAGCATGTCTACAAGCATCCATGGGAGCGAGTGAGCGCTGCCTCATGGAGGAAGTTTGCAGACCCTGAAAACAAACGCATCCTTTCTCACATCCTCGAAGTCGACACCTTGAACCGTAAACTCGACACGGACACCGGGAAACTCCACACCACACGTGCCCTCACCATCCATGCTCCTGGCCCATGGTTCCTTCACAGGATCATCGGTCAGGACATCTGTCACTGCGTTGAATCAACTGTTGTCGATGGCAAATCACGTTCTATGCAGGTACATATCACCAATTTCTTCTATGCCTTTTCCTCATAATTTGTAGTCAGTATATGAGGAAACGTTATTGTAATGATGCATTTATTAGTAGCTGAGTGTTTAGATTAGCTTAGATACCACTAGAGCTGGATGAAACATTTGTAAGATGAGGAACTAGTTTTATTCGGTTTGTTGTAATCTGTTTGATTGAAACTTGATTGGCATAAACAAGAACCATGGAGGAGTGTTATAGATTAGCTAATATAGCATTTGAGCTTAGAAAATATCGAACAGAGACGTCTAACTATTTCGTTTTCATTATAATCCAGCTTACTACAAAGAACATTAGTCTCCAGAAGTTTATTGAAGTGGAGGAGAGGATAAGGTACGATCCGCATCCAGAGAATCCATCGGCATGGACGGTTTGTAGCCAGGAGACGAGCATTAGGATCAAACCCTTGTCGGCTCTGGCCTCAATGGCGGAGAAAGTTGAGCAAAAGTGCGCAGAGAAATTCATGCAGAATAGCGTCAAAGGACGAGAGGTTATGGAGAGGATTTGTAAGTATATGGAAGCAGAATCAGCTCCAATCTAAAGATCCAGACTTTTATAGATTTCAGTATCTTTCTTGGTCTTTGGATTTTCGAAATGTTATGTAATTCAAGACCACTACGTTTTTTGGAGCATGGTAATAATAATAATCCCATGAAACAGTTAGATCAAATCAACCTGCTGCCTTTTTTTGTTCAGCTACTTCTCCTGTTTGTTGTGTTCGTGAAGCTCTTTGTCTAAAGTTTGACTCTAAATCCAGACCAATGAATTGAACTGTCTTATAGCCATTGTTGATTGCTACATGACTTGCATTCAATATATATAATTGTGTTTTGCTGCAGAAGAAAGTCTTGTCAGTTGTTAAAATCGTTATTAAATGCACGCGAAAGTCTTTCCCCATTGAACTGTGGGCCAAAATAATGGTTTAGTATTTAGTTCGTGACTGATTCAATTTTTATAAGCGGTATGTCATTTTCTCAGCTGGTTTTTATTTTCCTCTCCTTCATCCACCGAACTTAATTAACTCTCATAAATTCATATTTTCTGCAGTTTTCTTACAACTTTCGGTACGTAGACATAACAGAGACTATGAAAAACAAACTGAATGAATATTTTTATTTTAAAAAAATTATTAGGATACAAATTAACTTAAGTTCACCATAAGTTTTTTTTTTCTTTCAACACAGGTAAAGTGTAACAGAATAATTTACAACATGAGCTCTCAGAAATATATGCTCAAAAGGTATAGAAGATTTGAGAGATTAATTAAAGGAAGAGTAGATTTGCATTTGAGTGAGAATGTGCTCGAAATTCTCGGTGGATTTTTCGATGGGATGCGAATGAACTCCTTCGTAGGTTGTGACGACGACTTCTTGATCCACTGATAATCTTTGCACTTGCTTCTTCACGTTGCATCCTCCGTATGTGCACCTATAGTAACTCCTGCACATGTACATATTTATTCAAACCATTAGTTTATAAAACTTTACTTCTCCTACTGAAGAGTAATTAACGATGCACATTTAAAACGAAGACTTTCAATTTAATCATATCACTGGCCAATTATTAGATAAGCTTGAGGATAAAGATGAGAAAGAAACAAATCCAATCAATATGCAGAGTAGTTAAGATCATCCTAAAGCTGATGTGATCATGTGAATGATAACCCATTGGTTATTCAGTAGAAGAGTAACCACCAATCGTCAACTTTTTCTCCCAAAATGCTCATTTATTAAGATTTTCCACCAAAAGACTTAACTATAACCCATTGGTTATTCAGTAGAAAAAAAAAAAGACATTATCACGATCTTGCTAAAGAACTCTGATAAAAAAAAAAAAAAAGATTATTAGGAACATAATAATCAAGCGTAGTACCTAAAGATCAATCTACACTCGAGGACTATCATGATTTTCGATTCGTAGAAATCGTAGATAAAAAGAACAATATGTATCAGGTTAATTTGAGATCGGATAGAACACATAAACGTTAATTCTTATCTTCTATGCTAAATATATAGAAATTTGAGTATTGGTATATTAAAACGGAGGGAGAATGAAAAATGAATAAGGTCGAACCTAGGGAAGTTGTTGTTCTTGACGGCCTTTTGGCCATATTTCCTCCATCGATAACCATCATCAAGAATATCCACTTGGCTCCTTGTCTGAAACGCAAACCTTTGTTTCTTCCCCTTCTTTTTCGACTCCAAGCTTCTCGATGAACCTCCTCTAACCTTTGAGGCCTCTTCTTCACCTTCATGGAACTCCGATTTAGAAATGTTTTCATGCGATTTCAGCGACAAAAACGGTGCATACAACGATCCGTTATCATATCCCTCCATATTCCTAATTAACTATCGAATCTTCTAAATAACTCTTTCAAGTTTCAACAATACAGGCCCGACCAGATTTTCAAGATGAATATTTCTTTTTAGCTTTTTTCTTGTTTGTTTGTTTGTTTGGTATTAAAGATTAGTCTATATTATATAGAGACATTTATGGCAGACTGCCAAGTCAAAGACGAAGAGGCGGCCCGCTGCTAATCGTTAAAGCAGCAGAATTACTAGAAGGGGGAAGTGTCGTAAACGACACGTAAGAATTAAGCATTAACATTACATTTTATACACATTATTAATTAGTGACATTATATGAATCCATTGATCCATTATCCATATCTCCTTAAACAATATACATAGATCTACTGGCAATTAGCTTAGCGGATTAAGAATAGCTTTTCGAGGATTTACTTACTGATTCCTGAATTAATAAAGAACCGATAACGTACGTGTGGTATTGAGAGTGCTTTGAATTTGCTCATTAATAAACATATCTTACTATCTAATGTTGAGTTATTGGTGACCTGACGTAAGAATCAATTAATAGTCTGCTTTTTCTAAGTAGATTTTTAAAACGATGCATGCACGTACGAACATATATAGAACCTTTTTTTTTTTGTTAAAGAGAAAACATATACAGAACTTTTACTAAAACCTTTTAACAAAAAACAAAACTTTTACTAATGGGTTGTGGAAGATTCATTAGTCGATTTTTTTTCTCTCGAGTGACGTAATATATGGGTTAGGTTTTCCTTTTCGTCGAACGTCATATGGGTTTACATTTTTCTTTCTGTCGAACGTCATGTGAGTTTGAAAAATAAAAACTGACACGTTTGCGTTAAATATTATCCGTATGTAGAAGAAATATATACCATATTTGTTGAATTGATCAATCAAAGTCTACAACGTTTGAATCCACATATATAATGCTGTCACCAGTAGTTAAATTGATAATCTAGCTCTTGAACACACAAGTCTTTTTCGACTTTTCGTATCTGAGAATACGAGTTATATATCCTCGAGTCTTCACCGTCATTTTTTTGTATTGACTAAAATTGCAGCATGGCAACAAGATAAGTAGTTTGAGTCGATTCTTCGTTCCATGCTACAAAATAATTAATGAATACATACATATTTTGGCTTTATTGAATAAATATCCAATTGCATGGATATATATGAACGGATATAACTTCTGACGTATATTGCTACGTGATTTTTTTTGTTCTTTGGCGAGAAAACCAGAAGTAGATAATCCATAGGTTTGTATGTAGTTGGGTCAAAATTTTAATCCTTGTAAAAGGGGAAGCGAGATATTTTACTTGGCGCAGACGTGGTTGGTAATTATCTTCCAAGGTTGAAGTTGAAACCAGTAACCAATTATTATAATTGAAAAGGAAAAGCAAAAGAAGCTCACCATTTCCTGTTGCTAGTCCATGCTTGCTTGACCATTCAAAGTGCAAAGAAAGAAGAAAAATAGGAACACTTATATATTATGATCAGATCAGATGTATGTTTGAATATTACAAAGTCCTGAGCATGTGTTTGGAAGACGCACGTGTTCTTTTACATTACTTTTCGTTTTGTACCGGTCCACGCTCTCTTTGTTTTTCTAGGAAAAGAAAACATCAAGTCTTCTCTTTTGAAGGTTTTCTAAAAGGATCAGATGGAGGCTTTGAAGAGTTAACGTAATGGGCTAAGTTGGTGCTGTGAAAAATTTGGGCTTATTATGTGTGCCAAGAGTTGCTTTTGGGCTTGAAAAGTATATTAAGGAAATATTTGATATGGAAACGAAAACTAATTCATGGTCACTCACTTGATTGGAAAAAGTTCTGTTGACTACAAAAAATGGGATCTATGTCATGAATTCGATCGGAACATTTAAGAGTACTTTCAGAGTTTTTTAGATGCATTGACGCAAGGCAGCATAAGAAGAAGAAAAAGGGAAAGTTAAGCGAACTTATAACATATGGTATACCATAAATAAAGATTACTAAAAACAGCATAAATCAGTAGATATCAATACATTAAATAGATTTGAGAATGAGACACACTCTCACTATGAGGATGCCTCAATCAAAAGTTAAATATTTGTTGGCCCACCCTTTGAAACAGTCTACCTAATCCACAAACTTCGTTCCTAAGCAAAATCTTTATAAAATTTTATTGAAAATCCTCAAAATCGCTGTACTGCGCCTAGAGAGACTAGACTCTCACCACCAAACCAAAAGAGATTGAATATACCAAAAAATGGCTACATTGCAAAAGTTTGAACATTTTAGAGAATTTTTCATGAACAGAAAACATTGGACTAAAAAGAAGAGCTAAAGCCTACATTTTTTCCCAACCAAGAATATCAAACATATCCAAAGTGACACATTTTAGAGAAAGAAGAAAGAAATTAAACCATGGAGATGGAGATTATTTGTTTTTCTTCCAACAACAAAAACAAAAAAAAAGGCATAAACTTTTGGTCGATGCTTTTACGCGTTCGGATTCCAAAGTCTCCAAAAATTGGAATTGAAAAGACCCAACACGTCCGGTAGTACCTTCCTCGCCAATCCCTTGTGCACAGTCGCCGGAAACACCACCGTCGATTCTTCCTCTTCTTCTTTGGCAACAACCTTCTCATCCCGCGGCTCTCGTTCCGCCACCTCAGCTTCACTCAATCTTCCCGGCGAGTTATCTGGAGACGACACGTGGCTCTCGGAGACTGTGGTTTCGTGCTCGACCTCGACTTCGGCGACAGGTGTATCCTCCTTATCAGCGACCGTACGAATCGGTTTCTCTTTCTTCTTACCTCTCTTGGATTTGCTCCGGGAAGCCGAGTTCTCGCCGCCGCCGGTAGTGAGATGATGACTCTCAAACGCCTCGATGATTTCGTGAATGAGCTCACGGTTCGGCGACGAATCCCATCGGAACCAGTAGTTAGTGTAGCAGTCGAAACACTCGCAATTGAAAACAGGAGGCTTGTGGGTTTTGCTAGATTTGTTCTTCTTCTTCATCTTCTTCGAATCTACAGAAGGAGACGAGGAAGAGTAGCTACTTCCGCAGCTTCCTATGGCGGAAATGGTGGTTCCTCTGGTGATCAAGTAAGCGAGAACTTCACGGTCTTCAGCTGAGAGAACAGAAACCAGAACCAAAATCGTAGCTGGAAGAAGCCTCAAGACAGAGAGAGAGTCGTCTTCGTTGAGATAGTGAGACGAAGGAGAAGAAGAGGAAGATGATGGTGGAGGAGGAGAAGGGTAAACTTTTCCTTTCTTCTTCATTTTCATGGCGGATTTTTTTTTTTTTTATTGGGGGAGACGAGGATGAACAGTCTTTTTGGTTTTCTCTGCCTTTACCAATGTCCAGTGGAGAGAGAGTTTTATTTTGTTCTTTAAAATTTGTTTTATTTTTTAAAGATAAGGAGAAAGTGTGATAACGTTTAATTTTATTTTTTGAGGTTTATTTTTGGTAAATTGGACTCCAATTATACGGCCCACCTCACCTATCTTTTTACAATAAACCATGCAAGTTTTTGCTTTTTATTCTTTCCATGCTTTTTTTTCGTGTTTCGTCGTATTCTTTGGATACAGTTAGGAAAAGATAAAACTTACCACATTACTGTTTGTAATTGTAATACAACTGTTGTGATGGTTCATGTGTAAGTAAATTTGCTGTTTTTATACTTGGTACTAACTTTCTTTTTTTGACGATTTGAATTTTCAATATACAAGAACTGGTAAAATGATTTCTAATTGAAGCTTATTTTCTTATAATTTGTTACCTCTATATTAATTGAAAATGCCTTACATGAGGATCATGTTTTTAACAGTTTACTAATAACGGAAGTTATTCCAGATGTTTGAAAACGAGGTATTTTCTTATATCTATTACTTTAAGGAAATATCTGAAGAACAACGTGTTAGATACTTTAAAACAGTTGGGTAGCTGATAAATTCGTATTAGTAAATGAAATTAGATAAGTTCTGCTTTGTCTGTTATCGTTCAATGATAGAGGAGTGTGCATATGAACATTGAACATAGATGTTAATAAGCTGATATGGTAGATATAAGTTCCTCGTTTCTTATTAACAAATCTGTAACGAGAATTTGGATTACTTTACCAAGATTCTAAATAATTCATAGCTACTCCTAATGATTAGCTTGTCTTCTCAAAGATGCTCTTTTATCTTCCGATGCAGCTTTACACACTTTTAAGAGATTCGGAGAGATTTGAGTTTTTTTATATCAGGATATGAAGGCCCATGTACAGATGGGCTTCAAAAGAATAACCCATCACATTCTAATATCTAAGCACTGATCCAAATATTCAAGCCTTTTTAACTATCATATCAACTTGAAAAACATTGTGACTATCTCACTAGCATAGACATCTGTTCAGAGTTGTTCTTGCCTTCTTGGGACAAATCATCCCTTGTCTATAAATCCTTCCAAAATAGTTTTCAAAACGAACTTATGCAAGATGCAATAAAAGTAAACATGCATATATTTTGGATCTATGGTTCAAAGATTCTCTTGAATTTTCCTCTAATGGAAGGAAAGTAATTTAGTCTAAGAATCCTAAATTATTTGTGAGTGAAACAGTCACCTGGAATGTTTTATCTTCATATCAAAAGATTTAGTTTTTTATTACTTTCATTTCATATTTTCTACAAAAAGAAACAAGGGAAACAAATTTTATTACAACATAAAATCCAGGTACTTTACTACTTGGGGTTATTTACACACACAAATGGAAGATCACAATATTTATCTTTTACTAGCCGTTACAGGTAAAAAATTCCGTTAATCTAAACGCGCGATTCACGACGTTTTCACGCCGTCCAAGACAAGTCCGCACATGTGGCGCAGCTAGTCTGATATAGCCCCATCCCTATCCCTGACACAGCCTCATACGTGTGAGATAGCTCTCTCATTGGTTGACTCCTCTAATAAGCTGATGTGTCTATCTATAATTGGCAATCTACCAAAAAGGGGACACCATGTGTGCACGTTAGGAGGATGCCGCCAGCTAATAACGACAGCTAGTGGAACAAATTAACAAATCAGGTAACAACGAGAGAGAGGATAAAAATTGCATAATCAACTATTTTAACATTTTACATTAAAGTAAATAAATAAAAAGGGGTTGGTTTGATGTTTTTGAGTGGCGTGGTCCACCTCTCGCACGGTCAAGCCATAGCCATTCGTTAGTCAGAGGACTTACGGTGACCATTAGGATTACGCCACGTGATTATACTTTCCTCTCCCGCGTTCTTGTCTCTCAGATCTGACCGTTAACTCCAACAGTCGTGTTCTTTCGCATCCCATATCTAGCCGTTGAGCCGATACAGCTCCTCTCTCTCTCTCTCTCCTCTCTGAAGAAAGTCGAAATCTGCAGAGAACAAGATTTTGGCTGTGTGTCTCTGCGATTTCTAATAATCTTTAAAAAAAATGGGAAAGCTTTTGTGTGATTCGACGACGACATTTCAATCTCCTTCACCTACCGTTCCGTGGAGGGAACCGGCGACAGCCGCCGTGTCTCTCGATGACGTGGATCTTGTTGACCAATCCGCGGCGGCTGCAGCTGTTGAAGCGGTGGAGAAGACGATGGCGGCCGCAACCACCACTGCATGGGATGAGGTTTTCGGTTTAGAGGAGCAGCAGAGACGGCACCTCCAGCTGCTTCACGCGAAAGGGGTTCTGTGGAAGCATCCCGGGAAAGAAGAGGAATCCTCCGCGCCCGTCGTTTTCCGTCTCTCCCACGGCGGAGAGGTCTCATCGGACGGGAACTGCCTATTCACAGCGTCCCAGAAGGCCATGGAGGCGCGTGGGATCGACGCGCGTGACCTCCGGCGGCGCACGGTGCGGAGGTTCCTTGAGGATTTCGGATCCGCGAGCGAGGAAGAAAAGGAGGTAATCACGGAGGCGATTAGGCATATGTATTCGCCGGATCTGAAAACCGGGTGGGGGATTCATATCGTCCAGGAAGAGAAATTGCTCGCCAAAAAAGATGAGCGTGAGAGTTTGGATTCCGCCATTGAAGAGCTTTTGCAGATTGGAATGCAGAGGTACTCTTTTCTCACTCCGAATTCAGATCTGGTCTCTGTTCCATCACAAACGTATCTTTATGCCTGAGCATTCGTGATTTTGATCTATTCAATTACAAAATGAAGAAATGTAGCATTTTTGTTCTTATGATTGATAAAGTTTTAAGCTTTGGTTGAATTGTGCTCTATAGTCTTTCACTAGGACAAACATGCATCTGTCTTGTGTTTGTATTGATTTTCTAATTACTCTTTCCTTATGTTTTTCACCATTGCAGAGAAACAGCTGCAGAGTCGATCTACAGAGAGAGGTGTCTCCCGGTGAACGACGGGCTTAGCTGGGCAAAGTACATGTCGATATCAGGGTCGTCAGAAGATGAGCATGATATCATCACCTTACAGTATACAGAAGATGGTTTGTTATCTGTAGATGAGAACAGAGACGGACATGCAGCTGCTTTTGGGGATGACATTGCAATTGAATGTCTTGCCACAGAATTCAAACGAGAAATCTATGTGGTGAGTTAAAAATCCTTATTTTTTTTCTTGTTTTCGTCTTGTGTTCAAGTTTTGTGTTGCACATCAAATTAAAGTTTTGAAATTTGGGTATTGTAGGTGCAAGCGCATGGATCAGATGGGATGGTAGAGGAAGAGAACTGTGTGTTCTTCCTTCCTCACAAACCAAGAAGTGAAGTCATTGAATTCCCAGTCTTTCTATTCATGAAAGGGACAGGTATAAAAAAATGAACACCCATCAGTTGAGATTCATTCTTAAGTTTTTTCCGACTTTGGTGATAATAATAAAAAGTTCTCTGCTTGTTCAGGTTGGTGTGGTGGTGGAGCAGATCATTACGAGCCTTTGATTGCGAATCCATCTCCGATGATATCCCATGAGAAAGTCGCCCTCGTTCTCTGATTTTGTGCTCAGTTTTTGAGGGTTTTTGGTAGTTTTGTTGTTGTTGTTGTTGTTAGAATCAGTCATCATGTTATGGAGAGACAGAGAGAGAGAGAGAGAGAGATGAGATTTGTGCAGGTTATTGGCCTGCGAGTTAAGCTTCTTTGAGAGCATTGTTGTAGTTTGAGAGCATTTGATTTTTTGTTCTTTTATTGGGGAAGAGTTGAGTGAGGCTGTAAGAGTGTAAAACTCATAAGTTTTCCTGAGCAATTTTGTTTTGACTTCTTTGAAATGAGTAATACATATCTTCTTCGACTTCCAACTAAGGGGATGATTGGTAGGGGCTGTGGTTGCTCTGCACAGCCCTAAATCTCTCTACAGTAATACCAAATTACCAATCAAGCTCTCATTTTATCTCTTTCCATTTTTGAAACACAGAGCAATTTTATTTATTTATGGAAGTTCCGTGGCTTTGGAAAGCAATTTTTCTAGAGCACCAAATTAAGTGCTCTTAGAATTTTCTCTCTTCTCTTTCCTTATTAATCTTTCAACATTTATTTTTTAATCTATTATTTCTATATCTTAACTTTTTTGTTTTAATATTATATTTAATGACACAATCTATAATAAAAAATTTTACAGCACTAAAATCTAGAATCACAGCCAAAATTTCTACATCATTAATTCTACAGCAAAAAAATTAAAGCTACAGCCACAACCAATCAGGCCCTAAATTTGCAATTTCAATTTCATCACTGTTTTACAACATACAAAAAGAAGGAAAGTAGGTGAAAATGAAAGCATCTTTTGAGAAACGTATATTCGAAGATCTTCTTATGAAAATGAAACAAAACAGAACAAAAGGAAGAGAAAGCAAAGTCCACTTGGGGGTTTGGTTGAATTGAATATTAATATCTGGAGAGACAGCAGCCTTCACGTCGGTAGCCATACACCATATCACAGATTCACAGTAGTGTGAGCAATTTTAAAAGTTTGGCAAAAGACAATATAACCTTTGGGAGATCTCGAAAGGTTGTTATTTGCAGAAAATGCCCTTTAATCTCCTTCGATGTTTCTTATGTTCATTTTAAAAGACAAAACCTAAAATCTCTTCCTCCTCTCACTCCGGAACAATTTTAACCATGGCTTCTTTGTCTTCCTCCGTCACCTCCCGGTCGTGTCGGTCCGGTTATCCGGCTTCTTTCTCACCTGTTAACAGTAACCGATTATCTCGATCACTCTCGTTCCTGCCTGCTTCTCCTCAAGGATTGAATTTTAATGAGCTCTGTGTTAGATTCCAGAGGAAGTCCGGTCGTGCCTCTGTCTTTATGCAAGATGGTTAGTTCCGCAATTCACTTGCTTCCTTCTCTGTTTATGTTTCCGGATTGGATTTGATCAAATCCAAAAACGAGTTTTTTTTTTTAACTGTAGTTGAATTTCTGGTAATAAATTCAATACTGATTGGATCATTTGATTAGTTCAAGTGTAATCATTTGATATTTACATTGGTTTTTTAAGGTGCAATAGTCAGCAATTCAAATCCAACAGATGGTAAATCTTCTCTTAAAGGATTGAAAGAGGAGGTGTTATCAGTTATATCTGAAGAAGCAGCCAAGGTTGGAGCAGGATCCGATGGTCAAAGTCAGTCGACGGTTAGTATCACGGTGGTTGGAGCCTCTGGTGATCTTGCCAAGAAGAAGATTTTCCCCGCTCTTTTCGCTCTTTACTACGAAGGCTGTCTTCCCGAGGTATTGTTATGTTACCTTCTGTGATTGCTATTTTGATTGTGTGTGATGATTGATAATATGATATGTGTCTGTGTGGCAGCATTTTACGATATATGGATATTCTAGGAGCAAGATGACAGATGCTGAGCTTAGAAACATGGTCAGCAAAACACTTACCTGCAGAATTGATAAGAGGCAAGCACTTGTAGCTCTTAAAGTCTCCGTTTTTAGTTTAAAGATAGATTTCGACCAAAAAAAAAAAAAATTTAAAGATAGATTATTAATTATGCAATTTGTTGCATCTGGATTTTCAGGGTAAACTGTGGTGAAAAGATGGAAGAGTTTCTCAAGAGATGTTTTTACCACTCTGGTCAGTATGATTCTCAGGAACATTTTGCTGTATTGGACAAGAAGCTCAAGGAGCATGAGGTAGTTGATTTGTTCCACTGCTAGTTGGAATCTCTACTTCCTTTTCATATGTGTGACATATTGTATTCTTGTAGGCTGGAAGAATCTCGAACCGCCTCTTTTATTTGTCTATTCCTCCGAACATATTTGTAGATGCTGTGAAATGTGCAAGCTCTTCTGCTTCATCTGCCAATGGGTGGACTAGAGTCATTGTCGAGAAGCCTTTTGGTCGAGATTCTGAAAGCTCTGCTGCTTTAACGAAATCGTTCAAGCAGTATCTGGAGGAAGATCAGATTTTTAGGTTGGGGAGAGATACTGCACTTGTAGCTTTCTTTGTTGTTGTTGTAATGCTAATGGTTTTGGATGCTAAGGCTAACATAAGCTGTGTGCTTACAGGATAGACCATTACCTAGGGAAGGAGCTAGTGGAGAACTTATCTGTTCTTCGATTCTCAAACCTTATATTCGAACCGCTATGGTCAAGGCAATACATAAGGAACGTCCAGTTGATATTCTCTGAGGATTTCGGCACTGAAGGACGTGGAGGGTAAATTGAATGTTTTCCATTATCTGGCTATTGCTATCTCTTCTCTTCTGTATTGGAAGCTTATGTTTCTTCTCTGTTCTGTTATAGGTACTTCGACAACTACGGGATTATAAGAGATATAATGCAGAACCATCTGCTTCAGATCTTAGCCCTCTTTGCCATGGAAACACCTGTTAGTTTGGATGCAGAGGATATCAGAAATGAAAAGGTTTCAAGTGTTTTCTTTTTTCCCCTTTATAACTTGGTTTTTGGTTCAAGAAAGGTTATTTATGAAAAGCATTTTCCCTACTACAATTCAGGTTAAGGTTCTACGTTCAATGAGGCCGATTCAAGTCGATGATGTGGTAGTAGGACAGTACAAGAGCCAGACAAAGGGAGGAGTCACATATCCAGGCTACACCGATGATAAAACTGTGCCAAAAGGTAGTCTGACTCCAACATTCGCAGCTGCTGCTCTTTTCATCGACAATGCTAGATGGGACGGTGTGCCTTTTCTAATGAAAGCCGGCAAAGCACTACACACCAGGAGGTAAGTGCCTATAATAACTTCAAACTAATGAAAGTTTGCAAATGTTTTGACTATTTTTGATAAGCAAGATTATGAAATGTTGATAACAGGGCAGAGATAAGGGTGCAGTTCAGGCATGTTCCGGGGAATTTGTATAACCGGAGTACTGGTTGTGATCTTGATAAAACTACAAATGAGCTTGTGATCCGTGTCCAGCCGGATGAAGCCATATACTTGAAAATCAACAACAAGGTCCCTGGTTTAGGAATGAGATTGGATCGTAGTAACCTGAATCTTCTATATTCCGCAAGGTTAGTGAGTTGTGAGTTTAAGGAAACAAAAAGAAGAGATGAAATCTTGCTCGAGTTTGAAATTTCTTTGTTGTTGTCAGGTATTCAAAGGAGATACCAGATGCGTATGAGAGGCTACTGCTGGATGCGATAGAAGGAGAAAGAAGGTTGTTCATAAGAAGTGACGAGCTTGATGCAGCTTGGTCACTCTTCACTCCATTGCTTAAAGAGCTTGAGGAGAAGAAGAGAATCCCTGAGTACTATCCTTATGGGAGCCGTGGTCCAGTCGGTGCTCATTATCTAGCTGCTAAGCACAACGTCCGATGGGGTGACGTCAGCCTTGAGCAGTAAAAGAGACCAGACCATCAAAAGATTTGTCATTTGTATGTGTTGTCATTATACACATTGAAATAGGTTTTATGTAGAAATCAAGCTTTTTTCCTACCTCTCTTTTTAAAACTTTGGCTTTGTAGAATTCGTTATTTTGGGTTTAGAGTCTTGAGAGACCATTTGGATATTCAATAAAATCCAGTTTCGTTTCATATATTATAATCTCATAGCTTTGATCACCTAGTTTTGTCTTTGCAGAATTGTGAACATTTGGGTTCTGTACCATTAATAAATAAATACACTAAAGGGTTTCTCTTTTTCTTCACGCTTTAGTCTTTTTATGTTGTGGGTCAGGCTGGTTCAACGGTATCGTTGAGTGTGACTACTGCGTAAGTTGAAGAGTAAGCGCAAACAGAACGCAAAACGGGACATTTCAAACAATAGCAGCATAAAGCTATAATTTGAAGGGGTGTGTGGTCTGTCATTAGGGTTTAGAAACTCTGGGGAATTCATTTATTCTTCTGTAACTTCTACGAGTTGTACAATTCGGTTAATTAGGGAAGCCTAAGAATATTGTGCCCTGTAGTTATAGCTAATCAACCTCTCAAGTCAAACTTGGGACTCCTTGCTTCTCCTCTTCTTGGAAAAAGAAAGAATCACAAAGAAGGAATTATTCTTATTACCAATCCATTTTGAAAAAAGAAAAAGCGTGTAGAGTAGAATGCAAAACACATAATAGCTCCATCGGTTTTGGGGTTTTAGATGTTAAACTTAAGCATCGGACATAGGAAGTTGACCACAGTCTGCAATGATCACTTTCTTCCTGGGACGGTCTCCTCTGTCTGTCTCTTGTTCCTCTATGAGCTTCACCACATCCATTCCTTCTATCACTTGCCCGAACACCACATGCCTTCCGTCCAACCATGACGTCTGTTTTCCACATATCAATTTTACATACAATCAACTTATAGCAGCAAAACTTTGGATGTTTCTTCATTTACATCTCAAATCAGTTTTACATACAATTGCTATACAATTGAGAGAATATTTTAAAGCCTTACATTGACAGTGCTGATAAAGAACTGGCTTCCGTTTGTATTAGGGCCAGCATTTGCCATACTCACAACTCCTGGTCCGACATGGGACACTGCAGCATATTTGCACATCATTACTTCCATGAATCTTATAAAAGAGAATGCGGAAATGCCTCACAATTGACGAGTTTCGACTGCTAGAGAGCACACGAGATCAAGGATAGACTTACACTTGAAATTCTCATCCTTGAATTTCTGGCCATATACACTTTTACCTCCAGTTCCCTGCTCAACAATTAGACTTCCGTATCATTATAAGCAGTAACTAAAAGGGCATTTAGTAACTGAGATGTGCAGAAACTGAAGATAACAATATAACTTCTAGATGAGAGGCATGAACAGGTGAGCAGCAGACCAACCAAGCAGATAGATATAAAGAGCATATGAAGCCAACAAAAACAATAAAAGACTGTGCTGTCAAGGAAACTCACATTGCCCTTCTCAAAGTCTCCTCCCTGGATCATGAAATCTCTGATGACACGATGAAATGTCGAACCTTTGTATCCGAATCCCTTCTCACCTGACCAAATATCAATCATTCACAGGATTAAGCACCCACACACACACACTCTTGTGCAAAAGAAGCATCCCATTCCCATATGAACATAGTATTGGGACGTACCTGTGCATAGAGCACGGAAGTTCTCGACAGTTTGGGGCACATCATCACCATACAACCCAATAACAATCCTCCCAGCTAATTTCCCCACTGGATTCCCAACACTTATATCCAAATACACCTTGTGGGTTATCTTCGATTGAGGTTCGGTTAACGGCTGAAATACGAATCCAGAAATCAAAATCCACAAATATGATATACAAATCTCTTTACAATACAAGGAGATGAGAGGATCACTAACCTCGGCATTCGATTGAACCGAGAAGCAGCGGTGGTTGTTTCGGGTAGAAGATGTATGAAGGAGGAGCGATGAGGCGGAGAAGGAGGCAGTTGAAGACGAAAAGGAAATGGAATCGAAGGCGGATTTGGTGCGCAATCGGAAAGAGGGAGGTGAGAGAGCGGAGGTATTGATCTGAGAAAGTCTTCGTGGAGCAGCTGAGAACGACTTCGGATTTGACTAGGATGATGATAACCGAAAAGAGGAGCATGAGAAGCAAGCGTTAAGGTTTGAAAAACAAACACTCGAGAGAAGATATAACGAACTTACCAGGGTCATCGACAAATCCGCCATGGGAGCTCAAACTTGATGTCGCTGTATCGGTAGGTGATGAGTGATAGACGAATGAGTATGAGAGAAGCAGAAATCATCTGTTGTAGTGTGAGTCCTGAGAAATTACGGTTGTGCCACTGCCCGGTGGCGTGGACTTACAAGGTGAGTGGGCCAGGTCACGGTCCTATGAATTGTTTTCTTTTAACTTTTAACCAACTGTAGTATTCAAAATCAAAAAATTGAAACACAAACTAATTTGTTTTTCTTCATAACCAATTCTAAGAAAATCCCAACCAACCAAATTAACTTATGATATTTTTCTCAAAAATTTGATAACCCAACCCAATTTTGATTAAATAATAATATTAAAATTTATTTTTGGTAAAAAGGCTTGAATTGGAAACCTTACACTAATGGGCCAATGAGCAATTAATGAGCCTTAAACGTCGTGTGACTACGATATTATCGGGAAGGTGGACAGTTTTTTCCCAAGTCGCGCCACTCTTTTTCCCTTATATACACGCACTCGCTCCCTTCACTTGCACCTTTCCTCGTCTCTCTCTCTTCCTCTCCCAAACAACTCTACCTTTGCCTTTTTCCTAATCATGGCGGATTCTTCTCAAGCTAGGTCTCACAAATCCCTTCTAGTGATCGGAGGCAAAACCGATTCTGCTGGCAGTTCTAACCCTAAACCTCACGGTGTCTCCGGCTCGAATCTCCGTGACTCCTCCAAGCCGCAGGGACTCAAGAGAGATTCAAGATACGATGAGAACGGTGATGCTGATAACTTGCCTATCAAGAAATCGAGGACGACGACGCTTGCTTCTGATCCCGAGAGTAACTCTGAGAACAGTAAGAGAATTGTGCCTCTGGCTGTAAAACCATTGACGGTTGTGGAAGCGGATACTCCGAAGCTTTCTCGACAGTTTTGGAAAGCAGGCGATGACAAGGAAGATGAGCCTGTTGCTCGCTATTGTAATATACTGATACTTCTTCTGTTGAATAGAGAAGTTTTGAGATCTATGCAATTCGAAACCCTAATTGTGTGATTTTAATGTTTGTAAGTAGGTAGCAATGATGCGGCGGTTAGGGTTCATCCTCAGTTTCTTCATGCTAACGCCACTAGTCACAAGTGGGCTCTTGGAGCTTTAGCCGAGCTTCTTGACAATTCCCTAGATGAGGTATGTACTTACATATGATGATAATATATGATCTTTATAATTTCTTCATCTCAAAATTCTAAGAAGTTGATACTAGATCCACTTAGTCAAACAACCAAAATATATAGTCTTTCTAGGTCAATTTGCTTGTTTTTGTCCAAAAACAACTTCTTGGGCTGCTTTAAGTGCTAAGTTTATGGATATGATTGATAACTCGTATGGTTTTATGTTAACTTAACTTATGGTTGATCAATGTTGTGCTGATTTGTAAAACAGGTATGTAATGGGGCTACATATGTGCATGTTGATTCAACAACAAATAAAAGAGACGATAAGAGCAGCATTCTTATAGTTGAAGGTTAATTAATCACTTTGGATAGTTTCTGATGAACACTGATTTTGTGTAAAACATGATTATGAAAGTCTCTTTAACTGATATTGCAGACAATGGAGGTGGGATGAATCCAAGTAGGTTTAGAGAGTGCCTTTCTTTGGGGTATTCAAGAAAACGCAATATGGCTAATACAGTTGGTCAATGTAAGCTTCCTCAAGTTCAGATTTTATAGTTTTAGCTCTGCTCTTGGCATTATCTTATAACTAATGATTTAAACAAACAATGAAGATGGGAATGGATTCAAAACTAGTACAATGAGGCTTGGTGCTGATGCAATTGTCTTCACACGTTGTCGTGGAACCAATGGAAATAAGTGAGTCATTGCACCATATCATTAGTTGTTTAGCACTCTCTTTGCTTTGCGATTTCATAGTTAACTTGTTCTTATATCTGTTTTCAGCACGACACAGAGTATTGGTATGCTGTCATATACTTATCTTTACGAGACAAGAAAATGCGAAGCCGTTGTCCCCACGGTACAAAAGAATTCACTCGTTTTACTATCTTATTTAGAGTTCTCTTCCTTCTCAAAACGTACTCAAGTCTTACTTTTCTTTATGTCTTTCTTGGTGTAAGGTTGATTTTGAGTTGGTAGATAACAAATGGAAGCAGATAACATACAACTCCACAGATGATTGGTTTGATAACTTGGAGACTATAATCAAGTGGTCGCCTTTTTTGTCCCAAGAAGAGTTATTCGACCAGGTCTCTTGTTATATCCCCTTTCTCGATTATATATATATATTTTTTTTAAACTACCTTGTATTGTATCTCATACCATTTCAAATGATGCAGTTTGATTCCCTAGATGAGCAAGGTACTCGGATCTTGATTTATAATCTATGGGAGGACGATGAGGGGAAGTTGGAGCTTGACTTTGATACAGATCCTCATGTAATATATCTCCAACAAGAATTTTCAATACATAAACAAATTTTTGTACACTATATGGTTAACATATGATTATGTGAATTGTGTACAGGATATTCAACTAAGAGGTGTGAACAGAGATGAGAAGAGCATAGAGATGGCGAAAACTTACCCTAACTCTAGGCATTTCTTGACTTATCGACACTCACTACGTGTATGTAGTTCCACGTCTTTTATTTAAGAACAATCCAATTGTTTATAATTCTTTAAGTGTTCATTAACCAATCTCTGTTTATTTTATTTTTTGCTTAATGCAGAGTTATGCGTCGATTCTGTATCTGAGACTTCCAGCAAACTTCAGAATCAGACTTCGTGGCAAAGATGTCGAACATCACAGCTTATTGCACGACATGATGATGACCGAAGACAAAACATACAAACCAAAGACTACTCCAGAAGAATGCTCACCAGATCAAAACGTAATTATCTTACCTTAGTCTTACTTTTTCATAGTATATTATATTTCTCTCTATAAAAGAAAAACACTTTAAAAATCAATTATCTTGTTTTCCCAAAAAATTCAGTTGGTTGCTACTCTAAAGATTGGCTTTGTGAAAGATGCTCATCATCACATCGACATACAAGGGTTCAATGTTTATCACAAGAACCGTCTTATCAAGGTGATTATACTCATACCAGCTTGAAATCCACAGCTTATTTAGTGTCATATAGCGAGTTTTGTAACCTAGTATGTATACGTTTTCTTCAGCCATTTTGGAGGGTTTGGAATGCTGCTGGAAGTGATGGACGTGGTGTTATTGGAATATTGGAGGCTAATTTCATACAGCCAGCCCATAATAAGCAAGGGTTTGAGCGAACCGTTGTTCTTGCTAAACTTGAAAAACGTTTGCTTGAACACCAAAAGACCTATTGGTAATTATCAAATATTCACTACTACTATAACTCCTCTTAGATCATTTGAGCTCTTTGGATTTTCTCTTACGTTATCTTCTTTCTTTGTTTGATAGGTCTTCAAGATGCCACGAGATTGGTTATGCTCGAAGGCGTAAACAAAAGAATAATGAAAGTTTCGATACAGAAACTACTCGACAGCCGAGCCAGAAATCGGAAGCACCTTCCGACTACACAAGCCATATAAAGGGAGCTTTCCCTAGTTCAGCACCACCAGCTCGATCAAGGCCAAATGTTGAATCATTCGGAGCTAACCGAAAGTCTCAGGTAAAAAAAGAAATAAAAAAATATTTTACGTACTAACTTCCATCATTTATTTGTTTTAATAATTTGAGTCTCTAATAATTCTCGCTGCAACATAGGCTGATATACACAAAAATGGGAGCCATGTGCTTGAGAAAAGGTTGGTCTATCATGTTTCCTTTGAATATATAGTAGAATGTTATCGCAAGTACCATTTCAATTTACATTCTTTCTTTCTCTACCGTAGTTTCAACGATAGAGGCCAAGTGTTTAATCTAGCAGCCGAGTTGCAGAAGGAAAAATACGAGTCCGATAAACTGGTGGCTGACTTGCAGAGACAGAAAGCATTGCTTGAGTCGCAAGTAGAGATCTCTTTCCCCTACGAATTTAATTTCGCGCTTTTTTATTTAATTGGTTCTTGGCTATAAGAGATTTCATTGTTTAATATTTAGGTCATGGAGTCAAAAGCTAGGATCAATGGTTTGAAGAGGTCTCAGGAGTTGAAAGACGAATCAGCAAAGCTGGTGGCTGAGTTGCAGAGACAGAGAGCACTGCTTAAGTCACAAGTAAAGCTCTTTTCCCTTGCAAAGTTTGGTCTTTTTTTATTGGTTGTTTTTAGCAATAATAGATATATATGTTTAAAATGAACCAGCTCATGGAGTCAAAGGCTAAGATCCAAGATCTTGAGAAGTCGCAGATGATGAAAGACGAATCAGCAAAACTGGTGGTGGAGTTGAAGAGACAAAAACAGCTGGCTGAGTTGCAGGTAAAGCTCTTTTTTTCTTACAAATACTCACTCTTTTTGGTGTTTTGTTTTATATAATAGATTTGATTAAATGCTAATACTATGAACCAGCTCAAGGATTCAACAGCTAAGATCCAAGATTTGGAGAAGTCACAGAAGCTAAAAGATGATGAAACAGCAAAACTGGTGGCTGAGTTGCAGAGACAAAAACAGCTGTTTCATGAGTTCCAAGTAAACCTCCTTTTCTTACAGAGTTCTGTCTTTTTCCCCGGTTTTTTACTTTCAATAATAAATTTCATTAAATGTTTAATACAACCCAGCTCAAGGAGTCAAAAGCTAAGAGCCTAGATTTGGAGAATTTGCAGAAGGCAAAAGATGAATCAGCAAAACTAGCGGCTCAAATGCAGACACAAAAACAGCTGCTTGAGTTGCAAGTAATCTCTCTTTTTTCAAACAAAGTTTCAGTTTTTCTTTCTATAATAGATCTCATTAAATGTTTAATATCTCGACCAGCCCATGGATGCCAAAAATAAAATCCAAGATTTGGAGAAGTCGCAGAAGGGAAAAGATGATTCAGCCCAACTGGTGACTGAGTTGCTGAGTCAAAAACATCTGCTTGAGTTGCAAGTAAGGCTCCTTGTTTTCATATAAACGTTTCGTAAGTTGGTTTTTTCGGTATTAACTGAGTTCTTTGTTATATTTCAAGAGGAAAGAACCCGCAGAGATATGTCTGAGTATGACTTGAGGAAGAGACTACAGGAATCTTCTGATACCATCGCTAAGCTAACGAAGAAAGTGAATAGCCTCGAAGCAGGAAAAGCAGCATATAGTAAGAAGACGAATGCAAATGCATTAAACACTGTTCCTAAAACTCGTTCCTAGGTTTTAAACCACTGTACAGATCAAATTTCGCTTCATTCTGCAGAATGTACAATTAAGTAGACTCAGGAAGACTTTAGTCAAAGACCCCATCTCAGGTTTTAGGCTTGCAGTGATTCTAGTTTGGTTGAAATTTGTTGTTCCAAGAGATTATGATTCTGTGGAGAGTTTAATCTTTTTGTAAACAGATTTGGATATGGCAAATTTCTTTTCTTCTATTGATGTCTACTAGAGACATGGATTTTTAACAAAAGTCCATCAAAAACTTATCTCCTCAATCCAAATCTTAATCTTCTGTAATTGAAGAATAATTACATATTAATAAGTAAATCAATCACACACACAATCAACCCCTAAAACAGAGGAAATCACCAAAAGGAAAAAAAAAAAAAAAAAACAGAGAAAGAGAGAAGAAAAGAGCCAAATCTGGAGGTGAACGGAAGAGAAGGATCTGATCACTAAGGATTGTGATCGCCGGGAGGGAAACGAGGAAGATAAGGTATCCAAGTCATGGGATCTCTCCAATCGAACGCCGGCAATGCCGGATTTGGGTTTCCGAAAGGCAGAGAAGGGAAAGGGAAAGACGGAAGCGTCGGAAGAGTCGGCAACGGAGGCAGATTCGACGGCCAAGGGAACCAGTACGGTGGCATATAAGGCCAGAAGAATTTCGATTCTCTAAATTTCTTCTCTTTTTCCTCCTCCTCTTTCTCTCGCCGGCGATGTCTCTTACCGCCGCCGCAGAGTGTGGTGTTTCTGTGGGAAGGTTTGTAGCTGAGCGCGCTTAAGCTGTAGATACAGACCCGATCTTGCTTCGATTTGACGGAGACTTCGTTGGTCGCTGTTTGGAAAACGGGGATGTTGCAGCCGACATTGTCGTCGGAGGTTTTGAGTAGCTTGGCGCTGCACTGAGAGGCTATGGCGATTCCGTCGACGCAATCGATGCCGTCGACGTGAGGGATCTCGAGCTTGTAAACGCCGTTTCTGTTTGTTGTTCTGTTCACTGATATGTTCACTTCCTCTGCTGTTTTTGGTGAGCTCGCTTTGAATCTACAGCTCACATGAACTTCCACGCCTGAGAAGATAATATATAAACCGGTTTAAACGATCCGATTCAAACCAGAATTGTACCCAAAAACCAATTTCAAAATCGGTTTGTGTTGTCTTTGATCCGGTTTTCGTTTGAAAAACTGGATCAAATATACTTTCTCAAAAATTGAAGCCAAAAATGTATCAAATCGAACATGTAATAGCATTTGGTCCAATCTTAAGATAAGGAATCGAAAACCAGATGGACCAATCCTAACTTTAAAGTCTAAGGAATATGTTCATGTGATGTTAAATGAAGATCCCTGACCTTGTAAGAAGTAGCTCTGTCTAGAGAAAGTGTTGATAGAACACGTGTCACAGTAGACAACTCCGACAACTGTGATGCGGGAAGAAGGGTCCACGCTTCCGTCTGGTGGAGACCGGCCACGACCACGGGCATAAGCTTGATGTGTCAAGCAAGAAGATAGAAGCAGAAGACAGAGAAGAGGAAGATACATTGTGGCTAATCTCTCTCTCTCACTCACTCTTTGTTCTCTATCTCTGTTGTTCTTCTTGATGATAATGTATGTATGTATGTGTGATTGCAATGTATTCAACCCGTGATCTATTTTTGACCCAACCACTGTTTAACTAAAATTCTTTATCCACTACCGAACAAAGACATGTGAGTAGCCTTTTTTGGCTCCTTCTGGTGTTACAATGTGAGAATTGAGAAACACTCATGAAGAAGAGAATTATTTTGTGTCCTTTAACCCAAAACTTCCAAAATGTTTGTAAGCTTTTTTTTCTCTATTAATAAAGATCAAACCTAAGTACCCAACAGATTAAGAGCCAAACCCTCTCTACCTTTTTGAATTAATGCCAATTATCTATGTGGTGCTTGTTATGGTTGGTTAAAGGGTTTTATTGCTTTCTTGCGATCCAAGTCTTGGTGATCTTATACGGAAACTTGATGATGTGATCGAGTTTTAAAACGAATCATCTAACATATCTTCAAAATAGTAGTATATCAAAAGATCAACTTAATCATGAACAAGAACCATCATTTAAACACAAATATTCAATACAATAAGGTAAAGGAAACCAAAAAGTTTTCATGGTAGGCTCAGATCGAGAACGGTTCTATAAACATGAACGTAAGGATAAATAATCATAGAATGATTCAAGAACAAAAGAAAAAAAAAAAGAAGAAATAAGCAAAAAGGAACCAGATAATTTGTCACACTCTCATCATAGTTTTTCAGTTTCTCTTCCTTACCATAGAAGTTGGGTTTCCATCAAACAAGTCATCAATGAAAGACTCAATATCCTCAGGCTGATACTTGACATACTTATCCGTCTGCTTCCCGGAATCAAGATGTTGCTTATACCTCCCAAAGAAAGACCTATAAGCCGGAATCACCAACGCCGCGATCGACACTCTCAGCTCCGACTGCATCTGCTCATCACTCACAATCCACGTGCTCTGCGTCTTGTGAATCTCATCGAACATAGCATTGAAAATCTTGAACCTTTCCTTCAAAACAGGCTTCGAAACTTTCCCATTCACCTGTAATCCTTCTTGGTTCATACACTGCAAGACTTTCCCCCAAGTTTCTCTCTGGTAAGTCTTGTGGTACTGTCTCAGCTCTGTAGATCGTTTCCTAGTCCATGACTGTCCCATCAAATCCCTTATCTCTATCGACCCTTTAATCTTCTGCAGAATGTATCTTCCGTTGTTCATAAGGAATATCGATCTCAGTGCTGGGTCTCTGTACAGTTTCGATTTAATATCTAGATTTGCGTCGAGCAATTCCATCACCTTTATCATTTGTCTAGCGAAAGCTGACGTTTTGTATTCCTCGTCGTCTTCTCGTTGGTTTCGTTTGGGCTCTGGCTCAGGCTTTGTTCCCGTTTGATCCGATTGAGCCTTCTCGTAGTGTTGAAACACTTGGTCCAGCGTGTCTTTGTACTCGCATGCGTATTTGAGGTAATTCATCGTGTAACGTGTTAGTGGGTGGACGGCGCCGCTCGGAACCGGAGTCCTTCCGTTGTCGCTCTTGATCGAGTTCTCTAGCTCTCCGATTATGGTCACCGCTGCTTCTCCTAGCCTCGTCTGAGCCAGTTTGATCTCGCCGATCAGATCTGAGTCCGATTGTTCCACCGCCGGGCTTAGATCTCGGAGCGTCTCGTACATGTCTAGGAACTTGAAGAGCTTCTCCGACGACCGTTTCGTGAGCACCACCGCACCGGAGAAATCCAGGAACCGGATTGTCACGGCGGAGACTAATCCGGTGAAGAGGCGTTTGCGAATTGGGGAATGATCGGGATCGGAGAATATGTTGTTGCAGAGAGATAGCTCGCCGGGGAAAAGCACGGCGGAGCAACGGCGGACGATTGAGATCCAGGAAGCGATTTCTCCTTCGAGAGATTCCCAGGTTATTTTCTGCACGTCTTCTACGTTGATACCTTCGAATCCAACCGCGCTCAGCTCCTCCTTGAACGCGTGACGTCTCGACATTTCGTACGACATACAGCACTCCGCTTCGTAACCGGCGGAGATCATTGCTCCGGCGATCTTCTTCAGCGTCGAGATTGATTCCGGTGAAAAATCCGGGAAACTTTCCTCCTCCTCGGATTGATCATTGTCCGGTATGACGCATCGATCCGATTCGTGCGTTGAATGGGAAGACGGAGATTTCTGGTTGTTGTGATTGGCATTGTTCCCGTCGCTCTTCTTCTCTCTGGAACGATCGAGAAGATGACGGAACTCTTCGTCGAGAAGCGATACAGCACGATGCTGAACCGAACTCGCCCGGTTCAACCACGAGGAGACCGGCGTTGAATCTAATTTAAGCTCCCGCAATCTCATAACCGATTTTGAAATACGGTTAACGGCGTCGATGAATGCAGAGTCCTCTGATTCGTCCCGCCCAATCCCAGATGATTCCATCTTCGACACCAGTGAATCCACCGTCTCCGGGAATGGCTCCACCGCTGGAGGAATTTCCTGCAGCGGATCCTTTTCATCCGCGTCGGAGAGAGACTGGATGAAATCGTCGACGGCTGTCATTACCTGGGTAAGGCTGGGAGTGGAGGAATCCGATTCCGTCGGCGGCGTCTCCGTCCCGACGCTGTTATGCGATTGTTGTTCGGATTCATCGGAATGCTGTGTATTCTCGCGATCGTCGTGAACAGGAGTGTCCGATTCCGTTCCAGCTTTTTCCATTTCGCCGGGAAAATTATAAATCCTATCTAACTGAATTTTCCTTTTTTCTCGTTTTCTGTTTTTCTTTTTTGGTTGTTTTTTTTTTTTTTTGCTTTTTTGGGGAAAATAAGACGAGGGAAAATGGAAGATCGGACGGAATTAGTGTGAGGATTATCCTTATTAATCCATTATTAGAGTTTCTTTCTTTTCGACGATACTAATTATGATTTTTTCTTCTCTGTTTTAATTTAATCTCTTTTGATTTTATATTTTTGAGGTTCGTTTTTTTTGGGAATCCATTGCCCGTTGACCGAGACGAGAAACGTTATGCGTCTCACGATCTTACTTCTTCTTTTCTTTTGTACTTTATTGAAGTAATCAAAGTATCAAATGCAACCTGATCAAACTTGAGGTTTATAATGTTGGAGATATGTAATTCAACAGTTTAGTTTACATTTTGGGCTGATTAATTATTTTCGGGTTAAGGCCGGCCCTTACTCCCGTAAAGATTAGAATCCTGAGAAAATAAGGCCCTTGTTTTGTTTTGTTTTTCAGTTCTGAAAGGTAAACCTATACTATAAGTTGACGTAACTTCTTCTTTGTAAACAGATATATGATCCATGTGCTTCAAATCAGAAGTTAGCAGGAACATAGAAGAGAACTACGACTTTCACTTTCATGAGCCAATGGTTTAGCATACGATCCACCAACCTCATGTTTGTCTCCACCGATCATGTTTATGAGAATTAAGTTTGAGAGAATAATATATTTGGGATAACGAGTAACAACTCTCACGAGTTTCACTCGTAGTATCCGTGAGCCTACAACGCAGTCATCAACCGACCATGGATCTACGCCATGGTAATTGTATCTTTCATATTAGTTACAGATTTATTAGAAAACAGAAAATTATTATTTGAAAATGTTTTACCGAATTTGGTTAGTTTTGTACATATCCGTGCGTCATATACTGTACATTTAAGAAATTTAGTTATTAAGATAATGAATGTCTATCACATATAAAGTTAAAAACACACTCACAACAAATTTGCCGCCATAATTTTTAAATTCTGCACAAAAAAAAAAATCACCTCTAAGAATAGGTTACCGGTTTTGCTAACTGCTTTTTTCTTAATTTTCCTGACATTTTTTTCTTCTACTTCTATAATTAATGTCGATGGAAGCTATTGTGTTTTGTCGGTATGATAAGATAGCAAGTTATCCAATCAGATTCACACCTAAAAATACACAAAAATAAGTAAAAAAAGAAAGTTGTTTTCTCCTTTTTTTATCACTTTAGATAAAAAGAAAGAAACAAATCTAAGACCAAAGTTTTTGGGCTTTTTGTTGACCCAAAACAAATCATCGTAATGAGGAAAAAAATGTTTATTTGCTTGAAATAAGAAAAAGGAAAGAAATTGATTTGCTTGAATAGAAAGATTATCGTCAACGGAGAAAAGTAGAGGAAGGAGATTTACTGAGTTTCCGCAACGCGTCATTGTTAATTCGCAAATGGTAATAGTGGTGTGAACACTCGTGGACGACAAAAGAAGCTGCGCTTCATCTCTCTCTCTCTCTCTCCTTCTCTCTCTCCAAAACTCCAAATTGTTTTTACCAGTTCGAATCTGAACAAAGTTGGTTTTCCTCTTTGGTACCCGGAATCTCAATTCCCCTCCTTTCTTTCTGGGTATACCAAAAGTTTATTTCTTTCTTTTTCATTCGTTTCTGTTCATTGATTTCTCTACAGGATTGATTTTCTTTTTGTTTTTGGGTAGTCTGATTGATTACTGTTTTGTTTCCTTGGGAAAAAATTGAGTGGAGATGGGTTGTTTCTCGTGTTTCGATTCGAGTGACGATGAGAAGCTGAATCCAGTGGAGGAATCCAAGGGCCAGAAACAATTCCAGCCGACAGTGTCCAATAACATTTCTGGACTCCCTTCAGGTTTGTTGATTGAATTGAATCATCATCCTTATTTCTCATTTGTTTTATCCGTTTTACTCTGTGGCTACATGCTCTTAAGATCTGCTAATCTGATCCTGATTAAGCTAACGGGACTTGATCTCATCACTGTTACTCTGCTTCTGTTACCAGCTCATGAGATGCTTTTAAGCTTTATTGGGCTTGTTCTGATTCAACTGTATATGAATTCACTACATAAATATGAAGGGAAAGCATGATCCTTTGCTTCAATTTCACTTGTTTTGTTCTGAATTGGAGTGTAAATTCTGTGTTTTGAAATTCTGAATGACCAGGATCACGTGATCTCTACTGCTACAGGATCAGGATCAGGATCTTAGATTTCTTTATTTTGGGGATTGTGAACTTAATGCAAGTTTTATGCTTTTAGGGTGATTTGATCTTGGAATTTAGGTTGGTATAGGGATTAGAAGACTGTGAATAGATGTGTTTGGTAACTTAATTTGGTGTTGATTGCAGGTGGGGAGAAGCTTAACTTAAAGAGCAATGGAGGGTCAAAAAGAGAGCTACTGCTTCCAAGGGATGGGCTTAGTCAAATTGCTGCTCATACGTTCGCTTTCCGTGAGCTCGCTGCTGCAACTATGAACTTTCATCCTGACACTTTCTTAGGCGAAGGTGGATTCGGACGTGTCTACAAAGGAAGACTCGACAGCACCGGTCAGGTAATTTAAAACAAGTGTAGACACTTTAAACTTCTTCTTAAAACGTGTGAAACAAAAATCTGGAACGACACTCTTTGTGAAAGGAAAAGAGTATAAGTTAAGGTCTTGGTGGTCTCTTAGCTTTCAACATTTTTCCTTGAAAGATGGATTTGATTTTAAATGTATGTGCAAGGGCACTGCTCTTCATCTTCCAATTGCTAAAAAGTGGCTGGCTTTGTTATATACTGTCAATGTGAATTTTGCATGCATTAATGATGTTGTAGCTCTGATGTATTATTGTTCTTCTTCATCTTTGTCAGGTTGTTGCTGTTAAGCAACTAGACAGGAATGGTCTACAAGGTAACAGAGAATTTCTGGTAGAGGTTCTTATGCTCAGTCTTCTTCATCATGACAACTTAGTCAACCTTATTGGTTACTGTGCTGATGGAGATCAACGCCTCTTGGTCTACGAGTTTATGCCCTTAGGATCATTAGAAGATCACCTCCACGGTAAAAATCTCACACTCTTTACTAATCTTTCACCCTTTTAAATACCTCAAAGATTCCTTCTCATCTTAGTCAACATCAACCCAAAGATTCTTTGTCCATCTCAGTCAATGTCAACTCTAACTTTAGCAGATTCTTCATTCTTTTGTTTATTCATTGTTATCACTTAAGTTGAGATGTAGTAGTTGCTTGTTTTTTATTCTTAATTTCCTCTCCTTCTGCACCAGATCTTCCACCGGATAAGGAGGCCTTAGATTGGAACATGAGAATGAAGATAGCTGCTGGTGCGGCCAAAGGTTTGGAATTTCTACACGACAAGGCAAACCCTCCGGTTATTTATAGAGATTTCAAGTCATCAAACATTTTACTTGATGAGGGTTTCCACCCAAAGCTCTCTGATTTCGGTCTTGCTAAACTCGGACCAACAGGAGACAAATCTCATGTCTCCACTAGAGTCATGGGCACTTATGGGTATTGTGCTCCAGAGTACGCAATGACCGGACAGTTGACTGTAAAATCAGATGTATATAGCTTTGGTGTGGTCTTTCTCGAGCTCATTACTGGTCGCAAGGCAATAGACAGTGAGATGCCTCATGGAGAGCAGAACCTAGTCGCTTGGGTAAATAAACTCATCATCATCATTATTATCTTTTCCACTTTGAATTTGGGTTTATGCATGAAAAGTTGAGAGCTTTTTGGTTTTATGCAACAGGCTCGGCCATTGTTCAACGATAGGCGTAAGTTTATAAAACTGGCGGATCCTAGGTTAAAGGGGCGGTTTCCAACGCGAGCGCTGTACCAAGCTTTAGCTGTGGCGTCAATGTGTATCCAAGAGCAGGCGGCTACACGTCCTCTCATAGCAGATGTGGTGACTGCACTGTCTTATCTTGCAAACCAAGCTTATGATCCAAGCAAAGATGAGAGTAGGAGAAACCGAGACGAAAGAGGGGGGAGGTTAATAACAGCAAAGAACGATGAAGGAAGTGGTGGCTCTGGGAGTAAATTCGACCTAGATGGTTCGGAGAAGGAAGATTCTCCGAGAGAGACGGCTCGGATGTTGAACAGAGATATCAACAGGGAGCGTGCGGTTGCAGAGGCTAAGATGTGGGGAGAGAGTTTGAGGGAGAAACGAAGACAAAGCGAGCAAGGAACGTCAGAGAGCAACAGCACCGGGTAGAGAGGAGCCGGGTTTGGGTCTTAAAAACCTCTTTTTTTGTTCTTAATTTCTCAAACTCATTTATTCTGAAACATAGAAGAAAAAGAAGATGAAAAACATTGGAACAAAGAGTTGATGTACATTAATATAATGTGATGTTGCAATATGGGCAAAAATGGGGGACTCTTTTAATAACCAAACTCTAATTGAGATTCTGGAGAGTTTGTTTATTTGATGATGTTCATGTAAATTCTGTAACCTTTCTATTTTTGAATTTTGACTGATAGTTTTTTCGATGAGTCACATGTGGCGATGTTGACGTCTGATCGATGATTGAATTGCAAAGATCCAATGATCAGTGTTTCTAGACTCGTTTTCTACTGTTGTGTTGTTTCTGTGGTGTGGCTAATGTCCACACGCGTAGTTTCGGACAACGTGGGTCACATCACATGCCCTCGCAATCTGACTATTATTTTAAGGATTGCTATTCAGATTTGAGATTGTGGATTATGGTTGGTCTTATCAAGTTTTTGTCGGAACTTTTGTTTTCTTTTTACTTTTGACTGTGTATGGTACTCTATTGAAATGGATTTCTTATTTCCCCATTTGAACTTTTATTTTGTTTGGTGAATGACTATTTCTGACCTCTAAATATTCTTTCACTCTCAAATTTTTTAGTAAAGATTTTATGTAGGGGAAAAATCAGTGAACTAAAGACATCATGACTTTTTAATTTCATATAGACCACTAATTTTATTAAGTTATTATAAATTATAACCAGTTATAAACCGCCATTAATTATTGTCGAAATTCGCTATATAATATATGATCTTTTGTCGGATTATGTCGCTACTGTTAAAAATTAAATTAATTAATAATATTTCATATATTTATTTAGTTGGAAAATGAGTTATCATAGGTATTTTTAATTATGTTGGAATAATTTAATCGTGAGATAAATAATATTTTTTTGCAATATATTGCATAGTGTACTAATATGAGCAAGCAAAGTAGGCATACCGCATACATTGATTATTGATGATGTAATTTTGCTTGGCATTGTACGACCATCCTTAAAAGATTTCTACCATATATATGGACGTCTTGAGTACGTCTTGAGTTACTTAAAAATAAATTGGAGGGTGATGGTATTTTTTTGGGTTAAAAGACGGTGGTGCTTTTTGTACTTCAACTTGAAAAATACACTTGAAATCAGATTTTTGAAAAAGAAAAAAAGTTATAGGTTTTGAGAATATTTGCATGATATACTACACACTCAAGGCTTGTTTAGTTGTTTCTCATAGCTCAAAGTCTCCAACCAAAACTCAAAATCGCTTGGACAATATGTCGTCAATCATACAAGACCATTCGTTTTCTAATTGACAGCGACATCATTAAGACAAATGTAATCTTAATAAATAAAAAAGTGGTCAACAAGCTTATTAGTAGAAGAAGACTATAAATGCTACTGCGGTTTATTATATAATTTTTTTGTAAGACCACTATAGTTACAACTTACAAAGATAACATAAATATTCACTAAAAAAAGATAAAATTTAAAACACAAAACTTTACGCAAGTACATCAATAGTAAATAAGGTACGAAACAAAAATGGAAACAAACCACCTGATACTATTTCTTCCTTTGGTCGACCGACGAGCCGAGAGAGAAAAGAGAGAGAGCGAGAGAGAGAGAGAGATATTTTGCTTCTTGTTTATTGACACTTCACACAGTCTCACGACGGGTAGTCTCCACGTGGCACTTTCCGTCTTCAATTGACGGCTCCTTCTCCTCTTTGGTAAATTTGGATGGATCTTCATGATGAACGGAGAGTGGGTCCAGAGATTCCGTCACCATGACATCAACTGGGTGCACTTCCGACACACCTAACGGACTCATCACGACAATAGTCCTAAGTTGTTGTTCTGATGAATTAATCTTCTTTTCAATGTCTAAACTCTCTTTCGAGTTCCTATAAATTCCGTACAGAATCATTTGCACCATCCCAAGTACGAATCCTACTACGTTGGGAATCTACAAAACCATCAAGAAAACAAAAACAAATTAAAACTCATCAGTGACCTTTTTTACCCCTTTTTTTTAACGTAAACAAGAAATGGTAAAAATGCTTACAGTGATGCATATGTCGTGGAGGAACAAGCCATAACCGAACCACATAACGGCGCTTATAGTGAGGAAGAAGGAAAGCGTGAAGGGCATGAATTCCACACTCTTTGTCTTTATCACACGCGCCTTTTCCATTACAAAGAAATTAACATTTTTTATTAGCCAAAAAAAAACAATTTCGAATAAGTTTGCAACTTGTATTGAATGTAAACGCATAGTTACCACGATCGTTAGAGGGGCAGCGAAAACAGAAACAGAAATGGCAACGCAAATCCAGCCGACGACGGAGACTTGGAGTTCGAGATCTTTAACCGCAAAACGTGTAACCACTATAATCAACGAGAACAAGGCAACGTTCATCGATACGAACAACTTCATAGCAGAGATCTGCAACGCATTTGAAAATATTAAAATTTATTCATGTTGAAATTAATTTCATGATGGAAATAAGGAGGAGGATGGGAAAATTACCCTTTTGTCCCTGGTGGCATAAGTGAAGAACATTGTAATGTAAAGAGTCTCCACTACGCAACCGAAGGAGTTTATGGTAATAAGGAGAAAAGCGTCTTGTTTAATCAATGCGTAGTAGAGCCATAGCATGCAGCTAAATAGCGACACTTGGTACGGTAGAGACTGGAAGCTTTCCGTCGATTTTTTCTTGTATATTCTGTAGAACGTTGGCCTGAGATTCCAACAAAATCAGATTATTTCTTTTATTCCAATCATTCAATAAAATTAAGTTACTTCGCCAAAAAAAAATTAAAGAGTACTTACAGTGGGGCGAGGAATACGCAGAAGGATATTGCGTTTCCTGAAATTACATTAAAAAAATCACCAAAAACAAATGAGTTAGTTGTGTAATTAAAAAGGCTTCTAGTTTTGTGGAGACAAAAGTAAATGAATCACCCCGATCGAGTTTTCTAACCAACCTCAACGGGGAATTAAATTGCTGCACTAACCGCACTACACGTACCGAGTATATGGACAACAATGCGTGACGATTTCTATAAAGCTTGCGTATTGATTTATATTTTTGGTAGTTTGGGATTTTATAATAGAATCAGTATTTTAGAAGATCATTAAAGATCCCTAATGACTCATCTAGTTTTGTAAATGAAGAAAAATCTAGAAACAATTGGAAGAAAAAAAAACACATGGGGGTATCTTGCTAAGCGAGGGTCATGAAGAACTTTCCATAGTTTTAATTTCATTTCTTAGTATTTTCTTTCTTTGTTTGTTTGTTTAATTGACGTTTTAACTAGTAAAATAATGGAGTTTACAATATTTTAATAACTAGAACCTTAGATACGAAGTTCAACATTATAGTTGCTGTTGCAAATTCTTTATTCTATATCCCCGTGAAAAGAAAAGAAGAAAAGAGATCATTGGAGCATTACCTAAGACGCCGAAGATCAAAGACAGCAAATGTTGAGTGATCATGATTCCCATTTCCTGTAGATATCGAGCAGAAGCTTTCTCCCGTACGGAGATTTTGTCTCGGTTTTTTAAAACCCTAAAGCTATATCTCTCTCTCTCTCTCTAGAAGTGCTTCTCTTTATTTCATGGAAGAAACGAATGAGCCTCAGGTGGTTTATATATAGCTCCAAAATAACCATTGTAAAAATATTTTTCATTTTAATGTTGAGTTATTTGAAGCGTGTAACGTGTTGAGTAGAATTAAAAAACAAAAACAAAAAGATCGAAAAGGGGAAACGAACTCAGCCTGGTTGCATGACAAGTGGAGAAATTAGTAGGTAGCGTTTGCGTTTTACATTCACTCAGTTCTACTTCTTTCCTCACCCCCCACTCGCACCTCACACGCTTAGCTTACACCTCCTACTCTACAATTTCATTTTCTTCACGCCTTCTTCTATTAAATTAGCTTTCGGAAATCAGATTAGTTCCATAGTCTGTACTTTATACTTTGTACTTTTTATACGATAGATTATTATCACGGTGACCAGAAGTCTACCCAACATCAACCAACACGATGGACATCATCACTAGCTAGATTACAATTCGATTTGTATATTTTCTTTGATGTTTTTTTTTTTTAAATCACAAATGAATTGGACGATCCAAAGTATCACACATATATATTTAATGAATTACAATTTACAATAATTTAGAGCCATAGGATTAATAATTAATAGCTGGACAAATATGCTTACAATGAATTTAGTTTGTTTGTGTGTGTGTGTGTGTGTATTCACTTAATATAAATAGATGACGTAAATGAGACTGTTAATTGATTGAAATCGGTTTCTGTAAAAGGAGTCTAAGTGAGATTGATTAGGGATCTAATACAGCTAGGAGAAATCTACATATAATGACTATGTTAAAATGCAATAAATAGGTAATTCATCTATACGCGGAAAATGGACGCCGTTTTCTCTAAAACTAATATGGTATTTTGGATGACTAATCCAAATAGAACAAGAAAAGAAAGAACTTGTTCACATCTCATGATCAGATTTCCCTTTGATTAGAAGAACACGTTTATTTTCCTTGCTTAAAAAGAAAACGATAAATCATGCATGTTTTGAGTAAAACTCCACGCGTCAAAAGTGGAGCGTAGCGCGTGAGAATAATTAAATTAAGGTAGCAAAACGGAAAAGAAATGATGCGTTACGGGAGAAGCGTAATTAATTATTAATAGCCATGAAAAAGAAAAGTTTGTGCAAATCACGTGACCTCTCCGAACGCTTCCACTTATAGGCGTTTCTTTAGAGTTTGTAGAGACACACGAGAGCTATATGCTGACTAGGCAACCCTCTCGCTGCTTTCGTGTCTTCAAGTGTATTTCTGTTTCTGCTCTTCTCCTCTTGTTTTAATCCCCATTTTCAGGACTCGATCGTTTTCTCATATTTATTTTTACTTAAACTTGAGATAACAAACAGTTAGTCCTTTTATTGATCCCTATTTTTGTCTAGAGTTTTTGATGTATAATTTCATACTGGTTATAGGTGTCTATCAGTTTTGGTAAATGTATAATGTATTACCATCCATCAGTATTCAGAGTTTGGTTGAATATACTATTTTTTCGTTTGGTGAAAGGAATCAGAATATATTCGGAAAAAAATGAGAGAAAAAAACGAAACAAATCTCCATTTTTCGAGGGTAAGTTAAAACAGATATTAAAAGTGGGAAGAAATGGACAAAGGAGGAGTGACGTGGTATGCAAATGATAACAATGATCATGGGTTTGTTAAATCCTTTCTTGTTCGTATTCGTTTTTAGTTTCTCTCTTTCTCTCTCAATTTTTTATTTGGTCCAAATTTTTAAAAAATATGAGAGGTGCCACTTTTGTGGTTCTCCTCCACCCTAATTATCCATCTCTAATTATTATTGAAACAATTTTTAGTTTATCTTGCCTAATAGTATACTTTTGGTTCACGTACGTTCCCATGCTGTCCTTGCAAATTTGCAATCGCATTCCTCTTGTACCATTTTTTTCGTAAGATCATATATCTATATATAATTCTGAAATGTAATGTACATCAAAATTTCTTAAAGAACATATATTACTTTCAAATATTTTTCTTTCATACAAGGAATTGTGATTAATTTCCTTTTAACAAAAAAAAAATTGTGATTAATTTTCCATTTCGGTATGTGATTTTTTTTGTACGTAGTATCTTATATCCACATTGATAAATCGATCATTTATCGGCTGAATAAAAATTATCGGCTGAGAAACACCTCAATAATTCAAGCATTTAGGTGACCCACATTGATAAATGATATATGCATATAAATCGCCTATGTTGCTACCACATAAAGGAAAAATGACAATCATGTGGGTGAAATTAGACCTCCCCGATTCTATCGTTTTCTTATTTCAATCGGTTTATACGAATCTAGCTTTACACACACATACATTTAGATAGCTATGCTACATATAGCTTTGAATGATAGATACCTATCTATGATTTGTTAGCGAATTGATTAATGCTTACTAGATAAATAGTACTATATCATTATGATCGGCCTATATATTAATTTAATCTATATTAGTCAGAATAATAAAGTTTTGTATGTATTAGTATTGATCATGAACATATATAGCCTTGATGGATATAAACACTTCAAATTAATTAATCAATTAAAGTTGTTAAAGTCATAATGTAAGAACAATATCTTAACCTTTGTAATTAAAAGAAAATGCAATGAATGTTGAATTACTATACATATGCCTGCATGAGATGTCATCCAATGGCTTGCTAAATGGTAATGTTAGTTGGGTGAGTGACAATGTCAAATCCGTCACTCAAAACCCTTTATCAGCTCTTACATTATACTTTTATAATATTATAAATTATGGGACATCGGCTATCGGACCGAAGAACAAATTAATCAGGTTATTTAGTTATTTTTCAACTACATTTACTAAAATTTGTTACTTTTGAAAAACTTTTTCTTTAGGATAGTCCGTCTAAGTTTACACTTTTCAAATTAATAATGAGAATACATTTTTATAGAAGCTTAAAATGGTTGATGCAACTACTTACTCATATATACGGCCAAAGTGTAAACTGTTTACGACAGAGAAATAAGAACCCACATATTACTAACGTGTATCACTCATTAAAGTCTACAAGAGAATGGTGTTTTCTAGAGAAATTCCAATCATACATGTAAATAAACAAAAATCATTCGAGAAAGAGAATTCTGAAATGTTAAGAAAACTAGTTGAGTACTGAGTACATATGAAAAGACAAATTTGCATGTATGAAGTACGTCTTTTGCCGTCTACGGACTACGTTATTAGTTTCTCAGTAACCAAACAACATATTTTGATGAAAAATTACAAACTTGGCCGCTGAAGTTAATGGACACGTATACTTTTAATCATAAATGATAAGTAGATGAAAAAAATGTCATTCCTTAATTAACCATGAGGGTCAAGAACTCACCATATTTTTGAAAATGGGTCGTTCTAGTTAATAAAATATGCTAATAAATATTTTTTAATTAAGGCAGAATAAAAGTGGATGACGAAATATGAAAGCATATAGTAAATGAGGGGAAGAAAGCTAATGTAAGTTGGTAATGATTGAAGATCGATTCAATCTGCTAAAACTCCTTCTTGTCCTTTTCAATGCGTTCATCAATTAATCATCCCTTCTCAGTTAGATTAATCAAATAAACCCATTCTCAGGTTCCTATATATATATATATATATATATATATATATATTTTTTTTTTTTTTTTTTTTTTTTTTTGTAAAAACAGGTTCCTATATTTGATAACGACCTCTTATGGATATATGTATATATAAATAAATAAATATATATTGCAATTACCACATATGTACTTGAATAAAATGTGTGATTGCAAATCTTTCACCGTAGAAAACAAGTGAACCAATGTACACCCATTAGGCCATTAAAATTATTCTTTTCACAAGTAATCATGACTTTAGCCGGTTTCTATTTAGATGTTTGCATGAAATTTCCTTTCTGAAAGTATTAACTTCTAGTCTCAATCGTGTATGGTATGTGCTCTAGATGTGTTCATTCAGCCTTTGGCAGGTCGTTTTTCTTTCATGGATTGGGTTTCGGCTGTGTATTGTCCATATACTATGATTTTCAAATCTTTCTTATTTTGTTTCCCATTGGACACAACTTTCTCTGCTACTTTTCGAGTGTGTATCAACAAACCCTCCGGGGATTTTTATGCACCTACAGCTTTTGTGGTGTTTTCAGTATCATTTCATTATAATCTATTTACAACAGTTTTTTTTTTTTTTTTTAATTGTTTCCCTTTTATGGATAAAAATGAAATAAAAGGGGAGGAGAGTCAGGCTCAATTCAAATATAATGACACAAAAACAGAAATAATGACTCAAAAGTTTGAAGGGCCCAATAAACGTGGGGTTTTATAGAATTTCGTTAGAACTTGATTCATATGTTTCAGACGTAGCAAGAAATGTGGTCAAGTGGCTAGAAGATTCCACACGTAGCAACTTAATTATTGTCTTCTGGATGCTCCTAGAAACTATAGAGATCTCATTCCAAATTTTTCGTTTTCATCTTGTATTTTTTTTTTATGAAAATAATCTAAACAAAAAAAATGTAGCTTTTCTTAAGCGCGGTTCATTAATCATTTCTATGTGTACGAAGAGAAACTTGATTCTTGTTTCTAGATCCTCTGTCTACAAGGATAGTGTAATTTATACGGCTAAATTAGCGAGAAGAATATAATACAGCTGAATCAATATTTTTTTACTGTACTATATAATTTTCAATATTATTTTGCATGGTTTCAGTTTTATTTTGCATATGTTTCATTGACACCCCTGAAACTATCTGTCTAAAGCTATCAATTCTGATTTAGAGTATTGACGATAAATAGATTAGGTTGCTAGTTGATATTAAAAGATTATAATACTTGGGAGTTATGAACGATCATACGATCTCTTTTGGAACACGTATGGAGAAGTAGAAGAAAGTACCCAAAAATACAGTTTGAAGATGGATGCATTGAACGTTTACACATCTCATATTTTTCCTTTTTCGAGTAAAGGCGAAGGCAGGTTTGTGTTTTTTAGACATTTACATGACGTGGTGATATTTATTCTTATTTTTGTTTGTTTTTATTCGACAACGTGTTTGTTTTCTTCAGTTTTTGTGTTCAATTCAATAAACAAATTGAATCATTGTATATATTGCAATCATCATAATGCGTACTGATTAGTTATATCTTCACAATCATAAAGACTTCCTGAGATCCTTTTCCACTTAATAACTCTATTGAATGTTGAGGTCTACCCAAATATTAAAGTCTTTAACAAAAAACATAAAAGAACTTAAAAATGCCTGCAACAAAAGAAAAAGACGAAACTTTTGTTGTCTTTCCTCTTTTTATAATTCAGTAAATACATATATGTATCCCTTCTTGTTCGCTAATTAAATGAATGATTGGCGTGGCGATAAGGCAAAATTGTGGAACAAAATCTAAACCCAGAGAAAACATCTATGGACCACATAACCTTTATGTGTTTATCGATTACAAGTGGTTTGAAATAATGAGCTGGCTGCATTTTTACCCAATCAAGTGTCATCTGACTTTGAAATATACAAAATGATTATAATCGAATAGAGAAAGGTTATTTCATCCAAACACCTAAAACAAGAAACATCTGTTGTTAACCTTACTATAAAATGTTTATAGTTATAGCATTAACTTAAAGCTCCCTATAACAGATTAGAGACACGAAATCGTCATTAAATAATTTATTGTTAACTACACACAAACGGAATTGCTTTAATTGAAGGCAGTTTGTGCAAGTCACTATAGACATATAATTAGATTTCTACCCACTAGTAAGATAAAACGATAAAAAAGTTCAAAAGACAAAATATATCAAACTGACAAGCAAACAGAACATAACCCATATCTATTGTAACCACTCACATATCTCCATATGATTTAAATCAAACTTTTTGGGGTAAAATCCTATGATTCAAAACCTTATTTGTGGTTATTAAATATCTACGTGACACTATCTCCAAACATCTTAGTAAAGCAGAAAGTAACGTCAAACCTATCTAGCAGTAATCTATACAATTTGATCGCTTCATCCTTTTCGTCTGGTCGGTTCTAATTTTTCTTCGGTTTGGATTTTAGCATATACATATTTCTCATAGTTTCTCTCCTCTTGTCGAATATAGAGCCCATTAAGTAATAATGAGCTAACATCACTAGACTTAGAGCAAAGACAGCGGAGAGATTCTCACCGTCTCTCAAACAAAAAGAAATAAAAACAAATCAAAAAGTTATCTATGTGGCAAAATTAATGCTCAAATACGTCTCTGTGGGAAGAGATTTAGAAGCGTCTCTGGAGTAAAGCTGGACAAGTGGCGTAATACTATTTGTCAGCTTTTTCTTTTTCATTTTTTGTTTTTTTTTTAAAGCAAAAAGTAAGTTTTGAGAGACTATGCCTCGTCTCTCCGATGCCTTTGCTCTAAGTATTCTCCATTCTTTAATCCATGCTTTACCGAAGTCCTTAAACAGGCTCAATCTAAAGTCTTCGGAAAAAAAGAAGAAGATAAGTAACAGATCTCAACGAAGCCCTAATCTACCTTTTCTTAAAAAAAAAACCGATATCTCCATGGAAACCATGTCCAAGGGCGAATTCGCCGGTGAGACATCTTTCTATCTGTCAAACGGTAGACTAGCAGATCAAATCGTCGATATGTAATGCATCTGATGTCTCTCTTATCTCCCTGTTTCATAATTGTTTATGCATTTCTACGTTTTTGTGCGGTCTCTGACATACATGTGTCCTGGTACGTGGATGATTGGCCCACCGTTAATTTTGAGGACCCTGCATTGGTTTATCGTAATATCGAATTATCTCTACGGAAAGAGGGTTACAGTGGAGAGTTGTCGGTCACGGCTTATGGTGACCACTTCAAAACGATATATGAAGAAACAATATTGGTATGCAGGGTTTTTCTTCGATGAAGGTCAGCTTTTATTATTATTAAGTTTTTTTTTCTAAAACTATTTTCTCCAGCTCTAGGTTTTTATTTTGACATTTCCAGGTGATGACTCTGAGAGTCTTCATCAGAGGATGTTAGAAGACGTTGTTAACTGGACTTGGAAACTTGGTCGATCAGCAAATTTGGTTGTGCTCTCAAATATCTCAGAAGACGTAGAGCTCGTCTATCTTATGAAGTCTATGAAATCGAGAGGTCACAATGTTGTGTTTCCACGTAAAAGCCGGGATGACTCAGACTCACTAGGCCTTTCGCAAACTGGAATCAGGGAATGGATTTGTCCAAACCTACTAGACGAAAGCTTAGAAGAGCTCTATTTTGCATGGACGACTGGTCAAGTGGTAGAGGAAGAGTAATGCTTAAAAAGCTTTTCAGTTTTTTATTTCCTATCATATGCATTCTTCATTTCCTCCTTGAATGCATATGAGAGTATATTATCAATATTTTGCTTTAATAATGCAAAAGAAGATATGCACAAATTGCTTACCCAAACAATCCTAGATACCATTTCCAAGTGCATATTATACAAAAATCGTTAACATTCTAATGATCCGATTGCAGTTTACGAATTTTTTATGAAGTACTATTTGCAAATAATGAAAAAGATGGGGGAATATTGCGCTTCTTCGATTGGCTTTTAGTGCGAGGATTACGGACGGTATCTCTAGCCACGTCCACGTCCACGACCCGTGATTTGCCTTATTTTCCGCATCTCCATTGCCTTTGTTGATGGTTTAACCGGCCCGTGACCGATATCCTTTGCAACACTTGGTGAGCTTTGGGTTTGGTTGATAGGATCTCCTCCTGAGAGGAGGATTCTCCAATGCCAACTTGACTTGACCCAAGACGGTGACTCAGTGGTATTATCATCAGGCAGTGCCCATAAGACATGGTAACACCTAATTTCCAAAAGGCGGAGGACACGTAGGAAGGTGGTCTCTCTATCGACCATGTCTTTTGTGACTACCAAAATATTTGGTCCCGTTGGAGGGTGATGTTCATTGTCCAATGACCACAAAAAGAAGTCCAGTATCATCCTTCTTAGTCTTGCATGTTTGTCCTCTGAATATCAAGGGAGAGATCTAGATTACGTACAGACATAAGTAAAAAGGAGAAAACAGTGTTGATCAAGTAAATAAAATCACAACCTCTGGTAGAGATGGTGGTGATTCCAGCATCTTCATACTCCTTCACTGAATGCTTCGAGAACGTTTTACCGCCAGGCAAATAAGCCCACACAAACACGTCACCATGATGACCACTTTTTTGCAGAGCTAATTTGATATTTTGTAAAACCGTAGCTGGATCGAGATCATCGGGGATTGGGAAATCCTCCAAGTCCCAGAAGACGCCTGTCTTAGGCTCTGTCAAGGGAAGTCGCATAAATAAAAGATCTAGATATATCTAAATAATTAATAAAACATTTTCGAGGAAGAAATAGAGAAAGAGATCTTACCGTCTTGTTCGCTTTCCATGGAGAAAGGTATTGGAGCGGAATCCATGCAGAGATATCGACTGAAGAAAAGATAAAAAGTAGATTAGGGGTTTCGTTACATCTGTGAGACATATATAGAGCCCAATAAGTAATAATGGGCCAACATCAACTAGACCTAAAGTATTTTACATTCTTTAATCCATGCTTCACGGAAGACAGACCCCGAACGGGCCCAATCTAAAGTGTTCGCATGCGTTAACACTTGACAAGGCCCAACAAAGATGGACCAAACCGAATTGAAATTTAAAGTAACACTCTCAAACCGGAGTGTGATTGCTTTACAAAAGTAACAAAACAATCGAATATGAGAAAATGCATTATGGTCTCTGTTTTTACCTCTCTCTCTCTCTGTTTCTGGTTGTTAGGTCTCTGTTTATTTATGTAAATGTTAATTGCTTTAACTAGACCAATCGAAAGAGAACCAAACCAAAATTGATTTCAAACCGATATGTTAAATCAGCTCTGGTATTATTTTTCTTTGTAACTTTTTGAGATTTGAGCGAAAATAAAGTAAAAAGAGAGAAGATGAAAGTCTAACCTTTAATAGGCTGGAACTTGTGTCTTTCAAGTTTGGAATAAGCATCAAAGAAACAAACTTTTGTTTTTCTTCTCAAAAGCACAACTATTTTCTCTTTCACGGAAAAAAAGAAGAGAAAGTTGGCACACGGATTGGTAGCATCACACGTGAGAGAATAAAAAAAAACATCTCTTTACAAGTTTTTAAGTTTTTTTTTTTTTTTGACCAAAACAAGTTTTTAAGTTGTTCAGTCACATGCCATAAAAAGCCATACAATGTTCAAGTCCACACCAAAAATTATGAAAAGCAATCAATTATAACATACTAATTCAAAAGTAATTAAATTAAACGAAAACTTTAATTCTTCAGGTTGCTTCACCTAAAAGGATTCGTCTTTCTTTTTGTGGGTTTTTCTTCAACTTCCAAGGTCACATTTATGACATATTCAGCTGCAATACCTTGCTGTGCATGTATATTTAGGTTTCGTATAGAAAATTATTATAAGTGAAAGTAATTTTATTTTATTTTGTACCCAAGTCTCTAAGAAAAGATAACGAAAACAGTAATGTTCTTTATTAAAACAAACCAAAACAGTAAAATTATAATATTTCGGTCGATCGAGTAGCTTATTTGGTATATTGGGACATTATATTATAATATAATCACATGTTCCGACACAACATACTCATATGTTTACATTCATGCTATAATTTTGGTAATTTTGGTTGATATATTAAAAATTATTTGAAGGCATAAAATCCAGGGTAATTAAGGAGTCTTGAAAGCACAAAAATAAAAGACTTTTCCTCTCTCTTTTGTAAAAAAGCATTTGACAAGTTATACTATAGTATAAGAATGCAAAAATAAAGTTTCTTTAATAAAAGGAGGTATGCAACTTTGAGGTTGACAAAGTGTAGCTTCAAAATGAAGAAACTGAGATCATTTAGATAGAATAAAAGCAATAGCTAGCTCCTCCTTGAATACATTAAATATAGAAAATAATTTTTAGTCAACTTCGATATCGATTATGAGTGATGACTTTGAATTTTCAATATTTATTTGATATGTGTCGCATACAAAATATTTTTACTTATTTGATTCTAGAAACTAGAATGCTTGAAAATCGGCGCTATTTTGATAAGGGACATCAAAATATAATCCTTTGTTTCAAACCATTAACGTAAAACAAAATTCGATAAATTTTGCGCCTTAATTTTTTTGTAAGGTTTTCTTCCAAACTAGAAACGGCTCTATATTTTTTTAATATGACGACCAGTTTTGAATTATGATAGATCGTGCTTCTGAATCTATGATCAATGTTGGGTATAACTATAGAATAAAAACGAAAATCGGCTACAATGAATATCATCGGTATATATTACATGTAGAAATGTGTGCTTCAAACAACTCACATTGATATTATTTGCATACTTAGACGTACGTTAGATACTCGGTCATAAATGGCATATGATTGCTTGTACGTGATTCGATCCAGGGTTAAGAAATCATTACATAATTATTATTTTAGTTGGATCTCTGAACAAAAGTATATAAGAAACCTTCCCAACTGGGACGGCAACTAATTTTTATTTTATACGATCATATCATCGCGCGTTTGTAAATACAATAATATGAGGAGTATATAATATACTAATATTTTGAAATTATTTCTTATTTACTTCAGGATCAGAACTTGAATAATATAAGTTAATAATTTGCACGTGAACAGTCAAATTTAACCCCAACGGAAGAGATCGAAACCTTAAACTTCAGTAACTGTAAGCATATTGGGATTTCAAAACCATTTTTAGTTATAGTTGCAACTTGCATCCTTTGACGTTTCTCACTTTCTCTCCAAAATCCCCACGCAAACTCTCCGTTGACGCTCTCACACACATTTATCGTCATACGGTAAGCCTAAACTACAGAGGAAAATTCTAATATTACAAAGTGAACGAAATTTTAAGTAAGAGTGTAAGGAAACAAAAAAAAGAAATAAGAGCCGCAATATAACTTACGAAATCCTAATTTGATATTTCTTATTTCTCAACGTAGACCATCGATGACCAAGTCGCAAGTGGGGTGCGTGTGCCTGCCTTTTCTTTTTGCTTGTGGGAATCTCTCATCTATATTTTTCCCCCATTTTTTTTTTTACGGTAAAAGTAAACATAAATAACAATATATAGGACAATCAGTATATCTTCTTTTATACTTATGAAGACCCATTATATTCAATTATTTCAAATGGTTCGTTATGACAATAATCGCTATATGATTCATCTATATTTTTTAGGAAGTTAACATAAAATAGTTCGCTATATGATTCATCTATATTTTGTATCGCTACATGATACAAAGTTAGGAAAACGGAAATGGTTCGCGATTAGATAATTAGGTCGAGTCTCCGAGACTCAATCACTATAGACTTTTTTGAGTTAAAATAATTTATTAATCAATCATTTCGAATAGCTTTAGAGAATTTTGGAAATAAAATAGGTCGTTGAAAATATTAGAGGGCATTTGTGTCAATTTTGAAAGGGACCATTCATTGAATGTGATTAGAAAATTTGAGACAAAGAAGATTTGGAAAATCATGAGAGAGGGAGAGATCAGAGATGGTTTGGTTGCATTGCATTCTGTGTCTCCGAGACATTATCCGACGTGTGAGCTTGTCGTTTTGGAATCACGTAGGACCCTTCGCGCTCTTCTATTCCTTCATCCACCTCCATTCTCTATTTACCACGATGCCCCCTCATCATACATAAATGTATATACTACAAAACCATATGTACAAAGGAACCTATTATATTTCACGTTAGTTGATAAATCTTGTCGCACTTTATCTAATAAACTAACCTATGAATATTGTAATATACGAAAGCACATAACTGGATCTATTTCCAGTATTTCTTTCACAAGAACCCCTTAAGTAGATATATAAAACATTTTTAAGAAGTTCGTATATACAATTTCCCTTTTTTTGGGTACTATCGTTCAAATTAGGAGAGCAGCTGCAAAACTCAAAAATGAGGATAAATTGGATAATGAATCAAAAACAAGAAGTCAACAACATATATACAGGTAAAAATGACATGTATATATAAAACACCTTATTCTCGTGATTCGTGAATCTCATATCATATTAGATCGTCGAAAACGATGGGAATACAAAGACTATACAAGTTATTTGTATTCAAGTGAAACTAAAAGAGTGGAAGTTATCGTTTTAATATAACAGCGACGAAGGTATCCTTAATAACCATGATATAATATTTATATGTATATATTTTGATAATCCTTGGTCTCAATAGAGAGGTAACTTGTAGTGTGTCGATAGTGAATATTATTATACCGACAATAACGTCACGCCTTTGTTATTTTAAAGATAACATATATTTGGACGAAATCGATCATGTTTTAAAATTTCAATTATAAAGAAGAATTTCATGTGATCTATACCAACAGGAAGGTTGACAACGGGATTGGAGGAACTTACAGCACACTGTCAGCTTCACGGACCCCTTGACATTGAATTTATTTTAGTTTATCTATATTTACATGAGTGAGTTTTAATTATTAAGCTGAGTTTTTATTAGTTATTTTGTTGCCGGTCCTTGATTTCTATCTCATATACTTTGTACATATATATTATGTATGGATATTGTTGTCTCACTGGTCTGTATATGCAGGGAATGGTCCATACAAAAATTAATGATCAACTTGGTGTTTGAATTTATATATTTTGTTCTTTCACTTGTAAGAAACCATTGACTTGTCTGGGATATTTCAGATGATTATCAAATACTAGGAGTTCCATAATTTCTTCTTTTGGTGGTGGCTTGAGTTGTCAGTATTAATTAATAAGATTGGTATGTCTATTACTTAGCCAAGGGACATATGCTTTATTCAGTTTTTTTTTGTTTTCTTTAAATTAAGCATAGTAAATATCTATGTCCATATAATTTTTGAAACACTTATAAATAGGCGCACCCACCCCCATAAAATGGGACAACGGAATATATCAAGTAATTCACAATCATAATTTGCTATCTTTTTCTATAAATAAGAATTCTTTAGAAAAAGCACATAAATTAATTTGATAGATAGATTATATAACAAAAAGGAGAAAGAGTTGCATTAGTAAAGAACACTAACCATAAATTTCAATCCCCACAACACGAGGGAAAAACACTTAGTGGGATAATGGAGCAAATATATATGATATATTGTGTCATGGTGTGTGCCCATTGGCCACATTTCACATGATCTGCTCTCCTTATTCGTCCTTGCAACTGTACATATGCATGAATGATGTATATACAGTTACGCACGAGCGCATGTCCATTTATTCTTATTTCCTAAACATACATTTTTGTTAAAACCAAATGTCCATTATTAGCAGTTCACCACTCTCGAATTGCATTAAGATATCCACCAGAGATTGGACACTACTTGTGTAGAGTCTGTTATAGAGGGGTTTTTAGATATACCAAATCAACCAAATGAAAGAAATTGAAGACCTTATCTTCATTCTTCAAAGATGACAGTATCTGAAACAAAATATAGTCAATGTTCGCGAATAATGATGGTTACCACATTCAAAGTATATGTGATTTATCGTTTCATTGTCATATCGACGAAACATGCCAACAAAAATGACAAATTTGTTGGATGTCTGAAGCTTCCAAAAACGAGTTAAATAGATTTACGTTTGGTCCCTGATTAGACCGCATGATCACAATCTTAGGGCCTGACTGGTTTAAACGCTGCGGTTGCGGTTGCGGGAGTTTGCGGTTGCGGGAGTTTGCGGAAGCGGGAGTTTGCGATTAAAAGCTGTTTGTACGACTGGTATAGCAATTCATAGCGGTTGCGTTTGCGGGATATTTTTGACTGGTTAGCCAGCGGGTGCAAGAGCGGTTTAACCAAAAGTTACTAAAATAAAATAATATATAATTATTCAAAACATTTATAACCATATTAATAATTTTTTTTAAATATATTTTTTGATGAATTTTTAATTTGAAAACTACCCTTATTTTTTTTGGTTTTGAAAAATACACTTTTTATATGTGAAATGATTATTCCTAATTTGAAATTCAAATAAGAAATATAAAATATTAAGATTTGATAATAATTTTGTATCATTTTAACATACTAAACCATCCTAATTACCTGTTTAGTTTTTTTTTAAACAATAATAAAAATATAAGATTGTTTATATAAAGTTTAAATGGGGTGAGATTAAAGTTGTTTATATAAAGTTTCAAAAATATTTAAATTTTTCAAAAGATAAACATTAAAAATGAAAGATATATTTCTCCACTTTTTAAATTTTTAATAATTTATAAACTTTAAATATATGTAAAGTTTTAATTTATTTAAAGTTTCATTTGGTTTGAATGTGTATGAGGTTAAGTTGTTTATATAAAGATCCAAAATATTAAAATTTGTTTCAGTTTAACATATACTATATTTATTTGAAAAAAAACTTATTAATTTATTATTTTTTAATTTTCGTTTTAATTTGTAATTATTTATTATTTTTTTTTTAAATCACGTCAAAACATACTTTTTACATTTTAAAAGTGTATTTTTCAAAACAGAAAAAATTAGGGTATTTTCGAAATTTTTAAACATAATTATGGTATTTTTCAAAAAAATATACCCTTATTCCAAATTTGGAGATATTATGTTTTTTTTTTTTTTTTTAAACCGCAACCGCCCGCAACCGCAAACGCTTGCGGAAAGGAGCTTTTGATTTCCAGCGATATAGAGCGGTACAGAGTGGTATAGAGCGGTTGAAAGCGGTTGTCGTGATTGTTATAAAACGCTAAGAACCGCTACGAACCGCAAACGCTGCGTTTGCGGGTGGTAGCGGGAGAACCAATCATCACCTTAAACTCCGCTTTTTTCACAAGCCAGTATTCCGACTAATTTGTTTTTCTTTTTTGGGGTTAAAATTCCGATTTGATTGTATGACAACTGTATTTGGTGAAGTACCATGACTATCATTATGGCATGTTGCAGTCTTGCAGAGTATATTATTAAATATGTGATGGTAACTAAATATTTGGATCTGTATTAAAAATGCATGCATGTAACATGAACACTGTAGAAAACATTGTCGTGGTTCAAGAAGCCTTGCCCAAGTAGGATTCTTTTGTCCCCCTCTCACAGCCACCCGACGAATCCCCATATATATTTGCCATCCTCTCTTATTTTACTGAGATCATTGATGTAATTCATCAAACTATATAAAATTATATAATCCTAGTATCCATAGTATCGGTGGAATTTGTTTTAATAATTTAAAGGGGTACATGTGTAAATGTGCAAACGGAGAGGGCGATCTCCGGCTGTCAGCATGACATAAGCTGACATCAGCGTCACCGCTTTAGCTGCGACGGTCCCGAACGGACCTGCGACTGTCCCGGACTCTCCGAAGCTGAAAGCATGTAATTAACGATAGTGCCCTTGGATATAACACCAAATTGAAAAATGAAAATAGAGAGAATGGACGACATAGATGTTGGTTAATGAGAATGTTTGTAGTAAAAAGAATATTATCACCTCCACGTTATTTTTGTTTGAGTGTATGATTACGCTACAATTTCTTTGAGCGAATTAAAAATGGAGTTGTTGTTTGATAAAGTAGTCCTTTTCAATTATTTATAGTAAAAAAAATTACGTTTGAAGAGTTTACACTTTACATATGAAAGATACAAAAAGAGAGAGAGAGATTGAAGAGGTAGATACCGACTAAAAATAATAATTGAGAGACAATATAAAAAATAGGGAACAAATATAGAGCAAATGAATATTAAAAATTAACAAAAAGAAAAGTTAGATTTATGAAAATGGCGTCAAAAGAAGGAAGGAGATTGAGTATGGTTTACGCCAAAAACAAAAATATATTAAAAATAATAATAATAATAAAGAAAAGGAGTTGTTCGTATCGTCTTCTACCTTATAAAAACACACCATCCATGTTTCCCTCTTCCTACACCGCACTCTCTTCTTCTTCTTCTTCTTTGTTCTTCTTCTTGATTTCTCTCTCATCACGCCTGTTTGGATCCATGGATAAGGTTAAACTCGTGAAGAATGGAGTACTTAGATTGCCACCTGGATTCCGATTTCATCCCACTGATGAGGAGCTTGTTGTTCAATACCTCAAGAGGAAAGTCCTTTCTTCTCCTTTGCCAGCTTCCATCATTCCTGACTTCGATGTTTGCAGAGCTGATCCTTGGGACTTACCTGGTTAGCTTTCTTGTTTTGTTTTTCAATCTTTGGCTTCGAACCAGCGATCTTTAGGCTTATTTTTAATTAAACTCTCTATGTTTCAGGCAATTTGGAGAAGGAGAGGTACTTCTTCAGCACAAGGGAAGCTAAGTACCCAAATGGGAACCGGTCCAATCGAGCAACCGGTTCCGGTTATTGGAAAGCTACCGGTATTGATAAACGGGTTGTGACCTCTAGAGGAAATCAAATCGTTGGTTTGAAGAAAACTCTTGTATTTTACAAAGGCAAACCACCTCATGGCTCCAGAACCGATTGGATCATGCACGAATATCGCCTCTCTTCTTTTCCTCCGGTACAACTTCTCCTCTCAATTTCCCGGTTTAATATCCGGTTCTCTCCACTATTTAAGTTTCACTAAAATTAGATTCCCATTTTCTCTGCAGAGTTCCATGGGTCCCACTCAGAACTGGGTTCTTTGTCGTATCTTCCTGAAAAAGAGAGCCGGTAATAAGACCGACGATGACGACGGAGATAACCGGAATCTCAGATATAGTGATAACAGTAGTAACTCGAATGAACAAATTGAAATAGTTACAACAAACCAAAGCGAGGAAGATAAAACGAAACCAGTCTTCTTCGACTTTATGAGAAAAGAAAGGACAACGGATTTGAACCTTTTGCCGAGCTCTCCTTCTTCCGATCATCCTTCCAGTGGGGTCACGACGGAGATCTTCTCTTCCGATGAAGAGACCAGTAGTTGCAATAGTTTCAGAAGAAATCTTTAATTTAATTTTAATGTTGACTATCTTTAATAATTATTATATAATAATTTAATATTAATACGACTCTCCCTTCCCCCTTTTTTTTCCAATTTTACTTGAAAACGAATCTATGTCCTTCTCTTTCGTTTAGATTTTTTAAAATATGTATTTCGTGAACTAGTTGTGTTTTGTCTGAGTAAATTAACCACCCTATTCAAGCAAAACGTAGTAGCTTTATTCAATTATTCCATAGCAAAAATTTCAATTCTCCTCCCAACGGTCCACTTATTGCAATATATAAGTCATTGTACAAATTTAGGTATACACTTTATTTGGAGATGCTACCACAAACGGAAAATGAAATAAATTAAGAAGAAGCAGTACACGTTGGTTTGGCTAATTGGCTCCATGAAATGACAATCTCATGCCGGAATTAAAAGTATTTCAAACGGAATAATAATTCTGGTTATTATTGATAAAAAGGTATACGTATATCATTATTATCAAAGAGGAAATTATTACAGTTGAAATTATTTACTCTTTGCACGTGGTTATACATATTTAGCTGTATTATATGTAGTTGTGTGTATATGATTACATATGTGCATGGAGGATTACAACTAAAAAGGGTAATAATAGCACGGAGAGGCTGTCAAAGAGGGCTTTTTGTCAAAAGTGCAGAAAACGTAATAAGAGTGTGATGAGTAGCTATCTCTTTTAATGTCAAAAAGGTCATAATTATTCGGTGGAAACTACACAATTATAAATTTACACATTATCAAGCTGATCTTAAGAAAAGAAAAAGAACAGCTATTCATTGTTTACAATGATGTGATTTGATTTCAAATAAGGTCCCCACTTATGCATGCCCAAGTTTAGAGTTGATCTTTCCCCTAATTTGTAAGTTAGTTTTTTTGGGTATGATCCTTCTTTTTCTAACGCGTCATGTATTCAAGATGGTAAAATAACATCATTTAAGCGAAGTTGGTGGCATTGGCTGAGTGAAGAAATTTTGCTCAGCACACTCATCTTAACAACGCTTTTCTTGTGGTAATCTTAATTGTAATCCGACATTATATAATATCAGTGATAATATTAATTAACTTTTGTTATCTACGGGTTTATTAGATTGTTAAGTCCTAATAATATGCATATGTGGCCTAGACGACGAATGCCATATGCATATATCAGCTAGAAAATGGAGAAACAATAGCTGTCGTCATAGGATTCTAACATGGAAGGACTACAAGGAAAGTTTATGCATGGAATCGATTCAAATAAAAAAGGTAGTAGATGGAAAGATATAACTTATTTTATGAGCAAAAGGAAGAAACAAGCATAAGAGCTTGAAAGAATCACCTATAAGAACCAATTCCGTGAGGATAATATATTCGAGGAGGATCAAATCTCTCTCTCTATCTAAAGATTCCATTCCAATCTTCAAACCTACTCCAATTGCACACACACACACAAAAAACATTCTGTGTGAGTTACTGAGTTCCGTTTTTCAACAGCATATGTTACTGTTGTCTCCATCGAATTACTATTGCTTACGAAAATGAATTGAAAAGTTAGGTAACTGTCGGATGAGTGTTCGACCTAGTGAGACACACAACCTACCAAAGAAAAATCACACAATTAAATATTCCGGTTAATGAAACAACTCCGTTAAACTAAGAACTCGTAACCTATCCTATCAAAATTGGCAAATGTTTCCACACAAAAACCCCGATAATTTGAAAATAGCAATTTTGAATAACTAAATATAACAATCTTCTCATATTTTATATACCTCATATATTACTATAAACTAATATTATTTTTATAGGCATTTTTATTTGTGTTGAATAACTTAGTTGAAGTACATCACAAGAATAAGTTACCAAAATAAATTCCGATATTTGATTTCTTACTGGTCCAGACATATTCCATATTGGTGGTGGTAGACATATAGTTGCAATTTCTTGTACTTGCAAGCAATCCCAATCATCTGACTGATCTTATCGAGTGAGTCAAATTAATTTAACAACTTTATTACAATTCTTTAAATATTTTAAGGATTGTTTTCATATTCCGTATGCCACAAGGAAAGGTAAAGAATATTTTTCCCGACCCAAAGAGAGAGAATTTCTGTTTGGATTCGTCGTACGGCATTATTGCTATTAGCTAGTGGATAGTGGATATTTGTTCAAATGTTTTGTTCTGTTTTTCCCACAAGTTACTTCTTTGACTCTGATTATATATTATGATCGCCACTTATGTAACGACTCACATAATAATTAAGTTTTTGTAGTTACCCAACCTAATTTGTCATTCAAAAAAAATTCGCAATAAAGTATTAGTTTTGGTATCTGATCGACATCTCATATAGAGTGATATACAAACACATGAGTAACATACATATTTGTAAAATCCCTTTAATTTTTTGTCTCACAAGTTTCCCCGTTTGAAACACAAGTCCCGATCTCTGGTTACATTTGGTGAATAGAAGCAAAGTGCATCTCAAAATTTCCTCTCTTTTTTTTGTAATTTTAATTTTATTATTAAAAAAATACCCACATGAATACATGTTTATGTTCATGGAAAACAATCATCAAAGAAAAGAGGAGAAAAAAAAGGAAGAGAAGGTGGAAAGAGTCGTATAATGCTGACTTGTGTTTCGTTAGATTCAAAATTGTATAAAATTCCAAGTGGGCTGCGACTTGGGAGACGTGGAAGACCCACACACTTTCACAAACCATCCGTTACCCACACGCCTTTTTCTTCTTCTTTTACTCGTATTGCATGGTTATGTGTCACTTCCACCAACCACATTCAATATGTATATTCACCTTAGATTTGCTAAACCTTTGTCTTAATGTTAGTTTATAAGAACGAAAACACCTGTAGTAGTTGTAAACCTAATAACAAATGTCCTTAACAAAAATATGGATGATAAGACAAACAAACGTAGTCACAATTACACGAACGCTGAATTGCTAAATGTGCTAAATCAACATTAATGCAATGGATAAAATTAAATGTAAGCATTGAACAAACAAAATTATAGATTTTTTTTTTACTTTGCTCGTAAACTTTACAGGTAAAAGAGAGATCGTGAAACGGAAACTTGATGTTAAAGCTAACAAATATTGACCCAGCCTTGGTTTTACCAGATTCCCTATTGAGAGAAAACTAAAGACATCGCATAAAATGAGATTAATTATTAAGAACATGTTCACAAGAAACACTATGAAGGTGGTGAAAGTGCATCATCATTCATCAAAAAAGTTATATCAATTTCTTACAATCCAATCCTTTTCTTTTTCTCTCCCAACCACCACACCATAATTAAACTACATAAAACAAGAAGGAACCTAGCTAGTTGGGTAAGCAAACTCTCAAATAAACCAAGGAGAATCTTTATATAATTTATTTCATCATTTTTTCTCTATTTGGGTTTAAGAGCCAGAATCTCTTTATGGCTCTTGCCTGTTCCCATAAGCCCTCACTTAAAGAAGAGGATGAGGTCAGTACCCAAAGACATGTTGCCTAGACTCTAAGCAAAACTAGAGATGTGACTCTTCCCATTTTCATTTCTTGATGACAACAGAAACCTAAACCCCATAATACTTAAAGTTTATTTCACCATCAACCACATCCCCATGTCTAGTTAACCACCCATATGATACAAAAGTTTAAGAAAACACAAATTCCGAATTGGTAATTTAACCGGCTGAATCTATTGTGGGAGGTAGACCAGGCAAGTCCTGACCTCGACCAAACTGCATGCTCTAGTACACAGTCCGAGAAGATTATCTTTGGTCCGAAGATAGGGAAATTCTTGGCTAATAAAATATAGATGTAAATTAATACCCGAAAAGATAGTGTTTGATATTTTGTGTAGAGGTTGCGTGTGAAGAAGCAAAACCCCTTGTGAGGGAGTGACTTGAAGATCAGCTTCAGCTTTCCGAGACATAATGACAAACAACAAATGGGTTTGATATAGGAGCAGTTTTACTTACATCACATGTTTAGCTTTCCTCTTGTGGTCCTCCCTTTTCTCCAATCTCTAAGCAAATCCTACACATCTCTTGAAAATTTTGTAAACCATGGACCCCATCAAAGATTCAGTTGTATCTTCCTTAATTGACCCTTTTTTGAGGCATGATTAGACATTTATAGCGAAGAACTAATCCAAAACCTACATCAGAGCTTAAAAATTCTTGCTATAGATAGATATCTACAAATGGTCCCAAAGAACCTAACAAATTAAGCCACTTCACACGCTGAAGAGGCAAGTCTTACTGTTCCCAGATTCCAACAAAACAGAAGAGTTATAAGCTTTGAACATTAAAACCAGCAGACAAGGCATATGCTTGGTGACAACTACAGTTGCACATCTGTACTGCACTAAAAATTCTCTACCTTTTCACCTTTGCACGCAACTCCCTATATCAGTCTATCAAAACTCTAATACATCACAAATAAAAAAATCAAACTTATCAAGTTGATGAAGGATTATTTACATGAATTGATGTTGCCCCCATAAGAAAAGTGTAATACTTTTGTAAAACCCAAACAGAACAGAGACCCATATTTATGCCAACAGCCAATGAGAAGAGAAACAGGAAAGAAGCAGTAAAGTATATTGAAGTTGATAAGGAGGCATGCTTTAATAGTTTAAACTATGCTTCATTTTTAACATAAGAGAAGTTGCAATTATCTACACCTTGATTGACAAAGAAGTATACCATAATCCAGAATATTTACTGTCTAGGTGGTCTAATAAACAAAACCAGCAATACAAAATTGTAAGAAGAAATTACACACAAAGTGGCTGGTAAAATTAAAAAGTTGGGCATGACCAGGACTTTTTGTTTTGGTTCAGTTTGGATTCAGCCTTGTATAAAATCTAGTGATAAGGTAAATCAAATGTTTCCAAATAATCAAAAACAATACTAAAACATACAAACTTCATACTGATATATGAAAAACACAATAATGAGATTATCGTTTGATTTTGATAGATATGCCACAAAACATCCACTCTGATACGCCAAGTTTAAATTGTTAAATTGGGGCTCATGTTAAGCAAATTCGAGGATTCTCACAAATATGTCCGTGGGCCAGCCCGGCACTGCACCGGCTGACCCGTTTATCATTTCGGAAACACAAGACCGGTCAGGCACTTTTCAGACTAAAAGTTATGGCTCTGATTTTTGTATTTCGACACAATACACGGTTCGAATCACGAATCATGGACGATACGGACAGACATCACAGGTGGTCCTTTCTCAGTTCTCACACATATTATACGGTTATTCTGGATCTTCGATCATTTCGGTACATGCAACACAACGAGTAAACTTCACATGCAATATCAACAAGAAGAAGAAAAGAGAAAAGAATTGCGTCTTCTCATGCAGGGAGTGCGAAACTCGGTTGCTTCCAGTTTGGCGGATCCATCACCAGGCAAGGATCTGATTTATCAAAGTCAGCAACCTGCAGGCAGCAGACAAACCAATCGTATGAATGGTGAAACAATCTTTAAAATTCAGGGAAAGATGAAGGTAAAGCAAGGCTTTCAGGCAAGATGAGAGACATGATAAATTACCTTGTTCCCACACTGAGGGCAATGGTGCTGTTTGCTCCAGAGGCAATCCATTGAAGGGCACAGGAAGCAGAATCCAAGCATAAACGGCATCATGCAAGCAACAGCAGCAGCTACGCCAGGTTTTGATCTGCTCCAAATCCAAGTATTATGTAAAAGTATTAACAATGAATATAGTACAGTCTCATGCTCTTAAACATAGTTTCTAGTTTTCTACTGTCAACGGAGCATATTTGTTGAGTGAGATTAACAATAAACGCACATCAAGAACTAGCTAAATGGGAGGCAAACATTTTTGTTTCGCCTTCCTTCGAGTTCGAGTGTATTCAATTTTTTGTAAGAGTTTCGTTCGATAAGCAAGAAATTTCCATCGATCAAACATTCTCTAGCTAATGAAACAGGGAGCCAAAATTAATTAAGAAGTTCGAGAATCCGCAATCACAAAAAAAAAAAAAAAAAAACAGAGGAGGAGGAAGCCATCAATCAATCAGCTGAAATTCCAATACTCAAACTCAAAAGCACTGGCAAGTAACAGATGCGATTATTGTTCTAATTCATATCCGCATCAGTCAAAGAACCTCTGACAGATCCAAGTACAGGATCAATTCAAACGGATCCCAAAATGCCGATTGCAGATTATCAAATACACAAGATGAATTATAATCGATTCGTAGAACGATTCATGAACGAGAATAAGAAGCAAGAGAAAAAATGAATTACCTGAGGTTGGTGAGACCAGTATTGCCGCAATAGAGGCAATTGAAGGGAGCAGGAGTGTCCCGATAAAACGTTTGGTGGATCGGAGCACCCATCGGATCACCGTAGATAGCGTTCGGCGGAACGATTCCGGCCTGATACGGGTTCTGTCCCGCGTAATACGCCGGAACTCCGATTACCGTTTGTCCCTCTTTCGACATTCTTCTTATTTGTACGGTCAACGATTTCAGATGAAGCAAAAAAAGCAGCTACAAGTATTATGAAAACGATGAAGCTGATGAATTCAAAGAGATTTATTCCCCTTTCCGATATGGATTTTCTCGGGAAATTGCGCGGAAGAAATTGGAGTCCGATTTACGCGTACTGTAATGAGATTAATTGCAGTTTTTATTTGAAAGGTTCTCTTCTAATAAATCTTCTGGAAAGTCTCACTCGGACGTAATGGGCTTTTTAAACAGAAACTTAAAACAAACATTGGGCTCACAAGGCCTAATAGCAATCATCTCCTGAGGGCTACACACGTGTCCTTTTTTTTGGCGGAAACAAACAACCGATCAAACCAAAAACAACAACGTGTCCTTCCGACGGAGGAGGGTCCATGTCACAAATAACAATCAACTTATATGAATCTTCCTCAAATGGTTTTTTTTTTTTTTTTTAATCTGTTCACAAATACACAATGGTAAGATCTTGTGTTTGGTGTTTATGTCTTACTGGTTAAGGATTTTTAGAAAAGTCCGACTCTTCATCCCAAAGGCAACACCAAACCGCGTTTTATCTTTGTGTTATCCACTCTTATAAATTACGGATCTATTGCAATTATCAATCATCAATCAACCAACAAAGTCTATCTAGTAGAAGAACATTATCGAATCATCCGCCCAACTCAGAGAATTTCATTTTTCAGCCATGAAAGGATCACAAGAAGAAGAGACCAACCACCAGCCTCAGATCGTTGATCAAGGACAGCCCAAAACTGTAGAAACAGAGCACCAACCACCACAACAACCTGCTTCTTTGCCTCAGATCGCTGATCAAGAACAGCCCAAATCCATAGAAACAGAGCACCAAACAACACAACCACCTGTTTCGTCGTCTCCGGATCAGAAGCCGACAGATTCTAAGAAATGGGGGACTCACGTGATGGGAGCTCCGGCGGCTCCCGTGGCTCATCCCGATAACCAACAAGCGGCGGCTTGGGTCGCCGGAGATAACCAGCAGTCGCAGCAGCAACCGTACATCATCTACTCTCCTGTCGAGCATCCTCCAACTAACAACCCTCTCGAGCCCGTCATCGGAATGTTCCATACTTGGAGCCGTAAGGCTGAGACCGTCGCTCGTAACCTCTGGCACAATCGTAAGTCTCCTTCTACTTAATTGGACCATCCGATCCGACCAATTTTGACCCAGCAGTTTAGGCTAAGTTTGTGATTTTTTTATTTGTTTCTGCAGTGAATACGGGTCCGTCTATGCCGGAAACGGCGTGGGGGAAAATTAATCTGACGGCGAAAGCGATAACAAAGGGAGGATTCGAATCCCTTTTCAGGCAGATCTTCGGAACAGAGCCGAACGAGAAGCTGAAGAAAACTTTCGCATGTTACCTCTCGACGACGACGGGACCTGTCGCCGGAACTCTGTATCTCTCGAATTTACGCGTCGCGTTCTGCAGCGACCGTCCTCTCTTCTTCACAGCGCCTTCTGGCCAAGAAGCTTGGAGCTACTACAGGGTATAGTCATGTTTCTGTAAAAACGAAAGCTTTGACAAATTTTGAGGATTATGTTGTTTGACGTTTGATGGTTTTTGGGCAGGTGGTTGTACCGTTGGTGAATGTTGGGACGGTAAATCCGGTGGTGGTGAAGGAGACTCCGCCGGAGAAGTATATTCAGTTGACGACGGTGGATGGACATGACTTTTGGTTTATGGGTTTTGTGAACTACGAGAAGGCTACGCATCATCTGCTGACCAGTGTCTCCGATTCTCAAACCGCACACAGCTCTGTGTCTAGTTAGAGCGACTTGGCCTAATCTTCTAAGTTTGCTTGTTCTTCTGTGTATGGTTGGATTCTGCTGCCCATGTTTCTATGTGTTTTATGTGTAAGTCTTGAATGTCGATTTGTAGAGTTGCTTTTCACTTTTGTATGATTCCTTTTGTTCGTCTGCATACATTAATTCCCAATCTCTTTTACTTTACCGGTTTACACATTGTTCTTCTTTTTGTTTTTTTTGGTCGTGCAACGGGAGACAAATGTCCCCCATTTTATTTTATTGAAAAGTCAAAAACATTACAAACGAACTCGCCATAGGCCGTGTGAACCCAAGCTCATCCTCGTTCAAAATAGAAACTACATTCATAGGAGCAACATCAAAGAAATGATAACCTAGTGGAAGCGAGAAAGCATAGTTTGTCAATCCATCTGCAAGACAGTTGACCTCCCTATACACATGTGTAACTCGGACTATCCAGTCCTTTGCAATCAAGCCATAGCACAGACGTACCAGGAAAGACAGGGGATCCCTGTCTGAAGAAATCCTACCACCAACGCCGAATCTACTTCCAGAACGACTCTTGTACACCTATTCTCCCACGCCATGTACAGTCTGTAGTATACACCCCAAAGTTCCGCCAACGGCGCAGAGCACCGGCCAATATTAATCGCGAACCCTCCGCGCCATCTTCCCTCGCCATCTCTCAGAACCCCGCCCGCAGTAGCCAGACCCGGGTTACCACGTGAAGCTCCGTCAGTGTTGAGCTTAAGCCAATCATCCACCGGCAGAGTGAGTCCAACCTATCTGCCTTTCCTCCCTCACAACGGGAGTCCCCTGTCCCAATATCACTACGTGGGCCATCCACACCTCTTTCGACAGATCCCTAATAAATCTGACCCGGTCTGGGCATCTCCTGTTCTCACCAAAGACATTTCCACATCTCCATTTCTATCCCTACCAGATTGCCATGGCAAACATGATGGTCCAAGGCACTTCTGTGCATCTTGTTCTTCTTTTTGTTTACTCCAAGAGTGATTGACCGGTTACTAGAGACAGGCCCGTCTCAGTAATTTGATGGGCCATATGCAATGGTTCTAATTTTGTAAGAAAAAGCTCGAAATATTTAGAATTGACGGTTTCATTCACCGCCTCCACGAAGAAGACGGATCTCTGGCCCACCAACTTTCGTTACTCCGCGTCACCGTCTTCACAAAACTTGGTCCCCAAGCCATACATTAGGGTTTATGCACATTTTTATAAATAAGAGCCAAAACACACGACCTCCATCATCAATTCATCATCATCACGTCTAAAAACCAAAACACACGACCTCTATCATCATCACTTCTAAAAAACCCATGGCTTCACCGTTGCTTGGTCCACCAGAGCTCCGAGCCTCAGACTCTCTCCCAAAATCCTCTGATCCTAGCGACCCGTTCATGGATCTAATGGTCTCAAACTTCAACAAGTCAGCCAAGCTCGATGATCCCTCTTCTCCTCAGAAGGGTCTGACCGAGAACGGTGCCGACACGTACCTCTCCGCAGGAAACCCTTGCCTAGACTTCTTCTTCCACGTTGTCCCAGACACGCCCAAGGAATCTATAGAGCAGCGACTCCAAGCTGCTTGGAACCACGACGCCTTGACCACTCTCAAGCTTATATGTAACCTCCGTGGAGTCCGTGGCACCGGAAAATCGGACAAGGAAGGGTTTTACACGGCGGCGTTGTGGCTCCATGGTTGCCATCCCAAAACACTCGCATGTAATCTCGACTCCCTCTCAAATTTTGGCTACTTCAAGGATTTCCCGGAGATTCTTTACCGGATCCTAAAAGGATATGAGATCCGTAGGATCCAGAAATCGGAATGGGAACAAAGGAAAAACGGAATCCGCAGACCATACAGACCAAGAGAAACATACTCTTACCGAGGCCGTCGAGGAAGAGGTCGCGGTGGCCGTAATCTTATTAATAAGAGGCCAGAGGCGACGAGGGAGCTGCGGATAGCGGACGCAGAGAAGAGACACCAAGCGGAGAAAGCCAAAGCGAGCTTGGAGCGGAAGATGGAGAAGATTTCGATGGGGAAGAAAGCCTTTACCAGGTACTCTCACGATCCAGATTATCGGTTTCTCCACGAACGCGTCGCCGATCTATTTGCAGATTACCTGAAGAGAGATCTCGGGTTTTTGACGTCCGGCGAACCAAACAAAATCTCTCTGGCGGCCAAGTGGTGCCCGTCGCTTGACTCTTCGTTCGACAAAGCAACACTTCTCTGCGAGAGCATTGCTAGGAAGATCTTCACTCGTGAAGCTTTCCCAGAATACGAAGGCGTCGAGGAAGCTCACTACGCTTACAGAGTTCGTGATCGGCTGAGGAAAGAGGTTTTAGTTCCTCTCCGGAAGACTCTGCAGCTCCCGGAGGTTTACATGGGAGCGAGAGCGTGGGGATCTCTTCCGTACAACCGCGTTGCATCGGTGGCTATGACGTCTTACAAGGAGATATTCCTGGAGCACGACGCCGAGAGGTTTCAGCAATTTTTGGATGATGCGAAAACAGGGAAAACGAAATTGGCCGCCGGAGCTGTGTTGCCTCACGAGATAATTGGGGAATTAGACGGCGGAGACGGTGGACAAGTCGCTGAGCTGCAATGGAAACGGATGGTGGATGATCTGAGAGAGAAAGGTTCGCTCACGAATTGCATTGCCATATCCGACGTTTCGGGATCTATGAGTGGTACTCCAATGGAGGTTTCCGTTGCTCTGGGTCTTCTCGTCTCCGAGCTATCGGAGGAGCCGTGGAGAGGGAAGCTGATAACGTTCAGCCAGAACCCAGAACTGCACTTTGTGAAAGGAGACGATCTGAGATCGAAAACAGAGTTCGTGAGGAGGATGCAGTGGGGAATGAACACTGATTTTCAAAAAGTGTTCGATCTGATTTTGAGTGTGGCGGTTGAAGGGAAACTGAAGCCGGATGAGATGATCAAGAGGGTGTTCGTGTTCAGCGACATGGAATTCGATGAAGCCTCGGCTCATTCGCGTGGATCGGAAACGGATTATTATGCGTATGGATCGGCAACGGATTCTTTATCGGATGATGGATCGGAAACGGTTTCCTGTTCGAGTGGATGGGAAACGGATTATCAGGCGATTGCCAGGAAGTTCAGAGAGAAAGGGTACGGCGACGTTGTGCCGGAGATAGTCTTCTGGAATTTGAGGCATTCGAGGTCAACGCCGGTGCCAGCAAGTCAGAAAGGAGTAGCGTTGGTGAGTGGGTTCTCGAAGAATATCATGAAAATGTTTTTGGATAATGATGGGCAGGTCGATTCCGTAATGATGGGTCCCATGGCGGTCATGGAGAGTGCTATATCTGGAGAAGAGTACACCAAGCTTGTCGTGATTGATTGAGACTTGGGCTTTGGGTTGTGCTCTTAATTGCGGGCTGGATTACATTTATTTTTATTAAATTAGGCCCATTATATAAATTCGTGTTTTTTTTGTTTTGCTTGCATTTTTTTCTTAAATGATAGAGAAAAAGTAATAACACCATCAAAATGGATAAAAGTATAAAACCAACTAAACTGAGCATTTTCTTATTCTTCACTAATCGATTCGACGCCACTTTCCTACCGGCTGAGCCAACTCAACAAAATAGTGTTTCAGTATTATAAGAAAACATAATGTTAAGATACATATATTGGCTTAAATTGAAGCAAACTTTCTGGTACGGATCTGAAGGTACTATATGTACATGTTAGATGTTATATTAAATTAATAAACAAAATGACGCTATACATACATGTAATGTAGTATGTCTGAACAAGAAATTGGTTAACTAATTGGGTAGAGTGTTAATGTGTTGTGTATCCTAGCTATGCATTACTAAATATATTACGTTGTTGTTTTTCCTTATCAATTTTTTTTAAAAAGCATATATTGTTGTTTGCATGTTGCTTTTTTTTCTGGTTCGAAGATTGCATTATAAAACTTTGAATAAATATTTGATCACGAGGGCCGATATTGGCACGATAGGCTTCTGGAGAGGATATGATTTAACTTAGTATAAGCTTCTCGTGTGGTTTGGCTAATATGAACGACTTGATTACACGTGTTCTGGCTCTGAAGTTTGAGAAAGGTATTTGATTTTGAATTTGTGTAGTTTCCAAAAGAAAAATTCTATCAGTCCAAATTTAGGTTGCAAGTACTTAAGTCAACAAAATAAGAATATCTGATAAACAGCTTTAATCCAATTTTTTTTTTTTTTTTTTTTTTTTAACATAGTTCACATTATCTTTAGATATCTCTTTAACTTGATTTAAAATTTAAAATTTATTTTCTAGACAAATAAATAATAATAGACTAATAGTGTTATGCTACACTAATTCTGTTATGTGCAGGTCTCTTGTAATGATGTTTCTAAATTGAAATACATGCAGGATATACACAATTACGGAGTGAACACAACAACAAAAAGTAGTGAAAACAGCTGTGTTCGTGTGTTAATTTTATGGTCGCTATGTTACTGTTTAATCAATAGAAAATTCATAAGGAATCGAACCTTAAACAACTAAAACCAAAAGGAGATCATGTTTGGAAAACGATACAAATCTTCTAATACAAAAGAAAACGTCAAATGTCAGAAGAAGCCAGCCAAGCTAACATAATATTTACTATGCAATGAGAGGGAAGACTTTTAAAAATGTTCGATCTCTCCACCTCCACGGAAAAGTCGGATCTTTAGCACACCGACACCGACTTTGACTAGAATAATATAAAATGTCTCCTTCTTTGCAATGAACGTGATCTCCAAGGCAAAGAATGGGTTCTGCACAGCATAAATAACGCCAAAATAAACCATCTTCGTCATCACTTCTAAAAAAAACCATGGCTTCACCTTCACCGTTGCTTGGTCCACCAGAGCTCCGAGACTCCAACTCTTGCCTCCCAAAACCCATCACAGCCTCTGGTCCAAGCAACCCATTCATGGACCAAATGGTCTCTAACTTCAACAAGTCAACCCGAGTAGTCAACGATGTCTCTTCTCCTCAGATGGGCCGGACCGAGAACAGCTCCGCCACGTTCCTCTCCGCCGGCAACCCTTGCCTGGACTTCTTCTTCCACGTTGTCCCAAGCACGCCCAAGGAATCTATAGAACAGAGACTTCAAGCTGCTTGGAACCACGACGCTTTAACCACTCTCAAGCTTATATGTAACCTTCGTGGAGTCCGTGGCACCGGAAAATCAGACAAGGAAGGTTTTTACACGGCGGCGTTGTGGCTCCATGGTTGCCATCCCAAAACACTCGCTTGTAATCTCGACTCCCTCTCGAATTTCGGCTACTTTAAGGATTTTCCGGAGATTCTTTACCGGATCCTCAAAGGATTTGAGATCCGTAGAATCCAGAAATCGGAATGGAACCAAAGGAAAAACGGAGTCCACAAACCATCCGGAGGTAGAGGAAGAGCTCCTTTCTCTGTTGAAACCTCGAGAGTCTCTTACCAAGGTCGCGGAATGGGTCGAGGAAGAGGTCGCGGTGGCCGTAAAAAGAAGCCAGCGGCGACGAGGGAGCTGAGGATAGCGAACGCAGAGAGGAGGAATCAAGCGGAGAAAGCTAAAGCGAGCTTGGATCGGAAAATGGAGAAGATTTCGATGGGGAAGAAAGCCTTTACTAGATATTCTCACGATCCAGATTACCGGTTTCTCCACGAACGCGTCGCCGATCTATTTGCAAATCTCCTGAAGAGAGATCTCGAGTTTTTGGCATCCGGCGAAACAAACAAAATCTCTCTGGCGGCGAAGTGGTGCCCGTCGCTTGACTCTTCGTTCGACAAAGCAACTCTTCTCTGCGAGAGCATCGCTAAGAAGATTTTTCCACGCGAATCGTTCCCAGAATACGAAGGCGTCGAAGAAGCTCACTACGCTTACAGAGTTCGTGATCGGCTCCGGAAACAGGTTTTAGTTCCACTCCGGAAAACTCTGCAGCTCCCGGAGGTTTACATGGGAGCGAGAGATTGGGCGTCTCTTCCATACAATCGCGTTGCATCGGTGGCTATGAAGTCTTACAAGGAGATTTTCCTGGAGCACGATCCCGAGAGATTTCAGCAATTTTTAGATGATGCGAAATCAGGGAAAACGAAATTGGCCGCCGGAGCTGTGTTGCCTCACGAGATAATTGGTGAATTAGATGGCGGAGACGGCGGACAAGTCGCTGAGCTGCAATGGAAACGAATGGTGGATGATTTGAAAAAGAAGGGCTCGCTGACGAATTGCATCGCGATCTCCGATGTGTCGGGATCTATGGCCGGTACTCCAATGGAGGTTTCCGTCGCGCTGGGTCTTCTCGTTTCTGAGCTATCGGAGGAGCCATGGAGAGGGAAGCTGATAACGTTCAGCGAGGACCCAGAGCTGCAATCGGTGGAAGGAGAGGATCTGAGATCGAAAACAGAGTTCGTGAGGACGAGGAGATGGGGAATGAGCACTGATTTTCAGAAAGTGTTCGATCTGATTCTGAGAGTGGCGGTTGAAGGGAGATTGAAGGCGGAGGATATGATCAAGAGGGTGTTCGTTTTCAGTGACATGGAATTCGATCAAGCCTCGGTTTCTTCGCATGGTTGGGAAACGGATTATCAGGCGATGGCGAGGAAGTACAGAGAGAAAGGGTACGGTGACGTTGTGCCGGAGATAGTGTTCTGGAATTTGAGGGATTCGAGGTCAACGCCGGTGCCGGGAAGAGAGAAAGGAGTGGCGTTGGTGAGTGGGTTTTCGAAGAATCTGATCAAAATATTTTTGGATAATGATGGAGAGATCGATCCCATGAAGATGATGGTGGCTGCTATTTCCGGAGCAGAGTATGGCAAACTTGTTGTGATTGACTAAAAGCATTTGGGCTTTGGATTGTGTTCCGAAATGCATTTCTTTTTAGTAACTTGAGCCCATATTAAATTCGTGTTTATTCGTTCTTTTCAAGACCCAAGTCGAAAATAAGAAACTAAAACAACACCATAAAGATTATGTAAATTTTGTAAGAAACTTAAACAACACCATAAAGGGGAACTAAACCAACTAAACCGAGCTCTCTAGTTCTTAGCTCTTCACTAATCGACTCGATAGACGACACCACCCTTACAGGCTAAACCAACCAAACTAAACCGTGTTAAAATATTGTAAGAATTCGGAACATAATGCTAAGATACCGATATTGGGCCGAATATCTAATTTCTCTCCAACTATTTGAAGATAACAGGCTTTCATCGAAGCAAAAACTTTCTAATATGGATCTGAAGGTACAGACTGTACAGTATATGCATGTTGGAGCCAGTCTAACAATTTTGTCTATGTGAGATTAAAGACGAAACGAAGGGCAAAGTTTGTAAATGAAAGGTAGATAAGAGGGGTGAATTGGTCAGCTTAAGAAACACATCGACATCAGATCGACAACACAGACAAAACGTGAGATATATAACTAAAAAAAAACAAGATAATTAATACTTCAAGGAAGAATACAAGTAGGTAGATAACAATAATAAGAATAAAGAATTAGGTATTAACTGAGTCCAGCGATAGAGAGAGATAGAAAAAGAAGAAGAGGCTGAGTCAATTCAGAATATGGAAGAAAAAAGAAAAAGCGCGACGCAAACCCTGACGATTTATGGAGAAGTGAACCTCGCCTACTGATGTCTTGACATTAAGGCATTAACTACACATCTCAACACGTGAAAGACATGCATACTCTTTCTCTTTTTTTTTTTTTTTTTCCTTTTAAATTCATCTTTTTTTTTTTTTTCTGTTTAGTTGTCAAGCATAACACTTTTTCGGTTTTCTAGTTAGGAAACCAAGCTTTAAAAAATGAAATACAAAAAGAAGCACAAGTTTGAAAAAAAAAAAAAAAAATCTTAAATTACAGTAGGAAACGTAAAATGTCAGAAGAACCCAGTGTGAAGTTAACATGATTACGTAATTTTCTTTTTAGGATAAAATAAGTATGATTATGTACAGATACATTTATACTAAACAAAAAAACAATGGATGGTCACCAAATTTGGAGATATTTTTAATTTTAAAACATTACTATTTTCATTGGAGTCCCGTTATTCCCGGGTGAATAACAAAATAGAAAATATCTACTTTTATGTATAGTAGTATTAGACTATTAAGCATGTGTTTAAATCATTAATCTAACTAGATTAGAGGAAGTTGGGAGCCTATTATTTTTTTATATTATAAAAACAGAGAAATGAAAAAGAAAAAGAAAAACAAAAGTGGATGAGTTGGAGTTGCCAATTGTGCCTAAAAACTTAAAAAGAAAGAAAGAGAAGGCATGAACCTCGTGCGTTTATTAACATCCGACGGATACACTTTTCTTTTAAAAACTCACATGAAAAATCCTTTTTATCATTACTCCTTCCTCTCTCGCGCTTCTCTTCATCTCTAATAAAATCCATTTTCTTCATCTCTCTCTCTTTCTCAGTCGCAGAACAAAGATGTCTAAAGCTACCATTGAGCTCGACTTCCTCGGACTCGAGAAGAAGCAGACCAACAACGCTCCCAAGCCCAAGTTCAAGAAATTTCTCGACCGCCGTCGCAGTTTCCGAGGTTCGTTTCCCTTTTTCTTTCTCTCTCTTCATTTTTCAATTTTTTTGGTTTGTTCCTAAGCGATTTATCGGTTTTTTATTCGCAGAAATTCAAGGTGCGATTTCGAAGATCGATCCGGAGATTATCAAATCGCTATTAGCTTCTGGAGCTAACTCATCGGCTAGATCTCTCTCCGTTCCGACGACTCCGAGGGAAGATCAGCCTCAGATCCCGATTTCTCCGGTCCACGCGCCTCTCACCAGGTAATTTTTTCACGGCAAAGTTTTTTTTTTTTTTTTAAAGTTACTAATTTTGGCGCTACCAGAAATTCAAAAATTTCGAAACTAATTATCTGCAGGCCCAGTACGGAGCTCGTTTGTGGAACCGTGCCGATGACGATCTTCTACAATGGAAGCGTCTCTGTCTTCCAAGTGTCACCTAACAAGGCTGCGAGTATTTTGAAGGTCGCCACGGAAACATCACCCAAGGAGAAAGATCTCTCGGTAATTCCTCCGACCACCCTAAGACCAAAGCTCTTTGGCCAGAATCTAGAAGGAGGTTAGTTGAAATTAGTTTATCAAATCTCACTCACACCCAGTTCTTGATTCTTCAAGAGTATACTTAGATTAGATATTGCATGCAGATATTTAAGAAGCGTTTGTTGTTAGGTGTCTAAAATAAGAGACAACTTGAAAAACATGAGCTAATCCACTTATTACAAAATACTTTTGAACTGAATACCTGTGTTATAAACCGGTTATGGATTAGAAGCTTAATGATCTGTTGTCTGATAAGTATGTGGCTCTTTTTTTTGTTTTGTGTGTGTGAGCAGATCTTCCAATCGCAAGGAGAAAGTCGCTACAAAGGTTTCTTGAGAAGCGCAAGGAGAGGTAATTGTTGTCCTACAATCCAAGGCTTTTACACAAAAACTTAAAGGTTTTTTCCCTCTCTGTGTCGACCTTATTAGATTCACTTTCGTTAAAACTCATGAAACTAAAAATAATTAGGAGTCGTGTCTCTTTTTAGTCACACAAGTTTAGATGCCACTAGTTGTTCAACAAAGCACATGCTTCGACGAACGTAGTAGATATTAGAGATTTGTTGAAGATATACGTTGAATATATTATTGTGGAAATTTCAAAACGCGTTGCCTTTGAGGCTTTGACTCTCTCTCACTTTCTTTTTGTTTGCCACCGACTAGTTTTGTTTTGTCAAAATGATTCGAGTTATTAAGTGTAATGATGAGAAAATGAGGAGAATAACCGAAAGAAAGTTTGAAATGTTTGTTTTTACCCGGACAACACGGGGCCATATCAAATATCTGACGTGTGATTACAAGTTACTCTAAAACGCGTTTTGACATGTTTTTCTTTGTGTTTGCAGAATAGTATCAACATCTCCTTACTCTCCGACATCGGCCTAAACGAAACTCTTATCTCTCTTTCTGATTGTGACTTGAAACCGAATCGTCATTTCACATTCCAAAGACATCGTTGTTATTCGTTTTGCATTTGGCTACTTGCCAATCTTTTGGAGTCACGACACGCTTTAGGATGTTACGTTACCTTCTAAGAATTTGATATAAATATATATATATATATATATATATATATATATATATATATTCGTGTTGTTTTTTTTCCCAAAATGACTATGATCTCTCTAATGTCATTGATACTTTGATTCAAGAAGCGCTAGCTATTATATGTAGTTCGGTTACCTTTGTTGAATTGTTTAGTGTTTGCAAAATAAAACGAACACGACTCTTGGCTTCTCTCATGAAGCTTCCGTTTGCGTATTAAAAGAAATGTGCCTATTATGTTACCATCTGCCAACTTTGGTCTTTGATTTTGGTTTGGTTTGGCTTGTCGTTATGTGTATCATAATGGAAATGAGTTCAAGAAACACGTGACTGTATGACAGTTATATTCAACGGCAAGTCTCGACTCTTGCCTACTAATGTGTCAATGTTAAAAGTCTTTGTGGTCTTATAAATTTGGAGAAATATTAAGAGAAGCATAAAGTGAACGTACTTTGTATGTCTTCTTTTCGACGAGTACCACTTTGATTGAATAGTACTATCAATCACTAGAATTAACATGGCATGGCAGTGGCTGGTCCGAATCAAAGAAACAATTACAAATCATATACGTTGTACCAACATTTAGTGTGCTTTTTTCATCTGAAACAAAAATGCCTCATATGTGTCGTATAACTGTGATGAATAATGCAATGTTTTAGCATTAAAGAAGTAGCTCGATTAGTAACTTGAGAATATGCAGGCTTTTTACCATATACTTATTTCGATAGTCAAACAGATTCTTCTCCCATGAGTATGTACCAATTAGTCTTATGTTGTTATCTGTCGATAGATTGTAGTTCTCCACTTTCAAGTTTTTAGTGAAATATTAAAAGTAACATATGGTTTTGTGAAAACTTATAACGATAGATTGAAGTAATCCTTTTTCAAGTTTTTAATGGAACATTCACAGAATAATATGATCTCACAATTATATTAGTTTAGTTTCAATGTTTGATCTTCACTATCACATTAATTTGTCACGACGAAACACTATCAAACCCACCATAATTGAAAAAACAGAGAAATTGAATTCAAATTAAGGTGTAGATAATTGAGTAACAGAGAACATGGAAACTCCAAAGACAGGATAGGTTATGCTTTTGTTTATCTCTAATTTACTTGGAGTTTCGATCTTCTCTGTTTCTCAATTATCTGGGACCAGTTCGATTTTCTACACCAAAATGATCAAACAAAATTCAGGATCATCAATACTAATTAGCTACAAAGCAATCCAATAATTGAGAGAGAGAGAGAGAGAGAGAGATTTAAATATCTCAAAAGTTAGAGAAATTGAAATAGAGACAAATTATAGAAAAAAATAAGATTGAAGAATCGGAGCATCAGTTTTAAAAAGCTCGATTATATAATCCGCATAATTTATAGGTGCGCATCGTTGTAATGCAAAAATCTCATCATCTGCTCCGATTCGTTTAATCATTTTTCAATCGAATTTAAGAATAAAACTAAGCAGAAAACAAAAACCAAAAACAAAGACGAGCAACACTTCTTTCAATATCTAGACTGATGTACAGAAACAAAAAAAACTAGAGGATTGATAAGAGAGGTTTGAGAGATTGCGTCTGGGAGTAAAAAAGTCAGCTAAAGCTTTGTTTTATAGGTAGTGGGAGACTCACAGAAACCCTAGTTCGAACTTAGTTCAGCTCAGATATCTTGGGCCACATAGGTCACCTTATCGCATCTTTTTGGGCCGGCCCATTTCTCATATACTAATTGGTACACTTTCGACCGGTTTCATCTACTTACTCCGGTGATCGGAATAGACTTTTTGATTCGTTTGTCAAACCTGACGGAGTCAAAAGACGCGGGAAGTTCGAAGCTCACACAATCCGCATGATCGGATTCCTGAGAATAATAAATTTTGCGGAGAGTCGCAGATTTATGCAATGCAAACTCGTTCGACAATGTGAATTTTCTGTTCAATCCGCCGAACCGGCATTGGAATGGTCGGATTCGGTAGTCACAGGCTTAGACTCTCGTGCTTACGGCACAATGCTCCGTCGCTGCATTCATCAGAACGACCCAGTTTCAGCGAAAGCTATTCACTGCGACGTCGTGAAGCGAGGCAGCTGCTTGGACCTCTTCGCCGCAAACATTTTACTCAACGCCTACGTCAAACTTGGGTTCGCGAAAGATGCGATGAAGCTGTTCGACGAAATGCCTGAGAGAAACAATGTCTCGTTCGTCACTCTCAGTCAAGGGGACGCGTGTCGAGACCCCGTTGGTTTGTACACCAGGTTGCATCGAGAAGGCCATGAGCTTAATCCACACGTCTTCACTTGCTTCTTGAAGTGGTTCGTCAAATTGGACATACCTGAGATTTGTTGGTGGCTGCATTCTCCTATCGTTAAGCTCGGTTATGACTCCAATGCCTTTGTTGGAGCTGCGCTTATCAGTGCTTACTCTGCCTGTGGTTTTGTTGATAGTGCAAGATCTGTTTTTGAAGGGATTTCTTGCAAGGACGATGTTGCTTGGAACGGGATTGTATCTTGCTACGTGGAGAATGAGTGTTTCGAGGAAGCTATTGAGCTCTTGTTTCGTATGGGGATGGATGGTTTCATGCCAAACAACTACACGTTTGCTATGGCGCTTAAAGCTAGTATTGGGCTCGGCGCATTTGGTTTCGCCAAGGGTGTTCATGGACGAGTTCTTAAAACATGTTACGAGAAGGATCCTCATGTGGGTGTTGGTTTGCTTCAGCTGTATACACAGCTCGGAGATATGACTGATGCGCTCAAAGTATTTAATGAAGTGCCAAAGAATGATGTGATTCCTTGGAGCTTTATGATTGCTCGTTATGGTCAGAACGGTTTTTGCAGTGAGGCGGTTGATCTGTTTGTGAGAATGAGAGAAGCTTTCGTTGCTCCTAATGAGTTTACGTTAACCAGTATTTTGAACGCGTGTGCCATTGGGAAGTGTTATGGCTTAGGGAAGCAAATCCATGGTCTTGTGGTGAAAGATGGATTTGATTTGGAGGTTTACGTCTCAAATGCTCTTATTGATGTATACGCCAAGTGTGAGAAAATGGATACCGCTGTGAAGTTGTTTGATGAGTTATCATGTAGAAATGAGGTAAGCTGGAACACAGTCATCGTTGGGTATGGGAATCTAGGTGAGGGAGAAGAAGCGTTAAACATGTTTCGTGAAGCGCTGAGAAGTCAGGTATCAGTTACTGAAGTGACTTGCTCAAGTGCTATTGGAGCTTGTGCTTCTTTAGCGAGCATGGAGCTCGGTGTCCAAGTTCATGGTTTGGCGATAAAAACGAACAACGCCGAGAAAGTTGCAGTGAACAACTCACTGATTGACATGTATGCGAAATGTGGTGATATCAAAGACGCACAGTCTGTGTTCGACGAGATGGAAACCAAAGACGTGCCTTCGTGGAATGCGTTGATCTCAGGGTATTCCACGCATGGACTGAGTAGAGAGGCGTTGAGAATCTTCGACGTTATGAAAAATAGTGATTGCAAGCCAAACGGGTTAACATTTCTTGGTGTTCTTTCCGGATGCAGCAATGCAGGATTAGTAGAAGAAGGTCAAGACTGTTTTGAGTCTATGATTCGAGACCATGGTATTGAACCATGTATAGAACATTATACGTGTATGGTCAGGCTTTTGGGAAGATCAGGGCGGCTTGAGGAGGCGATGGAACTGATTGAAGGGATTCCTTATCAGCCTAGCGTTATGATCTGGCGTGCAATGCTCAGTGCCTCGATTGGTCAGAACAATGTAGAGTTTGCAAAGAGATCGGCAGAGGAGATACTTAAGATCAATCCAAAGGACGAGGCCACGTATGTTCTATTATCGAACATGTACGCAGGTGCAAAACAATGGGCAGACGTTGCGTTAGTCAGGAGAAGCATGAAGGAAAAAGGTGTAAAGAAGGAGCCTGGTTTAAGTTGGATAGAGCATCAAGGAGATGTGTATTACTTCGGCGTGGGAATGTTATCTCATCATCCGGATATGAAGCTTATTAATGGAATGCTGGAATGGCTTAACATGAAAGCAAAGCGAGCTGGTTATGTTCCTGATCGGAGTGCTGTCCTGCTCGATATGGAGGATGAAGAAAAGGATAAGAGATTGTGGGTTCACAGCGAGAGGTTGGCTTTGGCGTTTGGGCTTGTTCGAACGCCATTGTCAAGAAATCGTATTTTGATCATCAAGAATCTACGTATATGCTCGGATTGTCACAGTGCTATGAAAGTGATATCACGTATCGTGCGGAGAGATCTTGTTATCCGTGATATGAACCGTTTCCATCATTTTCATAAAGGAGTCTGCTCTTGCGGTGACCATTGGTGAATAGAAGGAGAAGGAGACACATTAACATAAACACAAATCTCGACATTTTGTCTCTTCATTCGAATTTAGGCACATTACATACTGATAAAGCCTTATAAGGAAAGAGTATAGTTAGGTCAACTACACAGATAAAGGAAAGCGAAGAGCTTAACCTTGGACTCAAACAAGCCTAGAGACTAGAGAGCATAACATCTAAACGACGATGATATACAGATTTTCTACAGACTGTGCAAGCTCAGGTATAGATACAGAGATCACATATCCATGTCGTCAAAGATCTCTTCATCATCTCCATAAAGAGGACTGTCGCAGAGAAATGCATCGTTTGCCAGGTTACTGCAACAGGCATTTTTACAGTTGGAAAGAGTTTTAATAGAAGAAGACAGTGAAAGAGAGAGAGAACTTGGTTAGGATGAACAGTCATCTAACCTTGTGCAGCAGAAACGAAAACCAGCAACACGCTTCAGTTTACGGTTGTAGAACAAGAAACAGAAAGACCATCTGGATTTCACCCAAAAGAAGAAAGGAAAAGGAAGTAGAGTTTTTAGTTGAAAGTTAGGCTAGAATCTCTAAATGTACAAAAAGGGAAGTTGTTGTAACTCACATTGCTCCTTCCTCGAGGAAAGGATCAGCATTAGGATTTGGGTTGTACACATAGATCTCACATTCAGCTAGTTTCACGACCTGTATAACATTTGTATGATTTATAAGATTACTTCTAATTACTCTTACCCAGTTTCTAAAGTTCCTTATAACAGTGAACTTACCTCATCAAGAGCCTTGTAGATAACCTCAAGCAGAGAACCATCCTCATTCCTCTCAGCCCATTCCTATAAACACATAAGTGCATGTAATCTCGATCCATAACCATTTATCATCCTTTACAGTGTCCAATTGGATTGCTTAAGAAGTGGCAAAGTGAAAACTTAGAAATACCTTAGAAGCTTCAAACATGTAGTTGTTAAAAATCTGCGTAAACGTGTCCCAGCTTTCCTCGGAGAAAAACTGATGTGCTTTGACAGCGCTGGAGACAAAGAAAATAGAAAGACAAAAAAAACAATGCAATGGTGACAGAGTTGAATACATAGCTGAACTTTGTCAAACTTTCACACAACTGGTTTAGTTGGATTTTTTGGGAAATGGAGAGAATTGAACTCTCAGCGAGCAAGAGTTCAAAGAACCGCTCGCTCGTCAAACCTTATGACAACACTCCCACACAGATTTTTAAAAGGGGGATTATATAGCGGGTTGCCATGTCGCCCCAAGAAGCTGACATTGACATTACCCATAATCCCCCTTCTCTCTCCAAAACAAGAACAAGAAAAGCAACTTTGTTTTCCTTTTAGATTTACAAACCTGAAATCGTAGTCCGGATACATCTGGTAGAGTGTAAGAACCAAGTAGATCAAAGCCTTTCGACTGGAATAAGCATCAGAAGATAGACGTATGTAAGAGAGAGATATATTATACAAAGAAAGAGGTGGGAAAAGCTCTGTAACTTTGAAGATTTTACCTTGATCTGCTCAACAAAAGATCAACGGGTGAAGAAGTGTCAGAGTCAGAAGATTTCCCAAGATAGTCAAGCATCTGAGTTCAAGGGACAGAAACAATAAATAAAAACAACAAAGTCAATAAGCAGCAGCTGTACACAATCACTGATTAACCCCCCCAAAACACATGCTTGATTGCAATAATTAGATGCACGTCAATTCCAAAAAGAGTTTCACATGCCATGCTATCAAATTACCTCATTCTCCAAACTAAGGGATAATCTTTTATCAGTTCCAGCATGTTTGCCTAATCGAAAAAACAAGAAGAAGAAAAATTAATAAGCTTAGCGTATTTTCTTTGATAATTTGATTGAGAAGACAAACAGTTGCTTACAAGAATATGCTTCCAAGCAACCTTTGATCGTTCGTTCCCCGAGATTTAGATGACCCAGAAACACATTCAATCTGGATTCAAAATCCTTTCAGTATCCAAATAGATTGAAAAAAACTGACTCTCATAAATCACAAAAAGCAAGCAATAACTCAATTCAACAACAACAAAAAGTTTAACCTGTCGAGGTTAGTGTACTCCAGAAACTTCATGATAGCGACCAAATCGTCCAGAAAGATGCGATACACAATGATAACCTAAGAATTTTTAAGAGAGAAGATGATCAAAAACAGGTCAGCTTACGCAAATTTTATCACACAACTCTCAGATCTGAGGTTTGAAATTTAAACATTTCCAGTATCGGAAAAGGAGCATAATAGGAGAAGAACCAGACGACATAAGGAGCTTTGAATGAACACACAACTATTTTCTCAATCCGAAGCCCTAATTCCATACGATAAATCCAAAATTGAAAAAAACTGGAATCTCAATCAACAAAATTCAGATTCATAACCGTAAATCTGAAAATGAGCGCCAACAGATTTTTCGTAATTCGAATTTGCCTAAAAAATCGAGAAAGAGAAAGTACCTGAAAACTTCTCTCGTTTGCGGAAATGAAGTTGAGAATTGTCTCCGCTTGTGTTTCTATTTGGCACCTATACGCGCTATGATCGCTCGCACGTGCGAAAGATGCGGATATGCTTTGGTGTCCATGATAGACTACAAAGCGTCTAAATCTCAATTATTTAAAATGGGTGCCGTTTTTATGCTTCTTCATGGGCCGTCTGAACTTTGGGCCTTTATCGTCAAAATTTGTGGACTATATTTTTGTCACTGTCTCGTTTTTTTTTGGAAGATAAATTCGTTAGAAGTTCAATAAGTTTTTTCATAGAGCTTTGGAATCAGTTGGTCGTCTTTTTGCAGGCAAATAGATTCGTTAGTTTATGTAAGATAACTTATTCGCTTTATTATATCAAACAGGTGCAAGGTATACATGAGATTCATGTCGTCTACGTCGAGTTGACTTGTTTTGTTTATCCAAACAGGACGGCATTACATACATGATGGCCTCGATTCAGGTGGAACATAATAAATCTCTTTTTAGGTTTAAACTATGTATGTCAATCTTGTAAAATCCAATCCAGTTATCACTTCGTGTATATGTTGTTCCATTTTATTGTCGGTTAACGTTGGTAGTATACTAGTAATATTTTTGTACCAATTATTTTCATGTCATAGCCTTGCTATTTGAATTTACACTTGTTTCACCCAAAGTTTATCACGAAAATCAATCTAGCCTTCTAATGTGTGATTCTGAGGTTAGTTTTGGGCATGAGACCGATATATCAGCGAGAAAAGTGACTAAGTGAGCTCATGTTTCAGCCAAAAACCATTTAGGATGTAAAATTTGAAAACCTTAACCTTGTCTTGGAGTAGAAAAAGAAAAGAAGTAACGTGTACCCGAAAAGCAAGAAAATGTAGCACATTAAAAAAAATAGGGTGGAAGTGGCAGATGGTCATGATTGCAATTCTGTATGGTACACTCACGGTGATAGGCTCAATGCGAAACAGTAACCGACGAATTATATTGTTAGCTTATGGTTTTGTGTTTTAGTTCGTTTCTTGTCTTTTTATGTCTTCCAAATATTCTCCCCCTGTTATGTATGTATACTACTCGTAAGTGAAAAAATGATATATGTAGAAGAGACAAAACAACTTTTTTCAGATGTATGTATTATTCTAGGTGATTTGGAATATGTTATACTGTACTATAATCAGTTTTTTCTTAAGCATAACGGTACACGATATACGGTTAGAAATATTTTCTATTTCCTATTTTTGGTTCTCAGCTTCTATATATATACGTATGTCAGGCTAAGCATAAATAAACAACAAGATGAAACTACAAACATTGCAATCAATTCTTTAATCTATGTCAGAGGTTGAATACTTAATTTAGTGGAGTTTATGTAAAGAGAGAGATGCGAATCGATCCCGCGTGGGCCGCAACTCAAAAACATGAAAAATATTTGGAATCAAGAGAAAGAGAAGTAAGTTGATGCAGGGATTTGATTTGACCATTGAAGGAGCGAGAGTTGATAATATTATATATATATATGCACATGAATCGGTGTATCTATGTATTTTAATTTGCTAAAGGAGAATATTCGTTAAGACGTGAAGAGGAAGAGGTGGTTGTAGATAAAGGGGACATGCAATGCAGAAAGAGAGAGAAAGTTATGTTTCTTTTTTACAACATTGGAATGATAACTCTTCCACTTACTTCACTATATGCCTCAGAATTTACTTGTCCCAATAAGCCTGCCTAAAGACACCTTTCTTCCAATATGCATGTCCATATTTATACATAAAACAACAATATATTCGCTTTTATATCGGAGTATTGATTAAGCTATATTGTTACGAATTAGTTAACTCCACGCTATGTAAAAAGGAAATTTAAATGGACACAAAGTGAACAAAATACAAAAGATGAATCAGAGCAAATTTAAGAGTTATTGTTTGTGTGCACATATAATTATAATTTTGGTGTATCGTTCCTTTATAGTAGTAACACGACTTCAATACTATACTAGTTTTTAACTTTTTCGTTTTCAAAGACAAAAGGGATACAACTTTTGTGTGGTTTGATTCAAAGGCTAAGTCATTTCATGCCCCATGCAATGTCACTAGAGGCCACGCCTCTGAACCTTTTCACTTCCTCTTTTCCACCAAAAGCCGACTCTTTCCCTCTCTATGCATGTATGTCCTCTTGATGTAATTCGCTTTTTTTAATTGACCATGCACTAATGTTCTCATCTATGACTATGACTATGAGTGTCTTGAATAAAAAAGTTTTTCTTTTAAGAATTGTGGCTGAACAAAACTTTGTAACATGATTTCTTCTATATCTTGTTATTGGGTTTTGCACTTTCACCATGCTTTGACTAGTAAGAGCTCGCTATGATATGATGTAGACTTGTTTAGAGCGTGACCAACTGTCTTCCTGAAATGTGATTTGTGAGCCTTTTCTAGCTTGAGTGATGTCTTGATCAAGAATTCAAGACTTAGGTAGGATAAACGGACCACTACGCTTACAATGCTTCCATCAAGGCCGATGTTGTTGGGATATATAGAAACCACAGTGAACCAAACAATAATTTTAAGCTCGTCCATTTGTCTCTAAAACCAATGGACACAGATACATGATAATTGGAGAGTCACAGATACATGATAATTGGAGAGTTTTTGGTTGAAAGTGTCTCGCTTGCACTAACATGTCAAGTACGAGCTGCTAAGATCTAGTTCAACAATATTGCACTAGTAGATTAGGATCAAGCTTATTTGACTAGTTAAATACTAGAAAAAAGGTACTAGCATAAGCCATAAGATTGTTGGGGAGCACATGGTTCTTAATAGAAGTACAATTCGATGAGAAACAATGTCTCTCAAAGCATCACAAGTCTGTATGTTTTGCTGTATGATCTCGGGAAATGAGCTTTTAGACCAAAACATCATCATTTTTGGTGCATGCCAAACTCCCCTCAGCGTTATTTTTGTATAATAAATCAGTGATTTAAATATTCGTAGTTTTCGTTGAGGAGTGACTAATTATTATTCTTGGGATTATTAAAACACTTCATATCTAAATAATTGTAATTTGACAGGTATTATGTCATCATGCCTCGCACTCCACTCGTCTCGTTTTCTGGCTTTACTGAAAATCTCAGCTTTTGTTTACCCCATATATACGAGAAACATATTTAATTAGGGCAACTTCTTTATCTAATTCTAATTAACGAGTGAAGACAATAACATTAGCAAAAACAATACGTAATATATTTGCTTATTATAATTTGAACGAGTCAAATTAGTGAATATTTTCCTAATTAATATATTTACATATTACCTTTTTCTATTCGTAAGGTACAATAGTGATTAGTATGTCTTTTAGCTACAGATACCGAAGTTCATACGCCTTTGATTGTCAATGTACAAGCTGTATATCCTACAGGGGGTACGTACAACTTATGGTAGTTGTATTTTTTCACTTATTCTTTTGTATATATGTTTTAAGTAAAGTAACATTATAAATATGGAATTATTTACAAACAAAAATTAGTTTTTTTAATAGTCTTTTATCTTAACATTTACACACAACAAAAAAAAAAAACTATTTTGCTAAACAAATATACAAAGGTGTATTTTGATTGATTAGAAATATATGTTTTGTGAATTATTTGATCTACCATAAACGAATTGAAGATCGAACTAGTAAATTCTTTATCAAAAAAAAAAGATCGAACTAGTAAATTACCGAGATTAACCAAAGTTCTTTGAACTAATCGTAAGATTCTTTTTTGACAGACATTTATAAGCAATTCTTCGTTATAAATTGGTGTCGAGTATGTCTGCATGACTGCATGAGTGTTCGTTTGTTATCTGTTTCAACTGTTTGTATGTACGTGATATAAGTTGTTGTTTTTTGTCTCGCATGATATATGTTAAGATAAAGGGATATTAGCTGTAATGATACTATACATGCCCATTATATTCAGCAATGCACTGCTATCGTTATTCTCTTGTATTATTATTATTTAGTTACGTTGAATAGGTGTACGAAATATCTCAAAACTTTCGTTGGCCTGATGACGCAGGTAAAATGCTGGTTTTATTAGATATATATTTCATTGTGGATTGAGTCCTCCATGCAGCTAGATTGGTTCAATATAATAGAAATCTATGTATGTATATGTTTTGTAGTTCTTTTTGAAAAATAATTGTAGGAAAACTGTGAAGATGCCATAACACCAATCCAATATTATCATGTATAATTCCTAGAATAATTCTAAGCGATTTTTAATGAACTGTCAATAACTTATAAAGAATCTTAGAAGATACATACACGCAATATACAAAGAGATCCAGATAACAACCCTTTAGCCCCGTTAGAAAAAGATTGAATTCAAATAGCGAACGAAATATTAGCCTGTTCATATATAAATCAAATTTACCAAAGTCTGATGACGAAAAACTAGAGAATTTGGTCTAACACAACAATCTGTTTTATTTTGTCTAATTTAGAGAATTTGGTTTTAGTGTATTTTTAAAAAGATAATTATGACACAAATATTTGAAATTTGAAAATATTCGACAATTATCTTTTTTTTTTTGGTTTTAATGTTAAAATTCGATAATTATCATTCGACCTTTTTAAGCTATATTTCTGTGGTGACGGAAAAAAAAGAAAAGAAAATACGTTTGTGCGTGTATACAATAACAATACTAAAATATATGTACCGAGATTGACCGCATAAGAAGCTTTTTCATATAACTAGTGCCCATTACTCTGTAATTGCAAGATTGACATCTCTCTCTCTCTCTCTCTCTCTCTCTCTCTCTCTCTCTCTCTCTCTCTCTCTCTGAAATTCTCAGCAACAATTTCATTTCCACAAGATTCCAAACAAAGAGAACTGAAAGAGAGGGAGATTCGCAATATCTATTTTCACCCTTATCTTGTCCTCGCTTATCACTAAGACACATATAATCTCTCTTTCTCTCTCATATCTAGGTAGCTCCATGGCTTATCCGGTCTCTGACCATGCCACGAGTTCTCGATCTCTGGTCTCCATTTAAAGAACCCTAATTTGTCTTCTCACCTCCGTCTCCCCTCATGTTGAGATCATCAAAAGCCCTTTGTCTCGCTCCTCTCCGGCTTTCTTTGGATTTTCCGGTAACCGGATTCTGCCATGGTTCCTGCTGCTGAATTCTCCTCCTCCCCAACGCTTCTTCTTCCATGTGGGTTTTCCAGCAGTATTGCTTTTATGAGGTTATTACAGAAAGCTCAGCATTTCTCTGCCGTCTGTGAGGACGACCACAACAACATAGACATTCGCTTAGGATCTGATCACCAAGTTTGTAGCAGAAGTTGTAGTTTCATGGCCGATCAAGAAGAGCCGAGGAGTACAACTTCTAGGTTAAGCTCCAAGGACGAGGACAACGACAACAATAGCAATAACAATAACAATGATAACAACAATGAAACCGAAGATCATGAGATGAGACAACAAGGGTGGCTCCGGTTAAGCATAGGCCACGAGGAGGAAGTTAAACCGGATCTCGACCATCGGCAACAACATCAAACTGATCCAACGGCTAGGAGAGACTCTTTTCTAGAGCTTAACCTTTTCTCTGGGGTTTCAAATAGAGAAGAAACAACTGGCCTTCCGTTGTCATCACTCTTTCATCACCAGCATCAACCAGGAGGGATGATGATTAATCCATTAATGATGTTCCCTACAAGGCCTGATCAGGAGATGATTGGTTCTTGGGCGGCTGCTGCTGCGTTTAGAACACCATTTGTCCCACAAAACCTAATGCAAGCATCATCCTCATCATCTGCTTCTTTGATGTTGCCATTGATGGGGCCTTACTTTGGTCGCTCCAATTTTCAGCCGCAGCTAATAGGGAATAGCAATCCTGATGTGGTGGCTGGTCCAAGCTCGAGTTTTCGAGTCATTGATCCTCCCAGACGTCCCCATTCGGGCGTTTGGTTCCTCCTTCAAGCTTCTCAAAACCAGTAAGTGCTAAATTTTAATTTCTTAGAAACGATGTTATGCAAGATTCTTGATTACAACAAAACCGTGCAAAAATAACAAGAAAACGAATTTTGGAGATATTCTCGGTTTTAATCATATACAATAGAACCTCTATAAAGTAATACTCGATAAAGTAATACCTCGATAAATGAATAGAATTTTTGAGTCCCAAATTAAGTTTTTGGTCTAATTATCTATCGATAAATTAATAATCTCGCTAAAGTAATAAAATATTATGGTCCCAACGTTATTATTTTATAGAGATTAATTACTATGTTTAGATTTAAATTTATTGGTTTTGTCTTTGGTGAACGTTTTAGGACGGTAGAACCATTCTTGCCTCAGATACCAAAGAGCTACTTGAGAATCAAGTAAGTACTCGTGGTTATATATATATATATATATATATATATATATTAAGATTCTACCATTTTCGTTATTTCTTCAGAGAGATATAGCTGATTAATAAGAACTGACAGATAAAACGACGTTGGTTTTATCAGAAGTTTATGACTAATTAATTTTGGTGTTCTTGGATTTGGTAGGGACGGGAAGATGACCGTTCGACTGTTGATGAAATATTTGGTGAATAAGTTGCGATTGGAGCACGAATCCCAGGTTTTTATTTTATTTCATCTCATATATTTAATTTCCCTTTCTTTGAACTTTATTGTTCTAGATTCCATGTACACGTTTGCTTGCCGTAACTACAATCTCCTTAGTTAAAAAGAAAAATAAAAAAATCTAAAACGTTACATAAATACTTTTTTAAGCATAAAAGATGATGAGAATAGTACGATAAAAACAGAAACAAATTAGTAAAAGAAAAGAAGAAAACGTGGAAAGGGTATATTCATGGGGGTTGGTGTACTGAGGAACATGACAGCAACATCGGAACTAAATTGCCACAAAAAGTGTCTCCATGTTAATTAGGTCACAAGTAGATGTCGTTGCTAGGTATAAGCCGTTTTGTTCATTCTTTGTTTTTATATGCTTATTATCCATTAATTGATTTTCAACCTTTTTCGAATTTGTCTTACTTGCTCCTTTTTATAGTTCAGGGGTAATTGATTAACGGTCGAGCCATTAATTAGTCTCTAGTGTAATCAAAATTTTATTAGAGATGAGTGCATGCACCCTTTGATTCATTTCTTTTATATATAAACGTGTGGGCTATTCACCTACCAATTACAGACTTATATATACACAGAGATTAAATTTTAGAAACTAATTTCTGTTATACGTTTTATCGTTTAACCCCACCGAAAACTAAGAATAATTAACTAAGAGTCACACAAACAAAACAAATAGCTCACAAATAGCTCAACTAGTTTGGAGAGATACTGATGATGACGTCATACCGCATCGTTAAAAATCTCAGTTCATTGAAATCAGTTGTATATATGCATGTCACATGAAGATACGTACATGAACATGACATATATACATGCACGTACAACTGTTACTATAGCTATATCGCACGCTTCTTCTAGAGCTAGTTATCATCTCAAATGATGAAATCAATAAAGTAACTTCCTATCATATGCATGCTGACTTAAAATCTTACGAGTCGAATTCATGAAACAAAAAGTGTCCTTTACATTTGTTTTTTTATGAAAAGAAATAGAATTCAATCCCTAAAATTGCGTACGATGCTTCTCGTGCAAATTTTAATCATTGTGCATTTAGGCGCTCGCTTACCCATAATACGCTATAACTTTTATGATCCCGTGAAATCATAATTACAGCAAAAAAAAATCTAGAGTTCTTTTCTCTGCTAAAGCCTAAGGTATCATTCAATACTTCAGTAATTGTAATGTGCAATTGTGCATAAAACGTCATTAATGGTGTGCTTTTGATACTTACGTGAGCCCCTTTCTCTTTTTCCCCATTTTTCGACATATATGAAAGCCATACAGAATGGATCCTTAGGACGTACGTCGTACTAAATTGCATGAGACTAATTTGAAATACACATTAATTTATAATTTTATTATTAAAATATACACTTTAAAATATAATCTTACATATATAGGGGTTTTTAATTTTAGGAATAATTTTCTTGCTTGCTTTGATAATGCATAGGAAGATACTTAAAAATACGTACCGGATTATATATTCATTTTACATGGAATAGAAACAAAATCCATATAAGAAAGGAGGATAAGACAGATTAATATAATTTTACCAAAAAAGGACAGGTTTCATTGAAATGATTTTTGATTGTTTTTAATATACAAAGACGTCTGATTGTAACTTGTAAGCATGTTTTCCAGAATAACATTCCTTAGAAGTTTAGAGGTCTACTAAAGTTAATTAATCTGGAATGCAGATAAATTAAAATATAATACTTAGGTCAACCCATTGTTTAAAATTTTAATCAAATCATTAAGTTTTTTTTGTCTTGTTGCATTAAGCCATGCCATGAACTCATGAAGTATGACAGGTTATGATAACAATCAATATAAAATTCAAATGTGGGTATGCATATTTGTGTACTTTATACACATTACGTGAGATATATATGGTCATATCTTGATCAAATAATTACGTTCTCATTGACAAAGTTGTTTACTTACTCTCCATTTGAATTTTCGTGAGGATTGATATTTAATACTACCGCGGAGTAGTTCTAACCTTTATAGAGTTAGATTAAATACCTTGCAAAAAAAGGATTATATACATACCAAAAATAGGGTTACGTTCACATCATGGGCTGTTTTTTGGATAATGATTAATCATTAATTATGTTCATTAATATATATACGTATTTATACAACTTATTTTGTGTGTGAAAATCTATTTGCATAATGATGTGAATGTGTGTGTGTTAATAGATTTGGGTAGGGCATAGGTATCAAGAGTGAATAATTAATATGAATGTAATGATTAGGCAGCCATAATCTGACTTCGTGGAGGCATTGTTCTTCCATTTTTGTCTTTCTCCCTCTTTTTAAGTTTCCTTTGACTTTTAGACGTAAGAAAACAAAAGGCTTTAAAAGCTAAAAGTATTCCATAAATTTCGAAATTCTTTTTGCGCCCCATGAATTTTCTGCCAGCTCGTTCTTCGTTGCTTTATTATTATTTTGAATAAATACTTTTTATTTTACTAGAGCTTTATGATAACTCATCATAGATTAAAAACTAAAAATAGGATTCCAACAAATTACCTCTGATTTATTTTCATAACCAGCCTTAGCTTTTATTTTTTTTTGGTTTAGAATTCTTATAACGCATGGATTTTGTATTTAGACAATAGTTCTACTTTTTGATATAATAAAATATTTCAATTTTTGATATGTCCTTTTTTTTTTGAACAACACATACTTTCATTCTCATTAAAATGGCCAACAATTTTTGATATGTCCTTTAATATTTTAAAAATGTTATATAGGAGGAGATGCTTGAAAGTAATTTTTGAAAAGAACTTCACGAATTAAAGCATCTCTTCTGTTTTCTTTCTCCCACGTAAACCGTCACGCTTATGTTAGAAGTGGCTCATCAACACCAACAGTCTCCTTCTCTCGCATTGGTTTAGCTAATTGTTTGTTAGTGTCTCGTGTAGGACCCTTTCCTTCATAAATTCCTGATGAATTTGGTGCTTGAAATGCCTTTCCTCCATCAATCATACTCATATACTCTTTAAGTGCTGCACTTTCTTAAATATTTCCTTATCACCCATCCACTTCATCTATCTAAATTTTAGATGTTTTCCTTTTGTTTCGAATCACACATATCGTGTCTTTATCGGCAAGACTTTATTTAATAAATAAACTTCTCCACTACATTTTCTTTAACAACGGTATTGAAAACTTTGATCCGGCTACACGTAAAACTGAGAGTTGGACCTTGTAATGATCCTGCTACTCGTAAAACTAAGGGTTGGGACGACTAGTTTGCTATTGGCCAATGGGTTCTCCACTTTCTAAACGAATGACTAGTTAGTAATTTGGCATTTTGGAGATTTATAAGACTCGACAAATGATTCTACAAATCACCAAAAGTTCCTTTTTTTATTCTTGGTTTACATCACTTTCATGTGTACCGGAAACCACGTACATCTAGGAAATCGCAATTTGAAAATTTATCGGGTTCTTCTAGAAAATGCACCAGAATTCAGAACATGAGGAATTACAAAATTTTATTGCATGCATTAATTTGAGTAGCATATGCAGTGTAACCATATATATATCATAATTTTCCCCCTCAAGAATCTATATGTTATTCACGTGAATTTTCACATCTATATAGTAAGCTGGACAGCAATATATATATAGGCATATATGCCATATATTCCTTAAAGATAAATTTTCTAGTTTTTTCACACAGATTAAGAAAAAGTTGATTTTCAATCATTAGTGCATAGATTTCTGCAATAAAACAACTTTTTATAATTTTAAACCAATAAAAATCCAACAAATATAATCATTGTATCTTGAAAACTGAAAAAGTGCATCAAAAAGGTAAAAATTTTATCTTTGTGAAACAACACATAATGGCTAGAAAATTCATTAAAAAAAAACGGAGGGAGTATCTAATATTGAATAAATAATGTATGTTACGTGTTAAAAAATTATTTTACGTCGTGGAAAAGCAATGCATGAAGTCGCCTTCAACAACAGAATCATTGCAATTTGCTGAAAGAAATTGCATTTCTGAAAATTAACAAAATGGCACTAAAGGGCAGATAAGGGAGCCATGAATATGATCCTTTTAAGTTAGTGATGCGATGCATGCAAAACATTTTAATATTTATGCATATCCGACTACGACTTCTATGGTCCCTATTTTATATACAATTTCACTTTAATTTATATATGTACATGGGTCCTTTAATGATAAAATATAAATATTAAGATGTTGATGTGTGAGATAGAACACCACTTTCATATGCTAACTATCGTATAATGCTAACCAAAGATTATGTATAATTTATAGCAACCGTAGACAATTTCCATTTCGTGTATTTTTAAGCACCTAATAGAGAGAAATTTTATGAAATACATCTTTTGAGGTGCAAATTTTCAAAACTACACTGGAAATTTTCAAAAATACACTTTTTCCCAATTTTAATATATATGTTTGGGTTCACTAATCCTAGATTAGGGTTTAGATTTTGGGGTTTAGGGTTTAGATTTAAGGGTTAAATATTAGATTTTAGGGTTTTGGATTTATATTTTAGGGTTTAGAGTCCTTATAATCAATTAAAAAAGTGTAGTTTTGAAAATAGACACTATAGAGGTGTATTTTTGAAAATTTGCACCCCAAAAGGTGTAGTTTTGAAATTTCCCCATTAATAGAACGAATCGAACAGCATCAACTATATTATAATGAAATTAGTTTCTATATATGTAGATACCTACTAAACTAAGGCAAAAAAATTAAAATGTTTTTTTTGGGTCGCAAACCTTAGTCAGCAAAATGTAAAGAGAAGACGTGCATGAGATGATGGTGAAATTCATGGGGTAGTGTCTCCATTGTGTTTCCTCTGTTTAGAAATTATCTTAGTTATCTTTTCGGCACAACATCCTTTTATATTCAATGTAGTTATTTACACCTACCTTTTCTTAAGGAACGTAGATTTTTCATTTTACATCAAGTATAAAAATTGTAAGGATAAAGATATGAATACAAGGGTAAGAGAATATTGTAGGAGAAATATTTTAGGATATGGTTTGGCACGCTTGAATTCATATGTTGGATCTAAGGATAAACTTACGTTAATTTGCTTTGTGGGCATTTGATTATTCATTTGAAACACTCAGGCTTAATTTTTGTATAACTAAAATGGATTTATGAATTATTCCTTACTATTTGAATACTCATACGTTGCGGCATATATTCATACAGCATAAATTAAAGTCTATTTGGAAAAGTCGTCATCATATTGGGAAATACATTACGGGTAGAAAAAAAAGGGTGGGCCACGAAATGATTAAGATTTTGGAAATCGTGGGTACCATTTCAAATGTATGATCAAGTAAATCATATGTGAATATGTGTTGCATAGTTTTCTTTAGCTTATTATATGTGAAATAAGTGGTGGAGTCATTGTTGTTGGTGTTGCTCGTTCTTTAAAAAGCATTGTGTTAGAAAATCAGGAATCTCTTAGAAGTAAAGTAGAGATGGAATAATTACGGCATTGCGTAGCCACCGTGACACGTAGCTTATTGCCATATCACTCTCACTGCGTCACCCCTACGAAGCAATGATCTCATCAAACCCAATTTATTCAATCATTATCACATTCAAACCCCCATCAGTACTATCAAATACTTATCTTAATTCGTTTGAGCCTCGGTTTGAATTTATATATGGTGGATTTTACGGGAAACTCTTTGTCGATATATATAGATCTATATGTTTTGACGAAATTTAGACACTTGATGCTAAATCTAAGCAAACCTAGCTCTTAGCTTTGGTCTATGTTGATGTAGTGTATCATTTAATCACCTAAGATTCTGATTAGCATGTTAATGGTATATTAAGCATAGAACTAATAATTGTTTTTTCTTTGTTGCTGTAAAATGAAATAAAAACGAAAAGCAGGTAGAGATAAGATGCAGAGGGCAAGAACTGGAGCCAGTGTTGACACTACAACACGTGAGAGATGCAATCTGGAGAGGAAATAGAGACAATTCTTCTCTTTCACAAAACATTACTTTGCTTCCAAACTCATCTACCTCTGATCATCTCATGGTCCTCCATTATGGTAGGACTCTTTCTTAATTATATATATCTTTCTTCTCCTATTTTATTTATTTATTTTTTCATATAACACCATATTATTCTCAATAAAAAAATAAACTGCCCACCCTTTCTTCTTTTAACTCAACATCCCACCTTCTTCAATTGTTTTTTTTTCCCTCTTTTTTTTTTTTGGGCGGGTGGTTTCGATTATTTATCTTACCTTAAGGCATTTTCTTTGGTGCGATATGTCGAATGATCAAGAAACGAAAGAGTATCTAATTCAGTAGGAGTATGCATTCCCCGATTGATGTTTTTTTTTATTGTTGTATCTTCTGGGGTTGCGAGTAACGCATGTACAATGTATTGAATATTTATATACATAATCTTTCATGCTACTACCAGCTAGTGTATATCACTACTATTGCCGAGTGACTTTCTTTTGACATGTGTTGCTGCGTTTTGCTCAATCGTGTTATGACTCAAATGGGCCTCAATAGGCCTATCACCAAACTACCTTCTCGATATCAAAACTGGATTATCGGCCCGTTGAGATTATTTGTTTTTCTCTAAACGTAAACTCGCCCGTTGACTAGAGGCGAGTTTAGTTTATGCAAAATGTCAGCTGATTAACAGTTGATACTCACAACACACACAAAGATAATAATTTGAAATTTAGACACATACGAAAGGATTGATATAAAAGATACACATTAGTGTGGCCTGTTTGGAGAATAATGTGGTAAAATAAGTATTTTTTTTGTATAACTTTTGGCAATTTTCCGTTTAGTAATCTATCCACTAGCGTTAATGACATTTGGGTTTAGGCTGTTAACTTTGGTTTTACACTTCCTACCAAAGTACCAAGTAGACTTACTCAACTCTTTGTTTTGTTCAAACAAAAAAACAAAGTTACCTTTTGTCTGACTCCATAATCACACCATCACCAAGAAGATCTAGTTCTGAATCTCGCGACTCAGTTCTCGCACACGTCACATTTCCGTGCTTCCAAAATGGAGCGAGCTCGCACGGAAAGCCCCAGCTACTTCCGTCAGTGGAGCGGCGAGTCAGGGACCACCAATGCCAACGTCGCTCCTTCTTCTCCGGTTCGTCACCACCACGCTCGATCCTCTTCCGTCACTGGTATGTCGAACGTCAAACGAGCGCAGAACGTCGCCGCCAAAGCCGCAGCTCAGAGGCTTGCCAAAGTCATGGCTTCACAGACTACCGACGACGACGATGAAGACGATGACGATGTCGGTGGCGATGACCTAGGTTTCCGCTACGGCGCTCCTCCTCCTCCTCTATCCTTCACGAGAAATAATGCTTCTTCTGCTGCTAGACCTAAACCAGCTGCTTCCTCTGTTCTTCCTCCTCCCAAGATCGCCAGATCTTCCTCCCCTGCGGTAATATAACAAAATCCGTGATTCTCGGTTAATCTGTTGACTCAATTTACCAAATCTGTTCACTTTCAACCGCAGAGATTTAAGGAAATTAAATTTATAGTTTCTAATTTTGGATTGTGAGATATTGATTGAGACCTGATTATTGAAAATTTGGGTATGTAAGTAGTAAGGGAACCTATTACTGATGTTTCAAATTGTTGGTGATTGTGAAAAATATTAAAAAACAGTTATCTCGGAACACTCCAGCAGTGTCTGTTAGAGCATCACAACCGCCTGTCCCGCCAAGCAAACTGTCTCAAAGGAACCAAACTACCAATCCATCACCAGCTGGAACTCCTAAGAATCAGCACACTGAAAAGAGGTGAAGAAATTATATCTTCATATTACAAACTAGTTGAGTTTGTGTTCAAGACTAAAAACTGTTTGTTGTTGCAGGGTTTTAGCTGATATTGGGCAACTTAATGCGAAAGATCAGCATGAAGCATCTGCACTTCGTGATGAAGTATGTTGATTCCTTTTTTTTTGTGATATTTTATGAAGAATTTGCTAGAAGGAAACTGAAAGTTGGTTTTTATTACAGCTGGATATGCTGCAAGAGGAGAATGAGAGTATTCTTGAAAAGGTAAAAAGAGTAAAAAGTCTTGTCTTGTTTGGTTTCCATCTATCTCCAGAGTAATCTTACTATACGTTTGAGCTTATCAACAGCTTAGGCTTGAGGATGAGAGATGCAAGGAAGCAGAAGCCAGGGTGAGAGAGCTTGAAAAACAGGTAACTGGGAGCATTGATCCTGTATGCTTTCTTTTTTGTTGAAACTGTTTCTCACTCTTGAGAGACATATTTTAGGTAACTTCTCTGGGAGAAGGTGTATCCTTGGAAGCTAAACTCCTGAGCAGGTAGTCAATATCAATCCAATTTATTCTGTGTTATTCGTTACTTCTGCTGAATTGAAATGCTTACATGAATGTAATTTTGTCTCAATGCTGCAGAAAAGAAGCTGCTTTGCGTCAAAGAGAGGTATTCCAAAGTCATTTGCTATTACTTGGTGTTTTGTTTCCAAGTATAAAAATGTTGTTGTGGCTTTTAGATTCACTAGTACTCACTCTATGACAGGCGGCCCTTAAAGATGCAAGGCAGAATAGAGATGACACTAGTAAGGAGACTAGTGCTCTTCGGTCTCAAGTAGAGGTACGCCCAAAACATTTCCGCTTGTCACATTGATTGTGAGGTGAAAATTAATGAGAATGTAGAAATCTTATATGTTCTTTGTTTTATTTTGATTCAGAATGCAAAACAAGAGACTGCAGCTGTAGTAGCACAGCTTCAAGGAGCTGAATCTGAGGTCAACGCTCTACGGACAATGACGCATAGAATGATATTGACCCAAAAAGAGATGGTTTGTTTTCATGTTTTTGCGTAGTCTACTCATAAGCAATGTTCGGTTTAAGTAAAGTAACACAGCCTTGTATGCTTTTCAGGAGGAAGTTGTTCTTAAGCGATGCTGGCTAGCTCGGTATTGGGGCTTAGCTGCCAGATATGGTAAGGAGTAGATGTTTGTACTATACAACCAGAAACATACCTACTACTTTTACCTTTGCTTTGTGACATCTGTGCATGCTTGCATTTCAGGCATATGTTCGGATATCGCTACAACCAAGTACGAATACTGGTCATCTCTGGCACCTCTTCCTTTTGAAATTGTGCTATCAGCTGGGCAGAAGGCTAAGGAAGAAAGTTGGGAAAAAGGCAAGCAATTACTCAGTCTATGTTACTGTCTCTTCAAAGATACCTTTTGTTATAACATTCTACGGTTTCAATTGTCACTTCTCATCACTGTTTAATATCTATTGGCTATGAAACCATCTGACCAGATTCTGAGGAGAATGATAAGAGGAGCCAGCTTGTTCAGGATATAAATGATCTAACAGGAGAGGGAAACATTGAGAGTATGCTCTCTGTGGAAATGGGTCTAAAGGAGCTAACTTCTTTAAAGGTTTGTTTATTCTCATACTCTCTTGCTCTGGTTCATGGGCATCTCTTTCATTTTCTCATGGACTATGCTTGTTCTTTTGAAGGTTGAAGTTGCCATTACTATCATATTAGCCCAGCTAAGGTTGGCTATCACTTCTCGACAATCTGAATCCGGTGAGCTAAAATCACCAGGTGGTCCTAAGGTTATGGAGGCACTTGGTAAGTTTATTTAGCTTTTATGTATCATGCAATTCAGGATAGAATAAAGAATAACCAACAACGTTATAATGACAAATTAGGACTATGAAATACAGATATTATGTCAGTAGTCTATGTTGACATTTCATATACTACTTTGGCAAAGGGTGCAGACAGTTCTTGTTAATTCTGACCTTGGCCTTTGGTTCGTTGCAGAACTGAGTCCAGAAGAGTCTGAAGATATTCTCTTCAAGGAGGTAAAGAACCCCAACCTCTTTCTCGCTTTCTCTGAATCTCTCATGGGCTTGTCCTCGTATTGTGTTTTCTGTTCTTCTATGTATTCCTTGGAACTAAATCATATGGTACTTTTGGCAGGCTTGGCTCACGTACTTTTGGAGAAGAGCACTGTCCCTAGGCATAGAAGTAGACATTGCGCGACAACGTCTTAGATTCTGGATCGGCAGGAGTGCACACTCTCCATCTTCACATGACGCCATGGAAGGTACTGTGACAGTCTATCCTATACCAAATTCCTATTTAGCCATAAGAGGAGTACCCATAAGACAATTACTAAACTGGTTGTTGGTTCAAATTTTCAGTTGAGCAAGGGCTAACAGAGCTAAGAAAGCTTCGGATAGAACGTAGATTGTGGGAAGCCTCCAGGTCCAACCAGTAGTCATGACCTACCACCTGAGGATTCCAGGACAGTCATGTTACCACAGCTTTTAACAGTATTGTATATCGTACGGCTTTTCCCTGTCTGGTTCGAATACTTTGCAGACAGGAAACATGTTAATCCAGTTTTGTAAACCGAAGAACTGTGTTACACGCACTACTTTTGACATAATATATCCACGTTTTCAGATTAGTATCCAATTTAAAGTATCTACAGAATGATTGATAGATGATACTGAATTACTGATACAGACACTAAAGATCACTACTCACCAGTAATCGTTGCAAGAGCACTTCCCCTCCTTGAAATGGTGAAACCTTCTAGAATCTCGGATGACGATTTCATGCCCTGTAACCAAAGACACATGCTTTGCAAACTCATGGCAATCTGGGCACGCCCGGAGATTCTTGAACACCTTTATAGGTGCACGGGCATTGCCATTCACCGATATCAGCCCAAACGCAATGGCAAGCCTCTCGCTATGATCAAGAAGCTGTTCTCTTCTCTCTGTCATACTACACTGAAACACATCACCTTCCATAAAATCATCAAACTCCTTGAGCTTCTCATAGATCTCATGAGTCTGTGGGTGGTGTTTATCACCCACTATAAACCGATGAATCTTACCCTTCTCTCTGATCCAGCTGCAGCTCAGTTCCTTCTTTAACATCCTCTCGTTCATTAGTTTCATCATCTCAGCAGCTTCTTCCCATTTTCCAGCCTGCGTATACAGATTAAACGGTAGAACATAACCAGCTGTATCTTCTGGATCGAGTCGGCGAAGCTCCTCACCAGCAATCTCACCCAGTTCAAGATTCTTATGAGTCCAACACCCGCTTAGAAAGCATTTCCAGCTCATTGCATCAGGTTCACAAGGCATATCCTTCATAAATTTCAGAGCTTCGTCTAATTGTCCCGCACGTGAATAAATGTCAATCATACAATCATAATGGTCAATCGTCGGAGCCACCTTATATATCCGAAGCATCGTGTCCAAGTAATGCTTGCCCTCTGCAACAAGGCCTGCGTGGCTACAGGCGGTTAACACCGCAATAAACGTAACCGAGTTTGGCTTCATGCCACAACTCACCATCTTCTCAAACAATCTCAGAGCTTCAGAGGCGTTTCCATAGTAGGCATGACCTGATATGAAAGCTGTCCAAGCAACAATGTCAGGGTTGTCCATCGACTCAAAGACTTCATTGGCGTCATCTAAGCATCCGCATTTCGAATACATCGTAATGAGAGCACTTTCTCCATACTGAGATCCAACCAGGCTTCTTTTTATAGCATCTGCATGGACTTGCCCACCAATGTTGCAATCCGCAAGCACAGAACATGCTTGGAATATGCTAGTATAAGTGAAAGAATTTAGAACCGCCGCATTTTTGCTTCTCAAAGACTGAAAGGTCTTAATAGCCTCTTCAAATTGACTCATTTGGCAGTATCCAGAAATAATTGCGCTCCAGGAAACATCGTTTGGTTCAGTGATTTTTTCGAATGCGCGACAAGCAGACTCGAAGCTGGAACATTTGATGTAAAAATCAACGAGTGGAGTTCCAACCGAGACTTCAGATTCCAGTCCAAGCTTAGCGACGCAGGCATGAACTTGCCTACCAAGAGTAAGCTCTTCAAGAGAAGCACATGCTTTAAGCACAACCGAAAACACAAAACTGTCCCATTCGACACCTTCCTTTACTAAATCCACAAACAGTTTCAAAGCATCTCTTGCTCTTCCTGCCTGAGTATAACCTACCATCAATCCCGTCCACGCCACCGGTTTCTTCACTGCCATCTGATCGAACACTAGCTTAGCACCAACTAACCAACCGCATTTCACGTACATGTTCAAGATCCCAGTCTCTATAGATGCGTTGCTACATAACCCAGCATGTATAACATGAGAATGAATCTGTCTACCAATGCCTAAAGCACTAGGCTTTACCAAAGATTTCAAGAGTGTGGTAAACACGGAAGAAGTAGGCTTCTCTCCTGACTCTACCATTCTCGAGAACAAACCAACAGCTTTATCCAGAAGCCCTTGCTCGGCGTAAGCAGATATCATCGTCACGCGAGAAACAGAGTTTAAGTCAGGCATTTCATCGAACACTTTATCTGCATCCTCGAAGCTCCCACACTCACAGTACATCTGAAGCACACAGTTCTGAAGAGTCACAGAAGGATTCTCACATTTCGTTCGCATGCGATCGTGCAGGAGTCTCCCATGGTATAAAGACCTCAATTCTCTGCAAGCTTCGAAGAGACATTGGTAAGAATACGGGCTGATGGAGACGCCAGCTTTATCCATTTCTTGGAAAAACTCAAACGCTTCGTTGAGCTTCCCGTGCTTCGACAAGGAAACCAAATGAAGATTCTCGACTTGCCCTTGCTTATGCTCGATTTTGACTGACGAAGTGCTCGATTTCAGAGAGACCCACGACGGGATTTGATCGAAATTCGCGTGCTTTGTTACCGGAATCCGGGAAGGGCTAAACGAGGACTGTAAAGTGAGAATCGTCATTGTTGAAGATGAATTTTTTTTTCAGAATTTTAGAGCTTTTTCGTGACAAATGAAAGAGACGGTCGATTTTATTACATCAACTAACGCGGGTCAAATCAAATCATTCGTTTGTTATAAAGCGACGCCGTTTTGGAGCAGAAACAGAGGGTTTCAAAGTTTCCTTCTTTGGCGTCTCACCAATGACTGAATTGAGCTCTACGATTTCATCTCTCGTCGTTTTAAACCTATCAACAACAACAACACGAGTCTCAGCCTTCTTCTTCTTCTCCGATGGCGGCTGCTAGGGTTCGGTGTCACAGCAATGCACCTTTCACCAGATTGCCGCAATCCGGCCACCGAAACTCGCCGACGCTACCGATCTCTCCGAATCGTGTCGATTTCGCTGCACTGAAAAGCCCGAGGAAATTCTTGTTATCCATTGGAGATGGCAGCTCGTGTACAAGGAGAGTTTCAGGCTCATGCCTCAAAAGCACCGTACGAGCTGTTTTGGATGAGAAGAAGACAGACGCGATTAGGGAGACGGAGGTAGAAGAGAAGAGATTCACTTGCGTGATGAAGTTTGGCGGATCTTCGGTGGCGTCTGCGGAGAGAATGAAGGAAGTGGCGGAATTGATTTTGACATTTCCGGAAGAAAGTCCGGTCATTGTTCTCTCCGCAATGGGGAAAACTACCAACAATCTCCTCCTTGTAAATGCTGATAGCTCTTTCCTTTCTTCTCTGTTACTTACTATTCATTTTTTGACATTTATGTGATTTTGAAATTTATGTGATTTTGAAATTCGGGTTTGGTGCTAGTGAAGGCGGGAGAGAAGGCTGTGAGTTGTGGTGTTTCAAATGCATCTGAGATTGAGGAGTTAAGCATTATCAAGGAATTGCATCTCAGGTTTTTAATTTCCTGAAAAATATGATCAATTTGGTACATTGAGTATCCTTTCCTGCTTGTTGTTGGTTTGATGAATATGGTTTTTGTTGTTGTTTCAGGACTGTGAAAGAGCTCCAGATTGATCCCTCTGTTTTTTTGTGTAAGCATAGACTTTGCAATACTTGAAGCTTCGTTCTTGCTATATTAAGTAGCCTCATAAATGTTCACTTGTATTGAGTTCGGTAACATTTAAGATTCTACATGCATTGATGTCTTTAGATTTGGATATATTTTGTAGCCTTTTTAGAAGAACTGGAGCAGCTCCTGAAAGGCATAGCCATGATGAAAGAGTTGACACTTCGAACAAGAGACTACTTAGTCTCTTTTGGAGAGTGCTTGTCCACAAGGATTTTCGCCGCTTATCTTAACAAAATCGGTGTCAAGGCACGCCAAGTATGTCCATCATCATATTTTAGTATTAGTTTAATTTTCCTTAAGAAAGAATCTCTATATATTTCACTGGGTTGACTAATAAGTAAATTAGTAGATTAGGCCAGAATTGTTCAATCCAGATTCGACTTTCGTTTAGAAAATAATACAAGCAAGTTGAAAGTATTACTCTGAATTGGTCAGAAAACTCTGGTATTAGTTTAGTTTTGGTTTGAACGAAAAGAAAAAGGTTCAGTTTTGGTAACACAGTTTGGTGTACTTTCTCTTTTGCTTGCTAAGCTTGCCTTGGTTTGAGACTCTAGATGACATCTTGTCGAGATGTTCACTTATGTTCCGGCTTGCAAACAAATCTAAGTAGATTTATCGACAATTACTTTGCAGTACGATGCATTTGAAATTGGTTTCATTACAACGGATGATTTCACAAACGGGGATATCTTGGAAGCAACTTATCCAGCCGTTGCCAAGAGATTATACGATGATTGGGTGGATGATCCTGCTGTTCCTATTGTAACAGGTTTTCTTGGAAAGGTATTGCTAACATTTTGCAATCTATAAATAACCGGTTTTCATTTTTGTTGTTGTGGCTCGTCTCATTAGTTCATTCAATAACAGGGTTGGAAAACTGGTGCGGTTACTACCTTGGGTAGGGGAGGCAGTGATTTGACGGCAACCACAATTGGTAAAGCATTGGGCTTGCAAGAGATTCAGGTTCTTCTACAGCCTCAAAATTTTAACATTTTCTCTAAAACGTTGCATACATTCTCTTTACAGTTTGGATGCTTGTTTTTTCATTGAGTAGGTGTGGAAAGATGTTGATGGTGTTCTAACATGTGACCCTACTATATATAAACGAGCAACACCAGTACCATTTCTGACATTCGATGAAGCAGCCGAGCTAGCTTACTTTGGTGCACAGGTCCCACTCTACCTGTATGAAATAATAATCAAAGTCCACTTATTAGCTGTAACCACATGGAAATTTTTAGAATGGCAATGCTAAAAAAAAGAAAGAAATGTTAATGCAGGTCTTGCACCCACAGTCAATGAGGCCAGCAAGAGAGGGTGGGATTCCTGTTAGGGTTAAAAATTCTTATAACCCTAAAGCTCCTGGAACTATCATCACAAAAACAAGAGACATGACCAAGGTATATATATAAAGTCTCC